TGACTTCCAGGTTACTAGGTGAGCTGCAAAGAAAGTCTGTTTGCTGCTTTGTGTTAGACAATTTTTTGTCCCAGAATCTATCTAGTATATCCATAAGTCTACCATTTGTCCATACTTAGAATATTGCTGCCATATATGGTTTGGTGTCCCTGTTATTCTCCTGGAGCTCCTTAATAAGATCCAAAGAAGAATCAGCAATATTATTGGTCCTGATTTGGCAGCTCAACTTCAGTCACTTGTCCACTGCTGTAAGGTTGCCTCTATACTTTCATGGTAGTTGTTCATATGAACTCTTCACTATCAAACCTAAACTTTTTTTAGTTTAAGCACAGTACTAGACTGGCATTACTATGTCATCAATTTACAGTTGAACTAGTTAGATGTAACCATAAATTATTCTAACAGTTTGTTTTCTCACACTTCTCCTTTGTGGAACTCCTTTCCAGCTAACTTTAAAATGCTAAAATTTAAATGCAACTTCAATTGTCATCTACTGTCCTCCTGATTACTCTTTTCTCTTTCTGCTCATTACTAATGTTTCTGTTCCTAATTCCTCCACATCCTGTAACCCCTTGAGTTTTAGTAGCTGTACTGCCTTGCTTGAGAGGATACTGATTAAAAAAAAAAAAAAAAATTGTCAACTTCCATGAAACCAATTTGCTAGCAGGTAGTTGATAACATTGTGGCAATTCTAATGCTGTTTACTTTGACTAATAAAGTGATGACGTTTGAAAGTTTGTTGTTCAAAACATGGCTATTTATTAGGTCCAGACTAATATTTACCAAATATATTTGTGTAACATGCAATCTTACGTATCATGCAACCTCAAATTCACTTATAAAAAATGGTATTATCATGTATTTTGTGTATCATCTGACTTCCTTTCTAAGAGACCAAATTACAATAGACTAACCTCTTTTTATCTATCACTTTATCCCATCTTCTAATTAAATAAGTAAAACGAAAATAATAAAAGTATCATTAGTAATGCTATACTCATTGCATACACACGTACAGCCATAAACAACCAAACAAGAACAGCTAAACATCTTATAAATGTAAACAATGGAAAAGATACATATTCGCTATGTTTGTATTTTATAATACAACGCTAATATGTGAATATTACATGCATTATTATTGGATACAGTTAAGTAAAACATCAGTTTTTTTTCAAAATTGTTTACTCTAAATACAGCAGCACTTTTTGACTAGAGTAAATGGATATATAGTTTGGTCAATGACATAGCCAGGGCCAGAAGTACATGCACTAATTTTATATCTCATGTATGATGTGACCCCCTTAAAATTCGCTTCAAAATTAGGTCTTCAATAGTCACATGATACTTGAGTATATACAGTACAAGGAAACTGGAAATATCAGAGTTTCAATTTTGGTCAAGGCTGCTTATGTTTACTTGGGAAAAATCATGAACACACTTCTTCCTGGATTCTGTCATTACCAGAGATCTTGATTAAAAAAAAGTCTTGTCATTGGTATCTTACAAGAGTGAATAAAGAGAATGAGCAAGAGAAAATTTTGGAAAACCACTTCCCTATAGCCAAACACAAGCAAAAACTGTTATTCTATTAGTCAGCTTTAACAATAATCCAATCAAAATACAATGTGGATTTTATAAGTATTAAACTGATCGCAAGTGTTCTTTTGAAAATTCTTCTCAGTTGGATGTCATGTATATTTGAAGTTGTCTTAACAACACATAAGAGTATTTATAAATGTCAATTGGTCACCAGTACACTACTGACCTGGAATAACATATTTTAATGATGCAGTAGAATAATGGAGGCATGGTGGAGTAATAGATAGTGGCTCAGATTGAGGAACCGGAGAGCCGAGTTCAAATTTCAGTCAGATCCATTGCATTCACTTATGTGCTAATACCCTTGGGAAAGGAATAAATCCTCTTCTCTCTCCAGCTATGGGTAAATAGCAAGACAAACTGAGTTCTATAGACTTGGTTGGCAACCAGTCTAGAAGATATCTCTGAATTCAAAAGCTGTATGTAACCCTGTGTGTAGCACATACTATTATAGCTAAAGAAAGGATTGTTCGTACCAGCTCAATGATCCCAACTACGGTCAGATGATGATGTGAATAATGCTATATTATTAGTTTTTCATTTCAGTGTTCAAAGGCCTAGTCCAACAGTTTTGTCGATGAATCATTCCAGAACTTCTAACATATTCCTTCCTAACTACAACCCTTAAAAAAAAAAAAAAAAAAAATTAGTCTGTAGGCAAAAATAAAACAGTAAAAGATATTTATCTGAATAAACAAAATTTTTGACTGTAAAACAGAGAAAAAAAAAAAGCCTAAGTTCCATCAGGAAACAAAAATAACTTTACTAAATGTTTTTTTTTTTTTTTTTTTTCTCTTCATTGCTAAAAATTCTCTTTTTTTTTAACCATATAAGACAATTAAAAAAACAGGAGAAAATTTAATAACATTTTTCAAAAATATAAAATTTTGATATTTAACAAACTTTAATTACAACTTTTTGTAATTGTTTCTTTCATTTGTAATGCGTGGAGAAGTTTTAGTTGAACAAAATATAAACTGACAATGCTACTCCCCTTGACTTTCTGAATTACACTTTGAATAACAAATGTCATTAATCATTAACCATAAGATTAATTTACATATGAATAGAAGCTTATCCCGAGAAAAAGCTATTAAAATATCTTAAATACTTTTTTAAACTACACACAAGACCAACACAAATGTAGATTTGCTTAATAAAAAGAAAAAAAAATATCACTAATACCACCCCCTCCCCATACTAAACATAATGAGACTTTTTACATCATTAAAAAGAAAAAGTAGGGGAGAAAAATTTGATATAATTTTTTTTGCATTATCTAAAAACAAAGTGACATGCTTTTGGAATTGGGGTTTACAATTAATTTTTCTGTTTTTTGGTTGTTTTTTTTTTTTGCAATCCATTGTCTTGCTAAATATTTTGTTTAACATAAATATACTAAACAAAATAAGAAGAAACAAAAATAGCTAATTTAATGAATACTGGATTTTAAAAATAATCATTGAAAAATGTTTTTTTTAGAGACATTTGTCATTTTCATACCAATACAGTTTCAAGATTAAAAATTCCTTAAACATAATTTTCTAATATTTTATGATTTATTTACAGAATTATTTTCTAGTATTTCTGGCCATTATACATGTTGACTGCATATAAACCAATGTTATTTGAAATGGAAAGTTAAGAATGGAAACCTTGACAGAAAAGTGAGTTAGGATGTTGGTGGAAGGGGGGAGGTTGGATTTTAAGCAGAAATGGAGAAAGCTTAAACAAATCCAAACATCAAATAAAACAGTGATGTAGGTGTGTACATTTGTGCAGGCTTGTTTAAAAATATTATCAACCCCTTAACTACACTAAAATGATTAACACTGAATTCCACAGGCTAATTTTGGCAAACCACCACCACCAACCACTTCTTCGTTTTTAACCTTGCATTAGTCACCTTGGATTTCCAAAAATGGATAATCCCTTGATGTCTGCCAACCATAACGGAGCTACAACTGTGCCACACTGCATGCTACACACTTTCACAGATTCAGGAGAGCTGTGGGATGGAGCAAAAGTTGCCGATTAAGAATTAGAAGTACTTTAAAAATTTTGGAGTAACAAAACAACCCATGTGACTAACGCAGAGTTAAAAACGACCATTTTCAGTATGCCAAAGTTGGTATCTTACATGACTGATTAATTTTCTACAGCTTATCAAGCCTTTGCAGGCTATTTAAAGCCAAAAAATAGTCTTAGATTCTAAGAAATTGTAGAGTGGGGATTATAATGGTTTAGTGATAAGGTGGAATCATACCTTCCCCATGGTATTTGTGTATAAGTGAATATAACGAACCGAATGGAAATTGGAACTCTGCTCTCTGATTAACAATTCTGAGCCATTATCCATTACACCACCCACACATCCAAACTTACAGCACCTGGTCTATCCCATATGGTTACTGTATCTTACAGGAGCTACTTATTGAAAATGGATGTGCATGTAACTTAGTGGTTATCAGCACTGTTGCATTCACTTTCACACAAATACCCTCAAAAAGTTATGGACCACCTATTCTCCCTACCAGCTAGGGATCAACAACAAGGATGACTGGGCCATCTAGTATTGGTTGGCAACCAGCCTCGAACAACAACAAAAAAAAATCTGAATTCACAATTGGGGATGCTGATAGCAGATCCATCCTATAAAAGCCTATTTGCTACAGAAACCACAGTGGTAAGGTGGTGGACCTGTGTGCCACAAGGGAGTCTACAGGACAACTACTTACTGTAATGTTTTAACAAACTCATCGAAAAGATTCATTTGCTATTAAAGCAAGTTGAATGTTCACTGGATGCTCCAATAATGTGGCCTTGTACTTTATTAATACTTATGACACAAATACAAATATTTCAAATACAATTAGTAGTTTTGATTTCTGACCTCAAAAATCAAAGTCAGTTTAAGGGGTTTTTTGGGGGTTTTTTTCTTAAACTAACATCTCCATCTGTCTATATTTCTGAGATGAGATATTTAACTATTTACATTGTACAGAGCATACAACAGCCGGAACATTGTGAATGTGACAAAGATGAGGACAACAGCCTGAACAATGTAAATAGTGTAGATAGTAACATCTTCATCTGTGAATTTCTACACTTCTTCTGGCTCAATGTACACACAGACACACATCACTTGAAGGATAAAACAATACAACAAAAACAAAAATGTAGACAACAACCTCTGTAAACCTTTCACAGCCAAGAAAGTCTCACTTGCAAAATAGCAAACGTGTGGAAATAAACCTGATATTTTCTCCCCCTTTTCTGTTTCTTCTTAATTTTCTTTTTATTTAAAGGATGTCAGCTCTTTATCCTGACAAACCTGGAACTCTGGGGAAATACTTCAGCAAGGAGGGTTTTTTTTGCCATAAAAATGAAGAAGGCATTCATTTCTGCAAGTAGAAAGAAAGTGTCAGAAAACCTACAAGACAAAAAAAAAAAAAATAGGAGGTCGAGAAAGAAATGAATGGAATAGAATAATAAAAAAAAAAAAATATGAGTTAACTTGGCATAAATAAATTCTAAAAATAACTGAAAGTCAACAGATATGATTATTTGGTGACATCTTGTTTCCGTTGATGTAGCTTTGCATATAAATATTGAAGTAAATCACCACAAATTTAAGCACAGCAGCTTCCAAGGTGTAAAAGTAAAAAAGGACTGGTTGACCTGTTCATAAATGAAGGCCTAGAAATAAATGTCATAATGATAAAAATGGTCCAGAAATATTGTCATGATGACATAAATCAATGACATTTGGAAGACATTGTTTTCCAGAAGAAACACTAAAAAATTTAACCCTGAAAAATCAGCCACTCTGCAAATCTTCTCAAATTAACTGCAGCCTAATAAAATTGCCCACTTGTCTCTATGATAGTAATGTTATCCAAAGTTCATAACTTCCTATCTTCTTGTCAGTTAGGTGTGTGATATTTTGGTCATATTACAATCATGTTCGTGAAATTGAGGCCGAACCAACAAAATATAATTGGTTCATTTGTGAGCAATTTATTGTCCCTTCAATGTGTCCTCAACAAAATTCATTTTACAGCTCACTTTTCTCATCTGGGCAATGTTTTGTCGGCAAACAGATCCATTTATGGTTTTGGTCCAAATATATGGTGAAAATATTGTATAGAAACCATTTTTTTTCATTTAATTTGAGTAGTGCTCAATAAAAATTACCCAAAATGTTTAATTTTCTTGTGGGCTCTGATGAATTCCTTCATTTATGAAAGTGTCCACGTTGGATCATGTGTCACAAAGAAATGAACCATCAATTTCATTTCTTCAGGTTTGTCAAAAAAAAAAAAAAAGTAAAATTTTTTTGTCCTTTCATAGTTTTGAATTGTATAAGAAAAGAATGTGTAGAAAGTGAAAAATTCAATATTTGATATAAAATATTAGTGATTTAGTTTTATGCTAAATAGAACATTTTCTTCTGTCTAGTAAAAAATTGAACTTGAAATGTGTGGATTTTGTCAACTTGTGACCTTATTGTTTGCATATTATTAAAAAAAAAAAAAAAAAAAAAATATGGCACCCTTAAATGAGTGAAAACTAAAGTAATAAATAAAAGGTAATTGTGTGATAACAATTACTTACAGAAAGACAGAAAAGTTATATTTTTGTTTAAATTGCTCTTAATGAACATGTTAACATTTTTCTTTTAAAAAGAAAAACGTTTTTTTTTCATTAATTTATTTCATTTGAATTTAACTTTTATTAATCTACTTACTAAATATTTTTTTTGTTGATTTATTTTGACCATTTTTAGAATCCCGAGTAAATCATCCAACTTCTGTCAACAAAGAAAATCTAAAAATAGAATATGCATCTGTCCCTTGTGTTGAAAAGATAAACTTTGAATCATTCACTATTTTCAGTTTCTGTTCAACCTGAGAAGTCATGTTATTAAATAGTTAACTGCTGTGTCTTTTTTCATCAAGCACAACTGAACACAGTTAATTATGGGATGGGAATGACAACCATAAAGCCCACACAGGTGCATGAACCTTGACTCCAACCAGTTTATATTACACAGTTGGGAAGCAACACTGTTTTCATATTTAATATTACATATGCAAATGTACATCAGTGAAACAAGCAAAAAAAAAAAAAAAAAAAAAAATTCTCCTTTCTTTCTATCTATACTCATTAAAAGAAGGTGCAATTTGAAGAATGTGAGTGGTTTAAAAATTCTATCTACATTTTCTCTATACTAATAAATAGAATTTAAAAAGGGTTATGTTTTTACTTTTCAAATAATGAACTTTAATAAAATCAAAACTAAAATTAATTTTAAAACCAAGAATTAATCTAAAGATTCAAACCAAACAAAAAGAAAAAAATTCAAGACAAAAAAAAAATTTTTTATATAAAATTGATTAAAAAAAAAATTTCATTAATATTTAAATTTTAATTTCTTGTCTGTCAAGATTTCTCATCCCCACCCCTACTTTTTTTCATTCATTCCCAACATTTTTTTTTAAAAATCTTCAAACATCACTCAATGTACAATCAAAAAATTCACTTGGATTTAATATGACTAAATGCTCTAAATACTTGAAAATGTACAAAAGGCGATGCCTGTATAATAGTCGGTACATGTTTGAAACCTGTAAGTTTTATGATAAACAACCTAATGAAAATCTGTTACTGATTTGAGCAGACAAAAGCTTTTGAAATTCAGGCCTTCTTGCATATGTGTAATATCAATTGAAATAGCAAAGAAAAAATTTTACACTGTAAGGTTAACATTCTTAAGAACCAATTCAGTTTATTATTGGGAAAACTAGCATTTTCATTCTTGTTTTGAAAGATACATTTTGGCTGGATGGACGGAGGGGGGGTGTCATTCCAGCTTTCTTCAGACATTATGTATGGGAATCTTCAATTTTTATATTATCACTCATGAAATGACAAAGTGATATTTTTATTTTATAAGTTATTACAAATCAATAAACAAAAATTACCACTTTGGGTAGATTTGAGGAAGAGCAGAAAGCACCACCACCACCACCACCATCAGTGTCGTAATCAAAACAAAAACGAAGATACTAGGTTAAACATATTAATAATTTATGTGTGTGGACGTGCGTCAGATGAAATTCATTCAATGCTTCCATGTTAAATGGCTTCTTTTCAGACCACAAACATTTTACTCCCTAGAATGTCTTAAAAAAAAAAAAAAAAAAAAATTATAGTTATTATCCTTATTCAAACGATTATTTAACAGAAATAAGGGAAATAGCAATTTGTAAGATTGATATACATTTTTCAAGGTTGACCTGCAATGTAATACTTAAATAAAAGACAAGCAAGCATCAGTCAACACTTATTGCAGGCAAATTAAATTCCATACAATGGTATTTACCATTTTTCTTGGCACTAGCAATTACTTAATTTTCACAGAAGACTGTCAAAATGGCTGCTTGATATTATCCTTTTTCATTATTCCATGTGAGAAAACATTAGAACAGAATTATTATTACATTTTTTGTTTTTCTTTTTTTCAATAGCAGCAGTCTTTATTTTATAAACATTTCAATGGACTGGTTTTTCAAGACTAGCTGTAAAGGACTTAAATGAGTCTATGCTTACAGAGTACTATCAAAGCTATAAATTTACATTGGTAAAAGAAAACAGAAAATGAAATTTGAGAAAATGGATGACATTCAGTTCTATCTTCATCTTTTCAGCATTTTTCTATTTTAACACATACTGTGTTTAAAGGTGTGTGTATTTTAGCAGAGCAATAAATTTACACTTCAAATATGCTGAGCCAAATAATATTGACAACTTCTATCAAATTTCTTATTAATTTTTTCAAATTATTTATTTTACTTAATTGGTAAATTTTACAAGGTTCATATTTATTTTTATTTTATAATTATCGCACCTGACACCACAAGTACTTTTGAATGTTGTTACTTTCATTTTTTAAGAATTGTCTTTTATGTATGTCTTTGGTTAACGTTTGCTGGAACTGGTTTCAAGTCACATGACATCATTTAAACAGTCAAACTGTAATTTTTGTATATATATATATATATATATATATATATATATATATATATATATATTCTTTTTCAAAACAATGGTCTCCTATGCAGAAAGATACCTTATCCAATGTTGGCTGCTTCTCTTTTGTTACAACAGCCTCCAGAATTTTGAGTTTTCTTAAAAAAAAAAAAAAAAAAAAAAATTACAGCTTGACTGGTTAAATGACATCACTTTGAATGACTTTAAATTAACACAGAACAATTGCTTAAATATGAAAACGAATGTAGCAATATTCAAAAGTACTTTTGGGGAATAATATAAAATAAAAACAAATATGAACTTTGACAGACAAAACTTGTTATATTATGCAGCAGGCATGTTTGAATGAATGAAAACATATATATATATATATATATATAAAAAAACATAGGCCTATACATGTGTATACATCAAAGTTAAATCATATACCATACTGTTAAGCTTATTTACCCAACTGATAGCTGCTATGTCTTAAACAGCACAGATTATAGCCATATATGTCTTTAATTCATCCAATGTTGCTGAGAATCTCAAAATTTGGTGAGTTGTGTGTGTAAAATGCATATTGTACCATTATAAATTGTCGCAAATGGTGTTCAAGGGAGATAATCTATAGACCTATTTAAATGTTTCATCCCAACTAAATGTAGTTTTCCCTCCAATTTTAAAATACCCTTCCAAGGCAATGGACTAACAAAAAGAAAACTAATTGAAACACGGAAAAATTGATAAACAGTATTCGATCTTCATGCTCTAATGATCACCTGGTAATGATTAGAGACTTGCCAATCAAAACACTTCTTCCATCTTTTCTTGCTCATTACACACAAATTGTAATATGAATGAAGTTAACATTTTCTTGCTATCATTTAAATATTAGCCATCTACATGTATATGTCTCAGTATCTTTTAAATTTGTGGTAAGCAAGGATTTTAGAAGTATTCTGATTAAAAAAAAAAAAATTTGGAATATTAACTTGTTAGCCATAGCCATCTTTAACACAAGAACAAATTAATTGAGCACCCAGTGATAAAAAGAGACTAGCATACTGGCTCTACAGTGGAATTGTTGGTTTGAGTATTATTGCACCATGAAGAGGGGGAACAGGCATTTACAGGATTTATAAGGTCCATGACCTTTTCATTCACTCATTCATATCAACCTGGGTCAAGGGACAGAACCTAATTTTTAGTAAATGACCAAATTTATTTTGTCTTCATTATATTGCCAAGGGCAGGTATAACTGTGCTTTTTGTGCCTGTGGCTGTAGTTGTCAGGGCCCCCCGAGCTGGATTTAAGATAGCTGTGGGAACACCAGGTTGACGTACAAGTGCGGCAGCAGCTGCAACAGCTGCAGGACCTTGGGGCTGCGCATCCCACTTGGTCTTGCGTTTTTTCTCTGAAAGATATCAAAAAATATCATCAATATACATTAAATAGATTTTTTTTATAACAACAAAAACAATTTTATTTTCAAAAAAGAAAAAGAATTAAAAACAAAACAGAATCAAAACTATTTTTCTATTTGTAAAAACTGAAATGGTTTAAAATATGAAAATGATGAATGATATCCAGTTCCTAATTTACAGGTAACAATGCAGTAATAAGCTTGTAAAACAACTGCAAAAGGAATAAACACTGTTAAAGCTGCATACAAACAAGTGGATCCCATTCTTAACAGCAATTTTTATCTGGCATCATTACAAGAATTAAACCAAATCATCACTTTGTCAAAATAGTTCACTTCACTGTAAAAACAAAACAGAAAATTTAAGATCTGTCTATATTTCTGAGATAGGGTACTGTAACTATTTACATTGTTGTCATCTTTGTAATGTTTCAGCTGTTGTGTGCTCTGGGTGATATCTAAGTTGGAACTTTGAACCAAACCCTTTATCTATGTATGGCAGGTAGAACTAGAACAATCTGCTCCCGTGGACTAAATAACAGGTTCAGTTTGAAATTCCATAGATCATCTGAAGAAGGCTAAAGATGAAAACAACAGTCCAATAAATAGAGAATTTAAGGAAAATAACTTTGATATTCGAATAGTAATTTTAAAAAAAAATCATTTAAAATTATATAACAGTCGATTCACTTAGAAGTTATCTACATTTAACTTTGTAAGTTTTGATTTTTTGGTGACATGAACCATTAATGAATGATATAACACTTTTGGTAAAACCAGTTTTAGGCCCAAGGAAATTTGCTGTTATGATTGCTTCCCAGAGAGAAAAACATACTGAAAATAAAGCTATAAGTTACCACTAACGAGTCTTAACCACAACTAAAATGAATGTCAACTATTTTAGTGTTTAATTCCTAACTACATCCAATTACAGAAAAACCATTATCATTTGTCAGGACTTTTACATGGATTTTCTGGACCATTTCACTTTCAGCTGTATTTCAGTTTAATTATAAACTTTGAAATTTATACACCAGTCAATTTAAATGGAGAAACATTTCTGTCAAATATAAAGTGTTTATTCATGTAATTGATTTAGATAACTGAAAGGACAAAATCTTTTCCTTTTTGATTAGAAATTTCCTGTCAAATTTAGTCCTTATTCATAAATCCATGTGACCCTTTTATATAAGACAGGCAAAAATGTGCTTATTTTTATCGTAACACATGGAATTAAGACCATCATATATGAAGATAGAATTTTTTTTTTTTTTGTAAATAAGTGAAATTTTGTATTCTTTTACCTGCACCCACCTCATACTAAAATTCTACTAAAATTTATCTTTCAAAGAATATTCAACAACATTTTTGAACTCTTTATAGCAATAGTAATTTATTAATAATTTGTATTTCAGTGACTGAACTTTTGTCCAAATATTAGCTTCAATTTTTTTCAAACACAAAAAGAAACCTGATAGCAGAATCTTTTGCTATGAATACAGGCCTTTATGCATTTGCATTTAAAGGGACTCTGGCATGAAAATTCATTGCATATTTTTCATTCTATTCTTTTCTACATGGTTATGTTATGCTCATTTTTAGTTAATAAATGACTGACTTGGACATTGCAATCTTGACTAAATTCTCTTTATTTATAATTTATATTTCCTATCAATAAGAGGAAAACTAAAATATTGTAGTCAAGGAGAAAATCTTTGGTTTTCGTACAATGATGATGAGTAGTACATTCTATCCAATACAGCACTTTTCCAATAGATTACCTGATTGATTTATTTTCTATGACTTATCAACCTTTATTTAAAGCCAGAAAATATATTTTAGATTTTCTTTTCAAGATATTTTAGCAATACAAGTCTTATTAACCTATAGTTGGTTGCAGTGGGGCAAGTGGATTCATACTTTTCCCCCCAAGGGTATTTACACATAAGGGAATATGACCAACAGTAATTGGAACCTTACTCTCCAATTAACAATTTCAAGTCATTATCCATTATATCACCCACAGAGCACTTGGCAAGCAGTCACCCATCTAGGTGCTATCAAGCTCAGTGTTGCTTAACTTCAGTGATCATATGGGAACCAACATTTAAACATGATGTGGCTGTAATTCCTTCTCAACAGACAGACAAAAATCTTTAACTAAATATGATTGATGTTGTTTATCAGTTAAACTAAAATGAAAATGTTGATTTATAATATAAATTACAGTCATCACCTCACTTAACCCTAAATAAACCTATACTCAACCCTTGCGCAGTTTCTTTTTCTATCTGCTTTGGACTATTGTACCATTTTGCTAAAAACTTTATTTACCACTTACATAAACTCTACTCATCACACAATTGACAATAAATAGTTAAATTTTTAAATGTTCCTTTTATTCCATCATCGACCTCATAAAAAAAAAAGAAGAAGCATTTAGCCTCTCCTTAAGAAACTTTCATTCCAAGTATAAATTTGGCACCAATGAGTCAGCCATACTTGCAACGCAATATTTCAAAAACTTACATAGCATTCCTAAACCAATCAAGAGAATAATTCAATTCTGCACAACTCTTCTGACGCTTTCCATGAAAGTAAATTCTCAATTAGGGCCATATATATATATATATATATATATATATATATATATATTATATAATCTGTATAAATGATATATATGTGTGTAAAAGGACAATATGAAAAAAGACAAAAGGAATTTGCCTTGATAAAGTCCCTCAGAGGATGAAATGCATTGGCTAAGTTTTCCTTTTGTCTTTTTTAATCTGTGTGTCCCAGCAACTAAAATTTCCTTTGAAAACCAACTCATAACAATTATTGCATAGTAAAAGTGATTTGTTGTTAGTTGATACTAAGTAAACAACATCATCAGTTTCTGTAAATGAACTTAGATATTGATGCTAATTAGTAAAGATATTTTTTAAACATTTTGTATTTTTTTTTGTTGTTAACATACTTTTTAACACATTTGTTAATACTATTTTTTGAATTTATTAATTAAAAAAAAAAAAAAAAAGATGATCTTTCAATTTCTGAGACAATGATTAAAAAAAAGTCTGTATCCCTGCAGTTCAACATTAGTTTATATTGAATATTTGAGGTTTTAATAAAATATTGCAATAACAATCATAAATATGAACATTGATTTTTATTTTAAGAAGTGGGTACAAATGAAAAGATTTGAAAGTGACAACTTTTTCCATTTCACTGAAACCACTGTTAAACACTTCTACCTTCTCTTCTCTCATTCATTTTCACACTGAAAGCAAGTAGTGTCTTTCCCCACTCTTTCCATGCTATCAAAATTGAATAGTCCATTATTCATGAGATATTGGCAGAGCGTAATGGTTGTGTAAACTCATGAAAAGTGAGACAAGAACAATTATAATACAATCCTCAATTTTCAGACATCACATCAATGACTAATGAGAAAGTTCACCTCACACAACAGATATAAAGCTTTCAGCAACATTAATACCTGACTATCAGCGTAATGTAGCCCTCCAAATCTTTGTTGCATGGAACTGAATTGGAGATGAACAGTAACTTCAATTAATCCCCAGAATTTTGCCAACCAACTTGACACATATATAGATCTAAACCAATACAGATCTTCTCATTGAAAAATAACCTTCATTAAAACAAGCAAATTCACTCCCCCCGCCCAAAAGAAAGATAAAAACACATTCTTATAATGAAAAACAACCTTTCTATCCCGTTTAATATAGAACCTAGAAAAAGTAATACATAATATTTTGTCAGTTCATTCTTTGTTTGACTTGAATTTCTATGCTGTCTCTGCATCTACAACAGTTACCCTCAATAATCTATTTTCAGTCTATTATCATGATGGTCGATTTGTCAGGAAAGAGACTTCCTGATGTTATCAATCTGGAGAGGGGCCAATCCCAGCATGCAGTACCTTTGGAAAGTGCCTGAAAACCATACCATGGGTCGACCCAAGCTTTGTGATTGAAATTGAGTAGACAGAACTCTTGGGGGGGGGTCATCGATAGCTGTGTTAGCACAAAGTCACAAGTCATCGGGGGTTGAGTATGCTGGCCTGGTTCAAATTTTTGATCACGCCAGACAACACACTCTTCCCTAGATACCATAACTAAGATCTGCTCAGTATAGTGGTAGTATAAACCACAAGTGGGCTCTGTGGGTGTTAAATAAACTCAAATGTGCCTGAGCAAGTGTCTCCAATAGGGATTGTCTAGCCACCCTAGTAGATGGGCATCCACAAATACAAGTGGCTAGCTATACATCAGGGTAGTGGATGCTACTAGATATTAACTGCACTTTCTTGTGCTATAAGCCACACAACACAACACCTATTCAATACTTTCTCAAGTATAAAAAGGATTTGGAAATCCTTATCGCCGTTTTGTTTTTTTTAATATTGTTAACCTATTGTTCATTTCAAGGACATCTGCAAAATGGACATGCGGTCAATCAACATGCACATCGAGAGGTGGGAAGATGTCGCCGACAATTGCTCACACTGGAAACGCGATTTACACAGAGGCCTGGTGTGAGGAAACTAGAAATAAAAGTTTGCCACCTGGAAAAGCATGCTCAACAAAGAAAACGACATTGTGGGAGAGCATCTTCACATGTATTCATTGCAATCAAGACTGTCACTCTCGTGTGGGAACAGATGAGGCATTAATCTTTGGGCACAAAGCCAAGTTTTCTTGAAAGCAACAGATTCCACACACATGTTCACCTAATACCAGGCCTAAGTGACACTCAAAATAGAGGGTTACTGAATGGTGATATGATAAGGGTGCATAGAGAGGGGGCTACAGTTATCAGGATATGGAGGACAGATAACAGATAACCAAGGAGGGGGTGTTGGGAGTGCCTCAAGTGATCTCTTTATTGGCCATTAAAACAACTTTCAGAGGCCTACCCAAGAGAAAGAATTTGAGAAAACTCTACCAGAACTGTTGGAGGTGAGGAGTTTGTGTAGCTACATACTATGCCACACCTTGTCAAAAGCCTTTGAGATATCTAAGGAGATTGCTTTCATACCAAGTACTTAACTGATTCTATCCGCGACTAATCAGATGTTAAGATCTGAAAATCAGATTGTGAATCATTTATAGACAGCCATCAACAACCATAAAGTTTAATTATCTGATCTTATTTTGGGCTCACTAGGTTTATTCAACCTATACAGTGAAGTGAGTCTGAGAGAATTAGAAGTCCTACAAAGATTCATTATTGGCAGCTACAATGTTAATAACATTAGATATGCAGATGGCACAGTATTGACAGCAGAAGGTAGTGAATGAAAGTGGGAAGAAAGGACTAAACATCAATTGTAAAAAGACAGAATGTATAGTTTTTAGTAAAAGGAGCAGCCCAACATGTGAATTACGAATTGGAATTACCAAAATCAAGCAAGGTACAAAAATTTAAATATCTGGGAAGTGTTCTAACAGAGGATGGAAAGTGTGAGACCGAAATACAAAGGTACATTGGGAAAGATGCTTTCCAAAAGCTGAGTAAAGTGTTACGAAACAGGAAAATTTTGTTAGGTTAATATGATAACAAAATAAATTCAGAAACAAAACCAAACAGGCAAGCACCACATGACAAAAAAAATGGTTTCCGAGGATTTTGTATTCTTCTGGTTAATAAATTAATGCTTTGAAAATAAATATTTAACATTTTTTCAACCAAAGGGTCACATTCCCACTAACAATAAAATAAAAAAAAAAAAACATGCTTCAAGATCCCTTTGAAGGGTATTTAAACAAAGTTTCTAGACTGACAGACCAGTAAGGAGAGACAGACGACAATAATTCACAACTCAGCTTAAAAGAAATTCCCTCATTCATTCACCAGTCTTCCTCACCAAGCTACATGACACTTACTCACTCCTTGACTTTTTTTTCTCACACATGCAAGAGAAGAAATAACATTTCTTTTCATCTTAACAAACAAGGACTGTAAGAACATTCATACACACTAAGAAAAATTTAGTTGTAAAAACACAAAATAAAAAATATACTAATTCTACCATTACCATAGGGGCTAAAATCATTCCTTTTAGAAACCTCTTAGTTGTATTTTTTTAAAATAAAGTTTATCTAACTCCCTTTTAAATACTTAAGAGTATTTTACTATATACGGCCACTGAATGGCAAAAAGGTAACAAAACCAATTAATTTGCAACACAAAGAAGTAAAAAAGAAAAAAAAAGAAAAGGAAGCTGTTTACTTGAAATATAATTCTTAGTAGAACTGCTTTCAATTGATTATAACTCTTACTAATAAAAAGCAACAGTTACTTACCAACAGGTCCATCAGAAGCAGAAGGCGTCTTTTTGGTACCAGTGACAAATTCAATCTAGAAAGATAGTCAGAATTATTTATGTTAATGATATATAAAGGTATCATTTAAAATTCAAACTTGCATAGCTTCAGTTATTCTTATGAAGACTAAAAAGTTTGTTTGCTGCTATTTCTTGTAAAATAAAACAATATCATCTATCATAACTATGAACTGAAAGCTGTAAAAAAAATGACTTTGTACGTCCAATGAAAATGGCTTCTAGAGATATTGCCTTTAAGTATTTGAACCTTTTTGAGTTGGGTTTGTTTATCAACTTATCCATAGTTATCTGCTTGCAAGATAAATGTAGCGCTGTTTATTTAGAGTGACTTCTCCAGGGTGCAGGCCTGGGCGGCGATGGTATATAGAGGGCCATACGCTGCTTAGACTATATGGTCACCAACCTTCTTCTATACCGCCAAGATCCAAAGAAATACAAGCCATCACATTAGGGGGACGACTTGGCTGCAGCAGTTGTTGGAAAATAGTCAGTGTTAACAGCTAACCATCTTTGGGGATTCACTCCAGGTTTTTCTGTCTGGATTTACTTCCATAGTCTTTTCCGTGTTTGGATATTGACTGCAAGGAAGCAGAGGTTTAAAATCAGGGTTTTCCTTCTCCTCCATGGACTGCTTTCCTGGGCTGTCAAGCTTCATCTACCCAAAGCAACTGACACCATTTTTCTGCCATTACCCATTCTTCAGCTTAGGGCTGGATTTAGTTGTCAGAAACTATTTGAGACGCGTTTTATAGACAACGAGAGCTTGTCTCCATTATCAAACCTGGCTATGACAATCTTATAAGTATTCACTGAGCTTAATATTGCACAAGATCACAAGTATAAAGCACTCAGTGAGAATTAAATTCACAATAGAACAATACAAAGATGAGGTTTTGTTTTTGTTTAATTTCAATCCGAAAGAGAACACAAAGTACACAATAGATAAGATCTTGTCATTTTGAGAAAGCTGATATCAAAAACATTGAGAATTGTTTTAGAGGGCCCCCATACATTTTAGACCATCAACCCTTCATAAAGCCCTTGATTACTAGTCAGACCCTATATGCATGTAAAGGTATCAATGTTTTGTGTTAAGGGTAGAAATTCCTTTGTTTTTTGTTTACATTTTGTTGTTCCCTTTTCAGTTTCCCTTCCTAAACTAGATAATGTTTGTTTGTTATAATAGTGAGAAAAACTTCATAAAAATATAGGGGATTATAAGCACATTAAAATTAAATTAATAGACCTTTTAATTAAATAGGTTGACATCATTAATGGGAAGGATGTATTTGATGATCAAAGGTATTGATAATACATTGTAAATCAATAAAGATTTTAACCATATGTTACCATGATTTATTTATCAACCCAGACACTGACATCAAAGCCAGTCACTGACTACCTAAATAGTCCTTTCCATCTCCAGGGATCAATATCAACCATTTTGAGGACACTGTTTTAACTTAAGGGAAGAATTTGCACTCCAAAAAGTTATAATTTGGAAGAACATCTTGTTGACTTACCTTTGTACGTTCTTTCCTTTCTTTTTCTCGCTTTTCCATATCTAATTTCTGCATTTTATCTGGAAAATAAAGTCACCAACAATGTAAAAACATTTTATTTTCTTCTACAAAAAATTTTAATTCTTATCAATTCTTACACAATAAGAGCAGTACTAGATTGGCAACTTGGTGTCATCATTTTAGAATTGAAATGGCTAGATGTCACCAGAAGTTCTATGCTAACAATTCCTTCCCTTGCACTTTTTGCTTGTGGAACTCTATTCCAGCTTCTTGCTTTCATGTCAGCTTTGATCTTTAAAAATTTAAATTCAGTGTCAATCATTTTCTCCTATCTTCTTAATTTCTGTTCTCTTGTTGTTCTCTCTCCTTAATGTTTTTCTTATTGTCATTCTTTTACACTCAGTAACACCTTCTTGGAGTGAAATGAGTAAAAATTTAAAGAAAAAAAAATACATTATTGATTGTGCAAACAGTCGACTGTAGGATATTGTCTAAAAACCTTAGGAAAAAGGGCCTAACATGAACTTACTGGCATAATTCCATATTTTGAAATAGAACTATTTTAGACATGCAGATGGATAGAAGCCCTTATTTACATATGTACATGTCAGGAAGCAGTCACAGTTACAACTTAGGTAAGCCCATCAGGGGCACAGCTTATTAAACACATGCAATAGACAAATCCATTTCACTATGCAACTTACAGAACAAACACTGATCAGCATTTAAAGCCTTGTCTTTCTCTTCCAGTTTGAAAAAGGAAAATAAAAGTCATTTTGAACAAGAGAGTAACTGGCAATGAGCAATGGATTTATTACAAGAACTAAAAATAAGGAAAAGCACGGTGAAATTAAAAACAGATTTCAACATCAACCTAAACTGAATGTAGTGAGGAAAAATTTCTTGTTTGACAGGATCTAAAGAAATTGTTTTTATTACAAATTGCTACAAGCTAGACAAACTGTTATTGCATAATATAGTGAGCAACTGGCTTGTGTGAATGATGCACTGACAAAGAACAATTTCCACACACACCATCTGGTGATTATGATATCTAACCTATCCTTATATTGCAAATGTAATGCATCAAAAAAATTATAAATCTAGAATGGGAATTCTCCCAGACACACCATATCCCTGAGACCCCATCACCTTCATATGTTTTGCTCTATGCAATAAATACTCCTTGTCTGGTAAATGGTTCTAATAAAACTCTAAAAAATTCTACACAAATCCAATGAATCAAAACGCGATTGTTCTTTTATAAGGGAACACACAATTCAGGTTAAAGTCAGTCTATGGTCAGAGAAAACCAGGCAAAATACTTTGATGACTAAATAATGATGCTATGAATTTATCTGAATAATAAAAAGCTTTTCAGAAAATGATTAAAATTTAAAAAGAAAAGATTTTTTTTTTGTACTGTTTGGAATCTTATGAAATAATTTGCAGGATAAATTGAAGATAAGCAGAAAATTTAAAAACCATATAGTGTTCTAGAATTGTCCAAACACTGTTTAAAAATATTCTGAAATTGGTAGATTTGCTAATATGAATTTACTAATAAAATGAAAAGTGTTTAATTAACCTTCAACACTTTAGAAGCGACTTTGCTTGACAAGCGAGTTTGATCTGCCACAAAAGACAACACCAATTGCCAAATTTGTATGCGCTTGAATTTTATGGTTGCCATTATACTGTGAAATTACAAATGAGGCTACTGCAGTTTAAGTGCCACCTTAAACAATGAAAGGGTGAATAATGAAAAAGATTAAAAAGCTAATAATTTTTATTTCTCTTGACTTAACTTTTATATCACAGCATATAATTTACAGCAGAAATATCTCCCATTGAGAGAAAAAAAAAAATGAATTTCTAGATAATTGTTATGCATTGAATATAAATAGAATCAAATGTTTTAATTACTGAATCAAATAGAAATCCACAATGAAAGTTACATATATATATTGCACATACCTTTGAGTTTCAAATTGCCAGCCCAGGATGAATATTCTTTTTTGGATAAAATTCTACCAGAGACAGTCTTATTCCAACCACCCCTTTTATTAAATATTCAGGAAATCACCTCTTACTCTTAATTTAAGCTGCAAGCATTCTATGACAAAGTGTTTCATTACTAAGAATTATAAAAAAAAAATTGAAGCTTCCACTTTTATTCAAACCATCTTGTCTATTTGAAACTCAAGTGTACATACTTTCTGAAGTAAGTATTTTTAAAAATATGTGACTTACCTAAAGAATCATATAAGGATTCTGAACCCCATACTAATGGATCAAAAATTTCCTTAAAAAAAAAAAAAAAAAAAAAAAAAAAAATATACAAAATTTCCAGATGAAGAGAGTAAATTTTTAAAAGTTCTTGAGGAAATAAACAGAAAGACATAAAAATAAAAAAATTATACATGACAAGAAAACTGTGTTTATAACTTGCCATTGAATACTTTTGTCAGAATTTCTCAAAAAACAAAAGCAGAACAATTTTTCTGTCATATACAGCTGAGGAAACATTTTTCTTGTGAAATGTTTCAAAGAAATTAAAGAAAAGAAAGGTTTCATAAGAACCAACATTTTTCAATTTGCCAATTTTTTAGTGCATGAAAATTGATTAAAAGCATTATCTTTTTTTTAATGATTTGAACAAACAGTTTTGCTGACTACATTTCTTGATGTAAGAATTTCATATACAATCAACTTTCCACATGAAAAGTGTATGGCATTTTCATTTTCATGAAAACTCCAACAATGAACTCTGACACCAGTGTGAGAGACATTCTTTCTATAACTTTACAGACAAAAAAAAAAAAAAAAGACTCTTCATAGTGATTTAAATAAAACAAATCTACATTCTAGAAAGCCATTGTGCATAGTTTAAAGTCAGCAATTTAAATCTATATAATAAATGCAAATGTCAGTGTGTCACACTTTTTCCATTTTACTCTTAAAGGCCATAGCCCAACATATCATGCTATTTTGAAATCAGGACAACTCCTTGAGCAAATTAAAAACATTCCTGGAGTTGGATCCGGACACACAATACTGAAGTTTTGGATTCCCAAGTTTTCATTACTGTAATTGTTTTCAGCGATTTTTTTTTTTTTTTTGCAACAAATTTTTTTTTATTTGATAACAATTTTTTTAACAGAGAAATAAATTTGGGAATAATCGAAATTAATTGCAAAATCCAACAAAAGTTACCCATGAAGTAAAAATAATATTTTGTACGGAAAGTAAGGACCTACATACATCAAGTTGTCTTTAAATTAAGTTACGGCAGAAGAATTATTGTTAAACTTTTAAAAGGTAAGCCTAAATATTAATACAAGACTTAAATGCAGTGATCCTTTTTGAATTCTTCTGGAGTTTATTGTTGTTTGTCACATCTACTCCTCCGTACCTATTGTGATGAAGCCCAATCAAGAGCCCTCTGCAAGAGCTAGGTTAATAGGGCAGCTTTTAAGCTAGTTTATAATAATTTTTAAGACCAAAGTTCTTTATTTTTTTAACAGTTCATTAATTCCAACATTTTGCTCTTTTTAAAAGTTATTTCAATAATTTTTTAAACTTAGCTCTATTAATCCAATTATAAATAATTATTAGCACTTGGTGACCATCCTGAATATAAACGAAATAAATGAAGACATATTAAAGCAAAAATCACATTTGGTCAGAGGATGTGAAGCAAACTATGTTCAAAAATGAAAGAGGGTCACATACTAAAAGAAAAACAAAAAAATATCTAAGTGAAATTAAAAACATTTTAGAAATGAAAAATACTTACTGGTGGATAATTGGTTCCTTTTTCATTAATCTGGCAAAATTCAATTAATTTCTCATAAATGCTGAAAATTCAATTGAAAACCTCATTTACTGCAGGATTGATATAATTATTACTTGAAACAAAAGATTATATTTTATCTCATTGTAGACAAGTTTCTGTAAAATTCACATTTTATGATTGTCAAAATGATAACATGGCAGCTTTTTGGCAGACATTTCTTAGAAAGTTTCTTTTAAAAGAGATAATAAAATAGCAACAAGTAAATTCATTAAAAATTAAATGCAACAAAATTTTACTTGTGTTCAGAGCAAAAAGTAAATTTCAAGTCATCATCTCCCTCTCTCCACCCTCATACACAGGTACATTAATAAAGTTCATAACCTGATGAAGAAAAGTATTTATTTTGCACAACAAATACTTTTCAAAATGATCTCAGCTTTGTCATGGTATTTAATTCAATAGTGAATTTTTAAAATCAAAATTCAGTTATATCAAATTTTTGTGATTGGTGATCTTACAAAACTGTATCAGGTCAAGAACTTTACGGTAAGTATCTATCCTCACATGTATTCCAAACACAACTTATTGATGGTCATTTGTGACATGATGTGTTTAATAGAAAGAAGAAAACAGACAAATTCACTAAAAATGAGATACAAAAATATTTCTGCATTCATAGCAAATGGTGATCTTCAGATCTTTAATATGGTCTGTTAACTTCTTACAGGATACATTATTCGGACTATTGTCCTCATCTTTGTCGCCAAATTTATTATGTTTCAGCTATTGTACGCTCCGGCCTCCTTCAGGTGGCTGGAATGTTGAACTGAACCTCAAGGACACATGGCACAGTGGATAAAGGTGTTAGTTAGATCTAGTGACAGGACCCAAAGAGTGTGAGTTCAATACACGGTTAAGGCAGTGGAGAACTTTCAGAGGGAAATTAACAAGAGATAACTGATAACTGACATCCATTAAACATGGCACGTGGAACTAGAACAGTCTACCCCAGTGAGCAAAATAAAGGGTTCAGTTCGACATTCCAGCCACCTGAAGAAGGCTGGAGTGTACAACAGTTGAAACGTTGTGATAAATATGGCGACAAAGATGAGGACAATAGTCTGAATAATGTAAATAATGTACATAATCCCTCATCTCAGAAATATAGACAGATACTGAACGGCCGACACGTAATAAATATGGCGACAAAGATGAGGACAATAGTCCGAATAATGTAAATAATGTACATAATACCTCATCTCAGAAATATAGACAGATTCTTACAGGATGTTTAACATAATGAAAACTCATGACCATCTATGATATTTAAAAAAAAAAAAAAGAAAAAAAAAGAAATACAAATTACAATTACAAATTCAAATAAATGCTCCCAGTGAACAATAATTGAAAAATAAATGGGAAAACATAAAAAAATGATCATCCAGGATTTCAACATATTTTGGCATCTTGAGTTTTCAAAGAAATCAAAACTGAAGACAAATTGACAAAAGGTATATTAAAAAGTCAGTTCAAATCAAAAGTGAGTCATCAGAAAAGACTAAAAGCAGGTTTGGACATAAACAACCATTTGTAACATTTTATAAATATATTGTTTACAATTTGCTATATTTATAGGGAAAGAGTATTCAGTATCAGAAGTAGACAGTGTTAACACAGGAATCAACACTGTATGGTGACTGTCAGGCCATACTTACATATAACTTATATGTATAGCTTTTTATGAAAATCAAGTTTTCAATGATTTTTACTAAAATAATAAATAGATCACCAATTAAAAGAAAAAAATGTAAAAAATAAACAAAAAATAAAACCTAAAATATTCTTAAATGCCATCAGAAAATACCTCTCCATGTAGAGTTTTTTTTGTATTCAGACTGAAACAACATTCCTCTTAAACTTTTATCAAGATTCATTTCCCAGTTTGAGGATATGCTTCAGCATTCATAATTTTGAAGGAAAATATTTTACTATTCTTTCTTAAATGAAATAATTAATCCACAATTTTCAGCTTGTTAATGATTGAATCACTGATTTGTATTTTACAGCTTATCAACCCTTTGCAGGCTATTTAAAACCAGAAGATATTTTTAAATTATAAGAACTTTTTTTTTTTTTGGAGACAATAATAGTTTAGTCCTACAAGTCTTACAAATTAACCCATAGCTGGGGGGAAAATAGGTGGATTCATATCTTTCCCCAAGGGTATTTGCATGTAAATGAATATAACAAATCCAACTGGAATTGAAATTTGGCTCTGATTAACAATTCCAAGCCATTATCTATCACACCACCTGCACATCTAAACTTACCTGGTATTCCCAAACAGTCACCCATTTAGGTACTGACCAAGCATGATGTTGCTGTAAGCCTGATTGAATCACCTGACCACATTATGACAGCTAAAGAATTAAATGCAATTAACTATACATACCTTGGGTTCCTAAAATCCTTTCGTTGTTGTATAACATGGCTTAAATTATGACCTTCCTTTTTCGAACTAATATAGTAATTAGCAATTTTTTCCTGCAAATCAAAGAAACAAAAATAAATGACAATAAAGAGAAATGATACACATCAATTTTTAGGCAAATCTCGATCAATCGTAGCATTGCATACACTTAGATGGAAAAGTTTAAATCTTCTTTTAGTGTATGGTTTCTTCCAACTAATATTTTGGATCCGTCTTGATGGTTTGTCGCCTCGACGTGGTAGAATGGCTTGCATTCTTCAACAACCCCAAAGCTATGTGAGAGGGGGCTTCGGCCTTTAGCAGGTCCAACCAAGCTCAACAGGTCTGAGAGGTAGAAGCCAGACGAAAGACACACCCTGGTTCTCCAGGTTGGGGGTTGTGCAGTAGGCTAACAACCTACTCAATTAAAAACTAACTTGTTACAGAAACCTCAGTGATATCTTCAAACAGCGATATGGCAGAGGAAGAGTCCTCCAAAGTGGAGCATATGATGCATGCTGGGGAAAATCCCCCAGTAAGGCAGCCGGCATGACATGGGCCAAGCTGAAGAGGATCGCCCAGAACCATGTCCATCGGAGAGGTGTTGGTTGATTGGTTGTTTTATGGCATATCAACCTCAGTGGGTCATTTAATGCCAACAAAATTTTTGAAATAGATACATAGCGATAGTTTGGTAAAAAGGTATATATATATATATATATATATATATATATATATATATATATATATATATTTGAATCATTTTTCAATTACTCATATTTTTTGAGTACAATCACATGTATTGCTGGTAATATTTTTTTTTTCAAAAACATATTACTGGCAATATTATTTTTTTTTTTTAAATTAATTTCTGGTAATAATTTTTTTTCAAAGTATTTCTGCTATTAAAACCTATTTTTACACTTTTATAATGCTTTTTACCTAAGTTTCAGGGTTAACTATTTCCCCATAGCTGGGGCCCTAACAGGTGCTACCACCCTGAGTCAGGGTGGACCTGGGAACACCAGCAATTATGAGGTGGTTCCATGTGGAGAGGTGTTGTTGCAACACAATATTCCAAGGAATTAAGAGGCATAATGAATGAAAAGAATATTTTCGATGTTATGAATCAAAATATACTTAGTTCCCATTTGGTAACAAATTTGAAAAGAGTGACAATCTGAATGCCAAATTAAAATCCCAAAGCAAATTGCTTCATAAGGTAGTCACTGACATTTTATATGTACAATAACAGGATGATTTCTTCAGTATGACAAACGAAATAGATACTAAAATTCCAACATAAAAGATTTCATAAAAAGTGACCTCAACTCTGAATTGTAAATATTTGAAATCATTATGAACTGGTCTCATGTCCAATTGTTTTCTGATCTCTATTCATCAATGAATATATAACAAACACTTGGGTTAGTTCAACAGTCTACTACTGCATAGTAAGTTCAATTCTCACCCGGTGTTACACAAATGTAGCCTTGTGCCAAACTAAATTTTTCCTTTATTTTTTAAAGCTGTGAATGATTCCAGTGTGCCTTAGGGTTTCATTCAAGTGACGCCATTTATTTGTAGATAACAAAAAGATAAAACTATTTTGCAATCATTTTTTTTTGCATGTCATAAATTTTATTTCTTCTTATTCTTTTATTTTCAAGATAATTTTAAAATTTTGCATTTTAAAAGATAAAATCTTCTGACTTAAAAACCTTCCTGTAACCAGGAAATTTTATATCAAATTATTAGAGGATATGTTCCCAAATTAAGGCTAGGTTAAAGACATGTAAGAAATCTGAGGGTGAAGGAAAAAACATATGCATGGAACTCTAATTAGCCTTTCTCAAAGACTTTCTTGCATTCTACTAACAAATATATGATGCCTGCTTAATTAGATTAATGGATTTGATTTTGAACTCAACATTATCACATTTGATTTTTAGCAATATCTTAACAATAAAAATATAAATAAATTCAAACTGTTTTTTCCAAATGCAACATATATATAAAACTGAATGCATTGTATACAAAACCAATATAGAAATAGAGATGAAACAAAGGTAAATAAAAAGAAAGATTTTTAACATGTAACGTTATAAAGTTGTTAAGTTAGAAGGCTAAAATCTAAAAGTGAATATTTATCCATATTACCTGCAATGCTCGAGAACATCGTCCAACTGGTTCCGGTGGTAACTGGATCTCTTCAGCTGACATGTTCTGTACACTCCGCGATAAAGAAGCTTTGAAACCAAATTGAAGATGCAATAGTCAATTAACCATGACAGACAGACAGACATTTATAGGAACTATAGGAAAAATACTACTCCAACGAATAACGAAAAAATTAGGTAACTAACAATAAGACTTGAATTAAGATTCACTCCTTATACAGGGAATATCATTTTTTTTTTTTTAAATTTAAAAAATTAGATATTATTATCAATTATTTTTAACAAAAGCAGCCAGTCATAAATATTTCAAAAAAATTCAAAATTATAATTTCAAATTAATAAATTTTGTACAGTATTTACATTAGTCGGACTATTGTCCTCATCTTTGTCGCCATATTTGTCACAACGTTTCGGCCGTTGTACGCTCCGGCCTTCTTCAGGTGGTTGGAATTTCGAACGGCCGAAACGTTGTGACAAATATGGCGACAAAGATGAGGACAATAGTCCGACTAATGTAAATACTGTACATAATACCTCATCTCAGAAATATAGACAAACAATAAATTTTGTATTCATTTTTAATTTTAATGTAAGTAAATTGTTTTCATTTTTATATCCTTAGCTGAATGCTATCAGTCAATTATTGTCTTCTAAAAGATGGTCATGTCTTCCCAAAGGGAGCGTCCAAAAAGATGGTCATGTCTTCCCAAAGGGAGCGTCCAAAAAGATGGTCATGTCTTCCCAAAGGGAGCGTCCAAAAAGATGGTCATGTCTTCCCAAAGGGGCGTCAAAAAAGATGGTCATGTCTTCCCAAAGGGAGCGTCCAAAAGATGGTCATGTCTTCCCAAAGGGAGCGTCCAAAAAGATGGTCATGTCTTCCCAAAGGGAGCGTCCAAAAAGATGGTCATGTCTTCCCAAAGGGCGTCCAAAAAGATGGTCATGTCTTCCCAAAGGGAGCGTCCAAAAAGATGGTCATGTCTTCCCAAAGGGAGCGTCCAAAAAGATGGTCATGTCTTCCCAAAGGGAGCGTCCAAAAAGATGGTCATGTCTTCCCAAAGGGAGCGTCCAAAAAGATGGTCATGTCTTCCCAAAGGAGCGTCCAAAAAAAGATGGTCATGTCTTCCCAAAGGGAGCGTCCAAAAAGATGGTCATGTCTTCCCAAAGGGAGCGTCCCAAAAGATGGTCATGTCTTCCCAAAGGGAGCGTCCAAAAAGATGGTCATGTCTTCCCAAAGGGAGCGTCCAAAAAGATGGTCATGTCTTCCCAAAGGGAGCGTCCAAAAAGATGGTCATGTCTTCCCAAAGTGATCATCATAAATAATCAGCATTTTCTAGTGGAATCATTTAACCAGAATTAGGTATCCCAAAAAATAAAATTTTATTTTAAAGATATCTAAAAACTTTTAATATAGACATCAGAAACCTTGACAAAAGCATAAAAAAAAGTATCAAATTTATTTTGGTACATTAGTGATCAACCAAGATAGGGTCATTCAAAGTTGGTCAGAACTTTGAAAATTTTCAGTTTCATGTGCTATTGGGCCAGAAGTGAATTTTAACAATGTGTAACTGAAGATGCAGGTTTCAAACAAATGAAAACTCATTTTTAATGCAATGTTGTATAGTTTTGAAGCAAAAGAAAGACAATACTAATGAAATCAATATGTTATATGAAACCAGCCTAAACATTGGTGAAAATTATGTTCTCAAAAAACAAAACAGTTAAAAAATGACACAGAAGGGAACTTTTGACTGTTCACATAAGTTTCATTTCAACAGTTAATCACTTGCCTCTTGATATGATTCATTCAGCTAATCTGGCACATTGACAAAACAAAAAACATGTAAAAACAGCCCAAAATGCAATTTGGCAGTAGGGTAAAACAGGTTAAAAGTATGACATCCTGAATTTGCCATAAAAAAAGTATTTATTGGCGGTATATGTCTGAGGTACTGAATGAAATTGGCTGCACTATATCCATAAACATATTTATTAAAAAAATTTTTTTTTTAAAATTAAATTTAAAAGATTAAAATTTCAGTGTTCCCTCTCCTTCATGTACATGTGTAATTGCATCAATGTAAACATCACTTTAGTCTGATGAAAGACTAAACACATTACACAAAATTTTTTTCTATTTTGTCATTAACATTCCTAACATTGTTCTAGTACTTAAAAATAAATATATCATTTTCTACCATATTGTCAATATGACAAAATACAATAAATAAGTACTCTATACCGTTTTAAAATTTATCATTAAAAAAAACAAAAAGATTTAAACTGTGTAATATCTATCAATGAAACAAGTTTGATTTAAAATGGGGGTCCAACTGGCAATGCTCATTCACTTGGTCAGCAATACAAATTCGGTGTATCAGACCCAATAGTTTTGCACAAAACAATCACAATATACTCTGTATCTGATTCACGTGTGCTTCAAGTTGTATTGGTGTAGAGATATGAAACCAACTGGTTTGGTTTGTTTTTTGGCATATCAACCTCAATGGGTCATTTAATGCCAACAACTTTTTTTTTTCCTGGTAATTTTTGTTTTATCAAGAATCTATTTCTGGTATAGCTGGTAATATTATTTTCAAAAATGTATTGCTGGTAATATTTTTTTCCAAAACATTGCTGGTAATAGTTTTTTCTTCAAAAATTTATTTCTGGTAATAATTTTTTACAAAGTATTTCTGGTATTAAAACCTATTTTTACACTTTCATAATGCTTTTTTCTTCAGTTTCGTGGTTAAATATTTGCCGATAGCTGGAACCCTAACAGGTGCTACTCCCCTGGGTCAAGGTGGACCTGGGAACACCAGCAATTAAGAGGTGGTTCCATGCTCCTCAAAGCCGCCTGATCTGAGGCCATGCAGTTGGACGTAGTTTATCGTCATACCCAGGACAGTGAAACCAATTGATTATTAAAGCTGAGACATTGCTCTACAAGGTGCCATTGTCATATTTTTTAAAGAATTAAATTTCTATGGTATATCATTGGCCATCATTGAAAATAATGACATAACTTAGAGACATGGAATAAAAACTCACCATACATAAGAAATCTTTGTACCTTTTTAAAGAAAAAAAAATGATATGATGTTTACATATTACTTTTATTAAAATGGCCTCAAAAATAAAGACATACCAGCAGTTGAAATAGAAGGAAATTCCACTATCATGTCACGTTTTCAGCATAAACTAGAGCAGTTTGCGATACTGACAAGAATAAAACTAAATGAACCAGCATTTATGAGTGCAGCCAGAATGATAGTTAATTCTGTTTTTGATTATGGTTGGAAGATAGATTCTAAAAAGAAATCTACATGTTAATTGATTATGTAACCAATTTCATTAAAAGCTCCCAACATGGATTTACAACACACTGATGGATAAACTAATTTTTTTTTTGATTAGATAAGAGACGTTAACAACAAAAAGTACTGCACACACACACATACGTACATACATACTTACATGCTTGTTCAGGTTTCAGAATTGAATCTTTATCTTGACTTATCTGAAGGGGAAAATAAGAGAGATCAGAATAATTCAAATGACTTCACATGATCCAAACAATTAAAGATACACAGATTTAATAAATAACAAAAAAAAAAAAAAAAAAAAAAACAGTTCAAACTAGTTGAGAAGAAAGTGATTAAAAATAAAATAAAATTTTTTAAAATAAATAAATAAAATACAAAATATTATTCTTAAACTATATTTTTAAATTTAAATACTTGATATTTTGGATAAAGTTGACATAAAAATAAAGTTAGTAAATCACTTATATTTTATGAAATATCAAAGATAAATCTCTACATGTGATGACAATATTATAGACTAAGTCATCTCTTATGATGCGTAAACAGCAACATTTATGGTCACTTCTTAAACTTCAGACACAAATAGTTTTAGAAAAAAGATATTTTCATTCAATTAATTTACACACAATCTGCTTTTTGTAAACAGCAAATGTAAAGAGAAATATTTTGTAAACAATAAAATATTTTTACAAGTGGAATTTATAAAGTAATAATCTAGCTTTTGATTTTATTTATTACATTCAAAACATTTTTTCATTGTCATTTATAAACATTTACTTTAGCTTCAAGATTTAAAATGAATTCCACAAAAATGATAATGTTTTAAATGAGACTTTTAAACTAGCAATTATTGATCTTATTGCAAGTTAAGCATTTTTGTTATATTTTGAAAAATTAAAAAAAAAAAAAAGAAATTTTTTTTTTATCAGCAGAAAAATTAAATCTCAGAAATGATCAGAAGTCCAACTTTTCTACAGAACAACTTTTGGGAATGTAGATAATACTACCAACTTCTAATGCTCTGATCAAATCATAATTTTTTTTTTTAAAAAGCATGTTAAAGTATCTGTGAAACTAATGTTGACTCAAGCAACATTGTTTACCAATACTTGACTACCGAGCCTCACTCTGTAATATAGTGAATGCAAAAGCTAACTTGTCAACATTATCATCATCATGTGATACTATGTACACCCACATAGAAAGAGAAAAGATGGTTTTATCTCAATCTCAAGTGCTTTTGCTTGATAAACCAGTGGATGGTTCCTTTTTAAGTTTGATCTTCTAAGTGGCATTCATTTCAGCCGAAAGGAAAATGGGAAGTAAAGGGATTTTCAAAGATCATGTGGCAATAAAACCGGAAATAGAGCATATCCAGGTGATGGTATATATTAAATCATGCTTAGGATCAGAGAGAGAGAGAGAAAACATGAGTGAGTGCTAGTCAGCCCTTGGCAGGAGACAAGTGTCATGCAGTTCCAAAGCCTCCATTTTGTATTGCCAAGCCACCACTTCAGGATGAGTAGATGGGCAAGGAGTTTTAAGGAGAACAGTTAACATAGCAGAAGTTGTCCCACGTAACACCTACCTACCTACCCACCCAGACAAACAGGTGAAGCCCAAAATAAAACTCATACAAATAATATGGGAATAGGTATTCCTTGACATGGGTTTGTCTTTCTCCATGTTACCTTATGTGAATGCAGTGGGCCCTTCCCTAGCTTTTGGTCCACATTAACGAGAATCAGGTATGCAATGTAGTGTAATCATTGGCCATTTAGTGCAAAGCTTGGGCAAGGGTGCTATTGTATATTTACAATTAAACACCGATTAAATACAGTAGGGACACATGAAAATTTGATTTATTTTTGTCACAATCATTTTGCATATATTTTTTCTTTTCTATTGATAATAAAATTGTATTCAATCAAAGACCAGTTCAATACATAATTTACAAGTAAATAACAAAATTGCTTTAAAAAGAGAGAGAGAGAGAGAGATAGAAACTTACAACTAAAAATTTTTCAGGGTCAGGATCTGCATCACTGTCTTCTTTCTCAGATTCACTCTTATCTTCAACATCTCCATACGATACCAGTCGAGCTGAAAGAAACAAACAAAAACATGTACATTGTTTAATAACATCAAACAGAGTGCCAATAACCAGTGTAAAATGTTTTCTTTTTCATTTGAGAAGTTTACAGATGTTACAGCTTTTATTCTAAGGGGTTAGTATCACTATTTACTTATGTACATACATAAAATGATTTAATTACATCCTAGCTTCATATATATATATATATATATATATATATATATATATATATATATATATATATATATATATAATATATAGATATAATAGCCTCTTTGTCAGCATCACTTATTCCTAACTACTAACAATCTTTCTTTTCAATTTTTAATGAACAACAAATAGATTAAGTATTGAAACCTGCTTTTCGGTAACAAAACTGAAATATTCACCGAGTAAATAATTTCCACCCTTAATGTTTCTATTGCGATTTTTATTCATCTTGTATTAAGATCCACACTCAGCAAGAATGCACATTTACAAATTCTTTTGTGAAGAAGGCAGATGTATGGGAGTTGGCCAAAATGTTCATTTGTTTTTAAATATTCTACTTAATAAGCAAACAAACTTTTTGTCAAATGCAATACTTTCTAGCCTACTACAAACATTTTCCAGAGGTTTTATTGAGAAAAGCATTAATAAGTATTAATTTTTGTTTTTAATTATTTTACTGTATTTTTTAAAATATTTGGAAATCATTCATGGGATACATAATCTGTATTCTTCTAGCTTGTCCCCTATCCACAAATTTCAGATGATCAATGGACCATTCTTGTTTGCAAGAAGAGACTGAAGATATATCAGAGTTATTTGGTTTTACTTTTAGGGAAAGGAAAGAAAGAAGATAGAACAAATAACATTCATAGATATAATAGCCTCTTTGTCAACATCACTTATTCCTAACCACTAACAATCTTTCTTTTCGATTTTTAATGAACATGAAATTGATTAAGTATTGAAACCTGCTTTTAGGTAACAAAATTTAAATATTCACTGGGTAAATAATTCCCACCCTTAATGTTTCTATTGCAATTTTCATTCATCTTGCATTAAGATCCACACTCAGCAAGAATGTGCCATTACAAATTCTTTTGTGAAGAAGGGAGATGTATGATTTCTAGTGGAGTTGACCAAAATGTTTGTTTGGTTTAAGTAAATTTTCTATTTAATAAGCAAACAAACATTTTGTCCAACCCAATACTTTCTAGCCTACCACAGACATTTTCCAGACATCTTATTGAAAAAAAAAAAAACATTAATAAGCATGAAATTTTTTGTTTTTAATTATTTCACTGTACTTTTTAAAATACTGCGGAAATCATTTATGGGATACATAATCTGTATTCTTCTAGCCTGCCCACAAATTTCAGATGATCGATGAAGTCATGGACCATTCTTATTTGCAAGAAGGGACTGAAGATGTTTGGTTTTAGGGAAAGGAAAGGGAAGAAAGAAGATAGAGGAACCAGTAACATTCATGTTTAACGTCTGCTACAGTGAAAGAAAGGGAAAACCGTGTCAATTTCAAATATTTTCATTTGTACCCTCTTACTTATTTAAATAATGACCTGCATTCAGCAGAGTATTGTTATTGTAATATTTTGTTAAAGTTCAAACATTTTTAATGATGCAATATAGAAATAAAAAGGACACTGATACTTCACATCAGAAAGAGACAGTTGAAATTTCTAGGGAACATAACGAGGAAAGAGGGCTTGGAAAATTTAACACTCACAGGACATAAAGGCATGAGAGACAGCGGATAGCAGTGAATACTAACCAGTAACACTTAACTAACGAACTTGTGTAAATGGATCACAGAACAGGATTTAGGAGAAATAACAAAGAGACAAAAAAATTTAAAAGGAGCTACAAAGAAGGTCAGGAAATTGTGGAGAGCCATGAGCGCCAACGTTCTAAAAAAGTGACACAGTATATAAAACTGGATTTGTATAATCGTGCAACTCGTAAGTTAATTCAATCATTAACTTGAGAATTATGATGGATCAGGAAATTCAAATCGTGAAAATTTCACGGTGCTTTATTTTATTTTTTTACTTACTTTTGGCTTTCATAAATTTCAGATCTTTGTCGTCTTCTGTTCTTGTGTTAAGCTCTCTGTCGATAGGAGGAGCGGCTGATACTCTGGGCAAATGTGTTGTCATTTCAACTCGAGTGCTTTCTTCATCGGAAATATTGTCAATAACAGACTCAGATCCCAATCTGGACTCACTATCATCTTCACCAGCGGTATTAGTGTTATTACTATTATTATTCGAGTTACTATTATTGCTGACAGAATTCTGACCCCTGTTTTTACTTTCTCCATCTTCGTTAGCTTTAGGAATGTCCTCTTCACCACCAGAAGAATGATGCTCCGTTTCTTCTTCGTCGGAATATTCTCCATAAGCCCCGATAGACAACATACTAGCTGTGCCGGCCATTGTCAGGCCTTTAAATCTGTCGGTCTTTCTAAGAATCTATAACACACTCAAGCTTTTTAGCGAGTGGCAAACTTTCTGTATCCGAAAGAAATAACTCCAGTCAAAATAAATTTAAATCTGGTTGCATGCAAAAACAAAAGTAAACATCACATCTCTACTCAACACGTGAAAGCGGGAATGTAATGGCTACCGGAAGTAGCAACTTGTCATCTCCGCACTGAATAATAGTAACGCTAAATAAAATATTAAATTAAAAAAAAAGTACTTATTTTTTAAAATCTGTAAATTCAGTAAATATATAGAATTTATTTAAGACTTTTTAATGATTTTATTGATATGTAAGCTTAATTAAAAATTTGTACCTTAATTAGCTAAAAATCCTAAAAAAATAAACTCATTAGGCAGCGAAGGGAGAGTTCGACAAAGATTTTTTTTTCAAAACATTTAAATCTTAAAATTTTACTTTACTGAACATAATTCATTCATTTTTGTTTACAATAACGTTTAAATGATTAATTTGATATTAAAAAATTTTCTTGAAATTGTAAGAGTGCGTCAAAACAAATTTGACGTTTTTTTTTGTTTTTGGTTTTCCAACGGTGTCACCAGTCAGCGTTCGATCCTAGGTAAAAATCTAGGATTTCTATGCCGTTTTTCAAAAGAATGCGCAACCTACTCACACTTTGTGAAAAAAAAAAAGGGTAACATAATTGTCTCACGATTGGCCTTATAATAAGATAAAAAATGCATACACTGTTAATTACAATGACTATTCCACCAAAATTAACTGTTTAAAATTTTGACATACCTGGATTCAAACACTGATAATATTTTTATATGTCTGTCTATATTTGGTAATATATTTTGCAACATGGGAAAACCATATATAAATTTTTATATTGTTGCAGGTGGTATATTGGCCTGCAAACAAATATTGAATGATAGCAGACAACAACAAATAAAATGAAGACGAGTAAAAATATATGTATATATTCTCAAGTTTATTTTTGTTGACAAAAATAAGGTTACAGTGCACTAGGCAAAAATATCTTGGCATGTTCATGAAGAGGGTGAGAAGAGTGTTAAAGAGTATTGTCCTGAGAAGGATAGTTTTGTAGTCTTTGAAAAGTGTATGGCATATCATTGATGCTGGAAAGAATGGCTGTCTGGCTGAAGCTGGAGGTGGCCGGCTGGAGTTGGGGGCCTGCTGGAGGTGGCTGGCTGGAGTGGTGGTTGATGATGATGATAGTTGACTGGAACTGCTGCTGTTACTGGAACAGATACTACTACACTTTGATCCTAGACATCTTGGTTACAGATTGTTGTTTTTGTTGATCTTTTAAGGCCTTTTTATATGCTGAATAAGTTTTACAACAGTTACTAGAAGGTGACATTTCTTCTTCCGGTGGTGTTTTAAAAAAATGTGTAAATGCAGACAGGGTACAACAAGAACAAATTTAGGGAAATCTATGGACAAAGTTGGAAATTTTTTTTCATGTAATGCATTTCATCCTTTAGGACTTCATCAGACTGAAAAAGAGATGTTAACATTGATGTAACTTAACTAGATATGCACACAAAGAGGAGTGGACACTGAGAATTTTAAATTTAAATTTAATTTTTTTTAAATCCTAAATTTAAATTTATATGATGAGGAGAAATACATTAAAAATACTTTTAAGTTCTTCCAATTCTCTAATTACTTCATATTCACTGCAAAACAAAAGACTTATAAAATATTTCAGAATAGAAGAGTGAACCTTTTTGATAAATCCAACAAATCAAAATATACTGTTCTACCCATCAACTCTCTCACAACTACAATTAGAAAGAATTTATCTAAACTCAAAATATTTGTCACAAATACTTCTAAAACAATAAAAGACTTAATTAATACAAAACAAATTTTTAAGGGGGGCATTTACTCTATCATCCATAATATTTGCCATGAGGAATATATAGGTGAAACCTCAAGGAATTAAAATTAAGGATTATATAAAAACAAAAGGAAGCTTTTACAAAATAACATACTAAATACATTAGTTGCTTAGCATAATAAGTCTGATCATCATTTTTATTTAAAAATGTTACTTTAATTAAAAGCAATTTACTAATGTGAGAATGTACAGAAAGGGCTTTAATCACTAGATCATCCATAGTAAATTTATGTCCAGATTCTTAAAACATTTCACCTTTCTTGGCAGATCTTGTATTATCTTGATGTGGAATATTTAATAATAAAAGTTATAAAAACTATAAACGAAAAGAAAAAGAAACTAAATAAAATCAGCTAGACTATATACCCCAAAAACATATTAAAAACTAATTTAAAATCTAAAATTTGTGCACATGTATAGCCACATCAACGTAAACATATGTATATATATCAGAGCAATTTTAGGAAAATCTATGATAAAGTAGATACAAAGACTTGTAAAATATTTGAAAATAAAAAACAGACCTTTCTGACAAACCCAGTGAATCAAAATATATTGTTCCACCCACCAACTCTATTACTACTACAATTGAAAAAAAAATAACTATCCTTAGCATAAAATTTGTTACAGCTACTTTTAAAACAATAAAAGACTTAATTAATACAAAAAAAATAATAAGATAAAAATTTGAAGGAGGAATTTACTCTATCACCTGTAATGATTGCCATATGGAGTACACAGGAGAAACTTCAAGAAAATTAAATAAAAGATTATATGAATACAAAAGGAATCTTTTACAAAACAACACACTCAATGCATTAGTTTTTTTATACTAATGTTCACCCAATACAAGGTCCAAGAGCCATTCAAGGTAGAGGGTTACTGTGTAGTGTTGTATGAGCATAATAAAGGGCAAGAAATCAAGTTCATGGGGATATACAGGAAAGATAATTATTAACCCTAGACTTGCAGAAGTCAAGATTGTAATGTTTGGGAAAACATACCGCTGGGAGTCTGTTCCACAAAGCAGAAGTACTTGGGAAGAAACTATCTGAAAGAAACTTTACTATTGAATGGGGATGGTTCACACTTGTGTACATGGCATAGTAGATCCCAGTTGTAAAGGTCAAGGGTGGTGAGACTAAGGAAAGTAGCTCGTCAGAGCACATACAAATGGAAATAGCAACAAAACAACAAGAGGATTCACAACATTTCATCAGTTGGAAAGGGATTGCAGGGTGGAAAATAATTCATTATCCACAAAACAGACAAGTGAAGAGAGAGTAAAGGATAGCTTGTTCCAATAGACATTCAAGGAAAGGACCTTCCTTGAGAGAACACCATCCATCATGATAGGTGAAAGTTCATTGTCTGCTTGATGGTGGTAAAACATTACGAGATTGGTTTTGGCCATATTGAATTTTACAAACCAGTCCTTTCCCCATTGAGCCACCTGGGCTGGATCAAAGGAGTGATGAATGGTTAGGTTTGGTATTCCAGATTTGGGGAGGTGCACTTGTAAACTACTGCATTATCCGCATAGATACTCACTAATAATTGGAGCATGCTCTTAAGCAGATCATTAATATACAGTTGTAGTTTAAATAAGTCTGTATTGCTACGATGTCACTTGTACAAATCAAGATACCGCTGGTTCAATTCACTGTTCTTGCTTTCTGAACACTTCACAAAGTATATCCATCTTTTGTTCTGCCATTTTTACTGTTTCAGCCCTCTTTTACCAGGCAAACACTGCGTCGACCAACCAATCAGTGTTCTTCGCTTTTATTCTCATTTACCCAGGCAAATAGCCTCCTCCAGTTTGACCAATCAGCAGATGACTTCCTATTGGTGGAAGCATGCCAAACTGTATAAAAACCCTTGTTACCGCACATACTGCTGGAACTGCTCGGGGGGAGAGTAATGCCATTTTCACAAGGCAAACTTGCCGATGTCACATGTCACCTATTAAGATAAGACCCTTATTTTCCTATGCACCAGATGCAAGCCACTCTGACTCGCTTGCTTTTACAGGGCTGTTCATCACAATGTGGGATGTTTAATAACAAAAGTGATAAAAACATAAAGAAAAAGAAAAATAAACTAAAATCAGTTAGACTAAATACCCAAAGCATATAGTTAAAAAAAAATGAATTTAATATTCTCAGTGTCCCCTCTCCTCCATGTGCATGTGTAGTCACATCAATGTAAACATCACTTTCGTCCAGTGAAGTCCTAAAGGACAAAATGCATCATGTGAAAACCTTTTTCTTCTTTGTCATAGATTTACTTAATATTTGGCAATATGATAAAATCTCAAACATAGTGGTTGAAAGTAAATAAAAAAACACACACAACACACATAATAGATTAAATGTGTAAATACTGCACAATAATGATGAGTGTAGACACATGCAGTGAAAACAGTTAGAGTAGGGCTTACCATGCACTAAAAAGTTGCAACAAAAATGCTCAATGAAGAACAGAGCAATATAAAATCTAAATTAAAATGCAAAATAGTTGCTCACTCACTACTAAAGTTTCACCAAATTGGCTCATCAAGCAGTAAGTGTTTAGGAATGTAGTAATTGGTAAAGTTTAATAAATAAAATAAAATAAAAATATTTCTTAAATCTCCTGAAAAGTATTACCTATTTATCATCTCCTTAACATTAACAGGTCAATCAGCTAACTTTATTTCTGAAACCAGATACTTTGATAAGTAAAACAAAAGATCAAAGTCCCTGTATCAAAGAGAAGAACAATCCTACTCGCACTCATCAAACTCACTGACCATTTACTAGCCCCAAATATAAATCCCAAAAATAAGGGCTTTAACATCTTTGAAAATTTTTAGGTCAAGGGAGAACAAAAACACTCATTGTGTTACTGGCCCTAAGAACCGGCTGATATTTTTTTTTTTAATGGACTGTGATTGGTAGTTCAAAGGTAAACTGCCCCCTTTGAAGGGGAAGGGAGAACTGGGACTGGAACTTAGCAGCAGTTGGAAATGAGACCACTTAGAAAGAAGAGGTTCGTTTTCTCTCTCCCTGCTGAAAAGGCAGGAGCGTTTGCCCATAAGTAAAGGATGTATGGGTAACAAAGTTGCTGAGTGCAAGTTTCCCCTTCAGAGAAAGTTTTGAGAAGTCCTCTTGAAAAAGCCACAGAAAAGAAAGTTGGAAGGAAGTCCATAAGTGGAGTGTGGAGCTAAAGCCGTTTGAGAAGAAGGAGCAGACACATGAGTATTCAAAAAGTGTTTTAGTGCATGTTTAAGTAAATTTTCACCTTCTAGCGGCTGTAAAAGAAAAGGCGTAATATCCAGGCGGACGGGAGGAAAATAAGTGAAGAAAGAACGGAGTTTGGTGACCAAAAAGAGAACCTTGTCTACTCAAGAGAGAAAAGAAAAACTTTTGAACCTTGAAAGAACTGAAAGTGTACTGAAGAGCTAAAGCTCTTCCCCCTTTTTTTATTGTTATCATTGACACAGCAGGGGGGGGGGCTATTCTTTTTTTGTTTTTTTTGTGCATTGTAATTTTTAAGTTTGTTTTCTGCTATGTTTTTTTACATTGTGTTACTCAGAGAATAGGTTATCTTATTCTCAGCAAAAAGGGACAAATTTTTGCAAGAACCCTTATTTAGCTGGTTAGAAATAAATATTTTTTCTTTGTAATTGAATCTGATTTGCATTTATTTTCTTTCTTTTTCGTTATTAATTTGGGCAATAATGAAAATACTGTTGCAGCAGGTTTTATTTTCTGAAAGAAAAGAAAATTTCCAAAACATCATTTCTCTCTAAACTTTTGCCAGAAAGCAAAACATGCTGGTCCATTCCACTAACCCCAAAGAACTAATTTGGATGACTGCCTCCTACAAAGAAGGAGGAGTTACACTTTCTCTATTGCTCTCTCTGTTCTAACATAGCACAAGCTACAAACTCTGTCTCACAAAAAGGATACAAGTCTATATTTGTGTACAAAAGAAAATAAACCTTCAAAAAAACATTTTCTAAACATTTATTCATTTTGAATATAAAATACAATCTTTTGTGTCAAACTCTACAGAAACAATTTTACGTTACAGTTGAATCAACATATTTTTTATCATTGAAAATTTTAAAATGCTCAAACTGTAATGTCTGTGTAGAAAAATATTAAAAAGCCTTATAAATTAAGATTTTTTAAACTGATACAAAAGTTACTTATCAAGAAAAGATATTGCAATTAAATTAGGATGTTGTGATCATAGTGAATTTTAATGATACAGATTTTTATCATTTAGCAGAACAAGATGTCCAAACTGAATCTGCATTTGTGGAATAAAATCTCCAAATTATTGATAATTTTCCCTCTCTGGTTGAATCAAGACTTAATGTTGTGGGTATGATTCTTACTGAAGAGAGTGAAGTGTTTTTAAAGAAAAACTTTAAAAATTCATATAAATTAAGATTTGGTAAAATAAACAAATTAAACAGAGTAGCCACATTAGTAAAGCATATTCCATTAATTGATCCATTTCAGAAAAAAAGTCTTTTTATGGGAAATTATTAAGGTACAATATCTTTACTGGGCAACTTAAAGTTTAATTAACTTTCAATTTACTGAAGAAGATAAAAATTACTCAACATTTAAAACATTTACTAAATTATTAATCTGCAAAGTTTCAAAGTTATTATATATTCTATACTATTAAAAGAAAAATTCAATTAAGCATTTTTCTGTTAAATATTCACATACAAAGCATGTGGACTTGATGGTATCCCTGCAATAGTCCTTAAGATATGTCATCCCTATTCTGGTTCCTGTTCTCTCTAAACTCTACAATAAATACTTTGCTCTTCTTGCTTTCCTGCTTATTGGAAATCCTATTTTGTATTTCCCGTCTTTAAGAATTCAGGTAAACTGTCTGATCCTTCTACTTATCAGCCTTCTACTGTTTTGTGACTTGTGGAGTCATAACTCACATCATAGCAATAGAAATTAGCCTTGTGTTCACAGAGATAAAAGCATACTTGACAGGAAATAAAACATACATAAATAACAGGAAAAGCATGGTAAATTGTATGTTAATTTCATACAATTTATTTATATTTTGTATGCATTGGTATGTGTATTTTTAGGTTACTGTTGTTTTATCATACATGTGATAAAAGGGAGAATTTACTCCAAAGTATTATAAGCCATATCACAGAGAAAAGTTACACATGTATTGCCCATACCAAGGTTTATGGTGAAGTGATTGAATTTAACATCTTTTCACAGGATGTCTGTATTTCTGGCAGGAACAGTTTTTGTTGCATGCTAGGAGTATTTTTATTATTTTATTTTTAATTTATTTATACAATGTTTTTATGTTGATGTTTTATTTTATTTTATTTATAATTTTCATTTTTATTTTTTTATATTTTATTTTTATTTATTTATAATAATAATAATAATAATAATGATATCCCTACATATCAACCCCGGATTGATTAAACCTCACCTCACAGGATCTTCTTCAATATGACTTTAATTTCTCAAGATCATCTGCTGATATATTAATGGTTATTCCTGAAAGAGTCTATCAAACTTTAGATTGGAATGGGGAAGCTAAGTCTGTTGTTTTGGATGTCTCAAAGGCATTTGATATGTTGGTCTTCTTCACAAGTTGAAAGGTTATAGTATTTCTGGATGAATTTTTGATCTGAATTAATCTTTCTTATTAAATTGCAAAATAAAAGTTATCTTGAATGGCATTTTTAATACCTGCTCCGCATTTAGAAAGAATTCAAGTAAAATGTGCCATTTGCATTTTCTCAAAATTTCACAGGAAGCCAGACATTAGTTTATATATAGAAATATGTGCTGAGTGTCTCCAACATTTTGAGAAAGCAACATAAAATGAAACCATAATCAGCACCAGTATCTGGAGACACAGCATAAACAGAAAAGCCATGTCACCAATATATGGTGACCGTATATTGGTGACATGGCAGTCAACATGTTGATAAAAAATGTTATTTCCAAATAGTGGACATTTTTGTCAATTTTCAATTTATGAGGGTCTGACAGATCAGTTTTTAAAATTTAATTGCCAGACTACCCACACATGATTTCATTCTAGGGGTGAAAGTTTGTGAAGAACCAGAACCAGTCACACTTTTTTTTTGGAAGAACAGAGAAATGATGTGCCTAAGGCTCTAAACAGACTGCTTCAGGTTTGAATTCAGTTTTCCTTCTCCTAAACTGTCCTGTTATTTAATCCATAGCTGGGGGAGAAGAAATGGATTCATCCTTTTCCCTAAGGGCATTTGTGCAAAAGTGAATGTGTTGGGTATCGGTTGAGGAAAGACCATTTGGCCTTACTTCCGCTGCATCAGTGTGTAAAAAGAAATCAGACCAGGTGATAGCATAAACAGAAAATGCATCCAATGGTTAAAACAAACAGGGCATACAGGTGTCCTGAAAGGAAGGAAATGCATGCTTGTGTGGATGCATGCTGGCCACATGAAGTTGTGTAGGTGATATAGCAGAAGGTGTTGCGATGTGAAGTTGTGTAGGTGTCAAAATGTTATTTAACCAGTCTGATTCTTGATCTGGCCAGAGGCTGGCTAGAGGTTCACCAAAGATTTGTCTCTGGCAATTTCTGTCTGAGCAATCCTAACCTCTGATTCTCCCTCACTCTACCAATTCGCCACAGCTTGAACAATAAAAATATTTATATATTTTTATACATTATGTCATTCGCAGACAGTACTGTTTCACTGTATCACAGCTCCTCAGTGCGACTAGACATCCGAATACTTCAAGTCCGGATTGAAACCCAACCGATCAGTCAGAGTTTCTACCACTAAGCTATCTTCATTCAACAGAGAGAAACAACTAAATCTAACGTATTGTTTTTACGAATGAAAACAAATGTCAATCAGCCAGAGTGCTCCAATTCATTTTTTGTTGTATTATTTGAGCTCAGCAGCAATATACTATAATAAAAAAAAAAACCTCAGTTTCAGTTAATTCCCTTTTGTACCTCAACTCTAAATGTCTTTGTTTCCTCTGCTATGACCAAATATTGAAATCACAACTCTGTAGTCAATTTTAGGATCCTCTAGCCAATTCTTTTATCCACTGGGTCATGTGTCCTTGGAGGAGTGAATTTTTGGGGATTTATAAACTTAATGTCTTAGTAAACATATTTTTACCAGAGCTCACATTACAATTTTTTGTTATTGTTGTTTCGTTTTCTCTAGCTTTTTTACTGGTTCCTATATTGTATTCATTTCTATACTTGGTCGACTTAGATTTTTTTTTTGTAGCCTAGCATATGTGCTGATTCCTTAAGTTTTCATATTTTCCAGTGATATTCTGAGAACAGTCCAATAAAAATATTTATCATTTAAACATTAATATCAATTATTTATGTAAAAAACGAAATACAACTCTCCTAACTCAAGAAAAGACTAGAATGCTCAAAATTTAAAAATGATAATGTCTAGAGAATAAACTGCAACAAATGAAAAAAAAAAAAAAAGAAAAAAAGAGAAAAAGCTAAAAAGTGAGTGTAAAGTGGAAAAAAAAAATGAAATAAAAATAATCATGACATCCTACACGTATGCACACCTACAGACAGGTGCACATGCACACAAACAATATGGAAAAAAAAAACTTACAATGATCAAAAATACCACCTTGAGAACATCTGTGTACAAATTTTGGGGACTTATAGACCTAATGTCTCAACACCATTTTTTTACCAGTGCTCATATCACATTTTTTCTGTTATTATTATTGCATTTTTACCAGAGATTATACTGAAATTGTTATTCATTGCTTTTCTCTAGCACTCTGTATTACTGGTTCCCATATTGTATTCATATCTATGCTTGGTCAGCTCAGGAGATTTTTGTGGCCTAGCATATGTGCTGATTCCTTAAATTTTCATATTTTCCATCACTGGAAAATATGAAAACTTAAGGAATCAGCACATATTGAACTCACAAAGAGTTGTGAGTTCAATACCAGGCCACAGCAGTAGTGAACCAAAACTTGGAGAGTTGAGTTAAAGGGAAATAACTGAGACATGGCATGTGGAACTAGAACAATCTACCCTGGTTGAATGAAATAAAGGGTTCAGTTCAAAATTCCAATCACCTGAAGAAGGCCAGAGCATACAATGACTGAAACATTGTGAATATGACAATGAAGATGAGAATAACAGTCTGAATAATGTAAATAATCATAATAACTCATCTCAGAGATATAGACAGTTAATGAAAGATATTTTTAAAATATCATTTTTAAATGTAAAATGACAAATTTCAAATCTAATATGTTTCTGAGTTCAGCTGAAAGAATGGTAAATATCAAAATGATGATTTCAGGAGCTATTTTGAGCCATACATTGCCAGATATAAGTATCTAATAATGTATGGCTTAAAAGAAAATTAGACTTTCCAAAAGCAATGTTAAGGTCTTTTTTTTCTTCAAGAAAATATTTAAACACAAAACTATTTTTTGTAGAAAAATATATTTATTACTTTTCATTGTTACATGAAATTCAGTTATAAAAACAAGCATTCTCACTTGAGGACAACAAAGGACTTTTTGAAAAGAAAACAAAAGACTTTCTTAAAGTTATTTTATATTTCAGAAATTAATTCCTTTTATTGATTCATATAAATAGTATAACTTGTAGCTGGAAGAATCGTGGTAATCTAAAAAAAAAAAAAATTCATTATTCTTACAATTCAAAAGAAATATTTTGACTTTACCCCCCCCCAAGCTAAATCAATCAATAAGGGATTCATAAGTATAGTTATTAAATTCAAATTAGTATGGCACAAGGCCATAGATCTAGCTCTGATGGCTCTGGATCAAGCTGTTTTCAGTGCATTTAGCTCAGTCATGTGCAAATTGTAGCCTTCAGACAACATGCTGCCTATTTGGCTTTCTGAATGGCTTGCTTAAATTCATGAAGAAAATAATGTTTATAAAAATTTTATTAATTTCCTTTTTTCTTCACTTGTTCACTGACACACTCTCTCATAAATAACTACATACGTAAACAAGATGAAGTACAATATTTCTTGAATCTTATAATCTTTTGTTGACAATTTCTCATTATTTTAAGTCATCAGCAAATTTCACTAAGGAAGATCATACACGTAAACCTCTTTTGATTTAGAAACACCAAATGTTCAAAATAATTTTTTTTCTCTGGAGGAGAAATTTTTATTTGGATAAAAATTTTTTTTTTTTTGTATTTTCATATGAATAAATTACAAATTAATAAAATGCAGTGAAGAGTATTAATCAGTTATCAGTGATAATATTAAGATTTCAGCATTCTAATTAAAGAAAAAAATCTTTTCTGTTGCCCCATTTCTAAGGCAGATGCACACATATTTTGGTCTTCCATAGTGAAAATGGTTGAAACACTTTCAACAAAAAATTACCTTGAATCGTTTTAATAATGTAGCCTGCCATATGATCTCATGCAGCTCACAATTTGGAAAATGTTGCTCATGCATGATTGAGATTTTTTTAATTATCATTTTTTTTTTTTTTATTATTAATGGTTTACCTAATACAAAGCCCAAGAGCCTGTCAAGGTAGAAGGTTACCGATTGAGGTTGTTGCATGAGTAAGTGGAGGTGAGAACTGCAGTTTATGAGGATATATAGGAAAGATAATGGTTAAGCCTAGACTAGAAGAGATTAAGATTGTAGTGATCGGGGAAGCATCCTCTCGGGAGTCTGTTTCACAAAGTAGTGTTTCTTGGCAAGCTGTCCTCCAAATGGAACTTCCTTCTTACTAACAGGATATAAAAGGAATGGGGATAGTTCATCCCAGTGTATGTAGTATGGTGGAACTATTGAAGATACATCATCTGAACATTTGTTTGTGGGGAAAGGGGATGTAGAGTGGAAAATAATAGATTCAGGAGATTGGAAAGTGAGGACCAGGCAGCAATAATCCATTTTGTGTCTGATCTGGATCTTGTAAAGATAAAGAATATCAAGGACTCAGATATCTACTGGAGTGATACAAAGAACTGACCATTTTACCAGTATATTTAGTGATGGTTTGTACTTAGGAGTTTTACTTGATGGGTGAGGTTGAACTTCCTATAGGTGTTCAAGGCAATGAGGCCTCCTTGAGAGAACAAGCATTCATCATGACAGGTGAACATCTAGAAAGAGCTAGAAGCTGATTTACAAGAGTTAAATCCACTGAAAATGAGTGAGATTGCTCAAGCTAATTTGACAACTTTAATAACAGCTGCATTTCAATACTGAAAGTATTGTTACTTGAGGTTTAAAAAAAAAAAAAAGGGTTTATTTAGGCTTATTTTATTACTTTTTATTCCAATATTTTTCTTGGCCCATTTAGCATTTAAATTGCAAGAATATAAAGTAAACATTTTTTGAAATGAGAGATGAACATGTTTTCTGTCATATTCTTTATTATTTTGGCTAGCAAATCAATGTTTAATCTTTGGTGCTACCAATGTTTTTAAAAAGATAAAGCTGCCAGGGGGACATACAGTTGGGTGTGAAGTTACTTTTTTAACCTAAACTTGCAACTTAAACAGATTATCTAAAAATATGATAAAAAAAAAAAAGGGGGGAACTTGTGTAAACTAAAAATGGTAAGTACAAATTAAGCATTAGCACTCTAAAGATGATTTATTCCCAAAGCAAAATATTTGTACTACAATTGTAGGCAACTATTTGCTGAAGAAATGTTATATTTGAATCCCATAGTTGTGTTAGCATGTCCTGCTATAGTAACAGCGAACATCACTTGGCTTGAAATTCAGAATGACGCCACTACAGTTGAGGAGGTAGAGTTAAAATTAATACATGCAAATAATGTAGAGTGTTAAAGGTTAAATTACCAGGTGCATTTCTTGGTGCCATTTGAAATCTACCAAATCTTTAACAATGAAAACTTTGGCATATCTTCCAGAATAATATATGGTAAGGAATATGAAACTGGTCATTCATGTTGGTGAAAATATAGATGTTGTGGGTTTGAATCAAGACAAATGTTGAAGATAACTAGGATGAATATTTTATACCCTCTGCATGTGACAGACACATAGCATAACCCCTCTTCCACACACACAAGAGAATGACATTATCTCACAATATTAAATGACTTGTGGCCCACAGCAAAAGCAAGGAAATATAGCTAAATATAGAAAATCAACACTGCTGAAAGAATGTCAACTGATAACTTAAAACTGGTCTGCAAGTTTCCACCTATAATAAGACCAAAGAATGATGCTTTTACATGCTTATCTTGCAAGCTATTGTCAATCAGATTTTAAATTAGATTTTGCTCATTTAGATTTACTTTGGGACACATCTATTGGAAAATTTAGTAAATGGTTTACTACGAATTTTAATAAATTGAATTTCACTTGTTCTAAATGTAAAATAAATTATATTTTCAATTTCTTTGATTTTTTTTTTTTTTACACTTTTAAGTCAAAATAAAAATTTTAGAAAATATTTTTAAAACATTCCAAAGTTGGCTCAGTCTAATAAGTATCTAATTATTGGAAATAATAATGACAAAGTCAGATATTTGTTGGACTAAGCTAACTTTCTTTGCATATTTGTATTTTTAGTGATACTATCTTTTAGGACTTTGTAGATAGTGTGGTCTACATGGTATAAAAAATAAATAAATAAATAAATAAAAAATAAAAGAATACTCAACTGTCATCAAGATGTTTTACCTTCTGATATGGACATTATATTCATTAAAAGGCTAAGCAGAATTTTGAAGTTGCTCCATTTATCAAAGTTTTCAGAATTGCTTAAAAGATCAGCAACATCTTGACTTCTACACTGACCACTCATTGGAAATACACAACTATCCAAGTACATAGCAAGCCCTGAAGAAATTATTGACATTAACTAGGCTTCAATAAGAATTCACAAGTCCAAAAAGGGAGGAAATTAGACAAAGAAGATTATGTTACACCAATCTTTTAAGGAAAATATGATCAGTATGCATGCCCAGAAAAATCAGCATTTCTGATGCAACTGACTCACTTAGCAGGCTTTGTTATAGAATTTTTGGCTGTTAGCTTTCTTACTTAAAAGGCCATTAACTGACATTTTTTTTTTGACAGTTACAAGTAAAAATTAAAAAAGAAAAAAAAAAAAGATAAAAGAAAAAAAAAAAAAATTTCAGGATTGGCAAATGGACTACAGATCGATTCAAAAGGCTCAGCTGTAAAATGTCCTCATTTTTGAAGGCTAAAATCATTGATCTTTTCTTTTTCTTAAAGTATTTCATAAAAGGTTTTGAAATCATCTATAAGTTTTCAATGAAAGTGCATTGACTTTTTATATTTGGTGCTAGGTACAAGTCCGTGATGCTTGAGTCGACGCACAGCTTCTCGAAGATGTTTTGGTTGGAGAGGTCCACTATCCTTCCACTGTTCCAGAACATCCAAGGCTAGAAAGAGAAACAAAGAAATAAATTCAATGATATTTAAACTTCACTTAAGATATACCAGAAATAAAAGTAAATAAATATATCTTTGTTGGCTGGCTGCTAATATCTAAGGATGCCTGTCTAATAGGGCAGCTAGCCAATCCTTGTTGTCAACACCTGTTCAAGCACATTTGTTTGTTCAACAGGCCAGTATTCTCAAACACTCAGTCATGATGACTTGTGAATTCATGCTAGATCAATCATCGATTGCTCTCAAATAGTTCACGAGGCTTGGGTCAACCCGTGGTATGGTTTTCAGACATTTTTTTAAAAGGTGTTGTATACTGGGATATGTACTATACAGATGATAAAGATTTTATAAGATCAGAAGGAAATAATGCCATTTTTTTTTTTTTAAGTCTGGCTCAATCAAAAAAAAAAAAATATAGGCAAAAATTTTCTGGGGAATAATTTTGTAAATTAATGTTCTTTAGACCTTCCTTAAGCTGCAACATTTGTCAGAAAATTGAAGATGTTTTTATTGATTTAAAAGTGGGCCTTGTTTATAATATAAATGTGCCAAATCGATCCCTGACTTTTACAGAGTTAAGTGTACATTTTTTTTTAATTCACAAATGTGTCTTGAAAATGTGCTAATATCATTGATATCTGCTTATTTTCTTATATACATCTGTTTGTGCTTTAATGACTTTAGTAAATTTCTGGTTTAAAATATTTTCTTAAAACAAACCCCCAACAAGTCTTTTTATGTGCAGATATCAATAATGTAAGCAGTTTCAAACCTGACATTTGTAAACAAATGGCTGAAAGTCAGGGATCGATTTTACACTGAATTGATATTATTACATCTAAAATGTTAAAATAAAAATATTTTTCAATTTTGACAAGGAAGGTGTAGAGAATACAAATCAACAAAATTTATTCTGCAGAGAATTTTTCATTAATTTTTTTTTGTAGATATAAAATGTGCCAATGACTGTCAATTTTCACAGGTGGACCTCTTCTGGTTTCTTGCTTTCTAGTCAACTTTGATCTTCAAAAATTTAAATGCAATGTTAATTGTTATTTTCTATCTTCTTAATTCCTGTTCTTTTATTGTTCTCTCTCCTTAATGTTTTTCTTTTTCTCATATCTTCTCACCCAGTAATCCATTGCATCTTAGTTGTTTTATTGTTTTGCTTGGGGTGAAATGATAAATAAAAAAATGAAAAAGAAAATAACTACAGATATTACCAAGTCCTGTTTACAAGAACTGTAGTTTTACAAAGATTTTTAACTTTTTCTATCCGCTTTTACTTTTCTCCCTCCCAAATTATTTCTAGACTCAAGGAAATATACATTTTGTAGTATACAAGCAAAAACAATGTACGAAAATAACAGAATGTGTTTGTTGGCATATTAAAAACTATAATCTAGTATTAAGACTGTATTGAATCAATTACTTAGCAAGAAAAGTTGGTTCCCTGTATTGTACCAGAAAATTTTTCACATCCGAATCCATCTTGCACATTTATAAATCTACCATTCATCCGTGCATTGAATACTGTTGCCATATTTGGTCTGGTGCTTCTGCTGTACATCTTGAGGTTCTTGACAAAAGTGAAAGAAGGATCTGCAATGTAAATCGATCCTGACCAGGCATCTCGACTTCAGTCACTTGGCATTCTTTTCTTACCTTTTCTACAAATATGTTCATGACAACTCTTCTGACAAGCTTTTTCCCCTGGTACCCCAAATGCATGAATTTAAGCGTGCTACAAGCTCAACATCTAGGTCCCACCCTTTTACTGTTGTAATAGCTAAATACAACTGCCAATTCTACTCCAACAGTTTCTTTTCTTTCACTTCCCACCTGTGGAATTCTTGTTTTCTTGCTTCCCCGATAAATAAAATCTTCAAAAATTTAAATGCAACAGCAATTGCCATCTTCTGTCTTCTTGAATCCCGTTCATCTTTTGTCCTTTCCTCAATCCTTGATATTCTCATTCTTTTCTTTCACTTTCATTCCCCATAAGCCCCCTTGTGCACTAGTGGCATTACTGCCTTGCTTGGGGTGAAATGATTAAAAACAAAGTCCTAATGATGGCAAAAAAGGTCATTTAATTTACACAACAAATATCTTTCAACATAATCCCATTCAATGCAATGAATTCATTATTGAATACTGATCACAATAGATCAGACATTATATAGTGAAAATTTCAGATCAAAATTCAGCTAATAACATACAAAGCCACAGACTTACCAAATTAATCTCACACACATGAAATAATAATAATAATATACATAGATTAATTATTAAGTTTTGACTTGTTTCATTCATCTTCTCAATGACTTTTATCCTGATATTCAATGTTGATTATCTTCCAACATGAAATCAGAATAAAGAATTCGTATCTTATATCCTGGAACATTGTAATGTTGTTCGTGTTAGACAATCAGTTCAATCACACGGATGAATGGTCAACATTCAACTTTGAATATTGTGGTTAAAAATAAAACAAAACACGAGATAAAGAAAATTATTCAAAAGATTTATAACTGAAAATTCAAATAAATTTATTGCGAATACAAAAATGAAGAAAAAGAAAAAAAAACATTTAAAAATAACAAAGAGAAAATAAGCCTGGCTGGTGAACAAGCATGATAGATAAGAGGACTGATTGGATTTTGTTTCTAAAATATTTTTAGGTTTACAAAAAAAGGGCAATGGAATAATAATAAAAATGCACTAATTAAACAGGACTACTACTAAAGGTCTAGCAGTCAATCCTATGTAAAAGCATATTAAGTTTACTGAACCAAAATCTTTCATTTTATCATAAATTTCAGTATACACACACAAAAGTTCCAAAAAGAACACATTTTAAATTGCTTAAAAAGACAAAAGATATTCAAATATATTAACAAGTAATATTTCAGTATTTATATACAACAAACAGTTATTTAAAATGATACATATGAGTGGAATATTACAATGACACATTTATTGGATAAGCAAAATCATGTTTATTCAGTTTATTAATTAAGAATAAGACATTTTTTTCTTCAACATTAATATATTTATTATTTTGCCATTTTTTAAACAAATTCATGATTCCATCTTCAATTTTTTTCCTTCTCTAGACTTTTCATAGTGCTCTAGAAAAGTAATAATTTTTCATTAAGAGGATACTGTAAAGACTGGAATAAATAAAGGTACAATTTCCGTAAAAATGGTGGAACATCCTAACCAAACTGTACAATTTTTCTCTGGTTTCCAAAGAAACCTACAGACTACTGTCATCCTGAATATTATGTCCTTTCTCTTAATTCTGGAGACACTTTTTATCAATGACAACTTTCAGTTGGCAGAAGTACATGCTCAAATCAATTTTTTTCCAGATGGAACTCGCAGTAAAGGACTCCCTTCCAATACCACACAGTATCACATTCTTTGGAGGAAGACTGTCCTTTGATATGGTCAGTGGTGGTTGATTTCAGTTGCATAATTTCTTGCATCCTACGTTGTTGTGATGTATTCCCTTTTCATTGCTCATCACAAAAATATCAGGTTTTTTTACTGCAAGAAAATCTGCCTAGTCAGTGATGAATCAAAAGACATGATCACCTAAGCATGTATCACATACAGCACTTAACTGAGTGAAGCTGTTGCAAATGATTTTCAGTGCTTGATTTGGATAATTTGAAGATAATGAATATCTCTCCTGCATCATGTAATATTGACTGAAGCATTGTCCTGTGAGAAATCTCCAATAAAAAGCTTTTCAAGCCATTTTGATACATTTAATAGTTCATAGTACTTTCTCAATAAACAAGTTATTATTTACCATTTGAACTAAATTTTTATCTTCTTTAAAATGAAAAAGCAAAATATTCCTGAGAACATCATTTTCTTCCCTCTTCAACAATAAAACAAAAGTAAACTACTTTTGACAAATTTAAAAACACCATTATGGCAGCTGTCACAATATAATAAAAAACAATTTTCAGAATGAAGATGATTACAACTAAACACGCCTAATGCCATCTGTTGATAAATATAGAACAATCTGACCAATTCAATAATTATATTTCTAATGTATTGGTTACAGAATATTTTTTTAAACTGTTTTATAGTGAAATGGACCCATCTATTGCTGGTGATTTATAAGCTGTGGTACTGTCGTCTTTTTTTCAGTTGTAATCTTACTACTTCCTGAAACAAATATATGTAAAGGCTTGTAACACAGATATTCAGTTAAGTGTCTTTCACATTGGCTAAAATAGTACCATTGCAGAAGACAGAATCATAATAGAAAGACATCTCTATAGTATACAGGCAACGTGTTTCAGTAAAAGAATTTTCATTGTATATTGAATTCCAAATATCAACTCACACAGACGATAACTCATAATAATACAAACATTCATGGTTATTGATTCACACAGAGAGAAAAAGAGGAGGATGAGGCAGGATAGAAAGTGTTGGGTGGGTAAGCTTACCTTCTTCAACAACTTCTCCTACAAAAACTTTTGCAATACCTGACATTGCAATGACAACATTCTGTGAAACTGAGGAACCAGTGATAGATTGCATTAGCTGAAAGCAAAAAATAAAACAGGTTGTAAGATCTTGCCAATGGTAAACATCAGGTTAAAAAGTAGAGCAGCAGACTGGAGGTCAAGTCATCTCAAGTTCTTTTTGATGCTTATAAGTAATTATTAAGCGTTTTTCAGCTTTCTTTATAGGTATTCCAGAAAAAACCAAGATATCTTTGATTTTTCACTAGTCTTCTATCAGTGACTCAATTCTAAATAGGAATATTAATCTCATAATGTTTAAAAACATACTCACCAAATGCAAATAAGTGAATTGGACAAATAACCTGTCACTTGAAAACAGAAATGCCCAGTTTTCAAATTGTTGACCTATTAATGAACTTCTTGACCACTGTATATTTTAAGTTATATATAACAAGGAAAAAAAAAACGGCAGTTATGAACCTTTGGAAATCTGAATGAGAGGGATGTGCTTAAAAGACAGTATAGAAACTTTGCTTAATTGACAGGGGTTAAAAGTGCATTGGATCTAACAAAAGTTTCTCTTGCAAAAGTGGACACAGGTTCGAATCCTGATGAAGAGTGCTTTTCTTCTTTAAAAAGATTTCCCAAATATACAGGCTGATAGACAAAAATAAATATACTGTTTAAAATAAATTAACGGAGTGTCTACTCAAATATGGGTATCCACTGAAAAATAACATTAAAAGTGATGAAAAAAAAAAAAAAAAAAAAAAAAATGTTGGATTAATAAATAAAAAATCTTTAGAATTTACCCAGAAGAAAATTGTTTTTAGATTATGACATTTAAGAGGATAAAAGAATGAACCTGGGCTGGAAATTGACATTGTTCTATCATCCCAGGGGTGATGGAATACAAGTTTGTGACAACCACTTATATCTTTTGGAATGGCAAAAGGTTTTTTTTTTTAAATTAAAATTCCATTATATCTGTTCTATAAGAACAAATTCTTGTTTCTCACAAACAATTCTCAAGCTTTTAATAAATAGGGTGTACATACACCCCCACCCAGAAAAAACAAAACTTAAGTGCTTCTTTTTAAACTGTTGAATGCAAAATGAATGTTGAAAGACTTAAATTTAGACATTTACAATATTTATCTCTGAATGTGAAAGACATGAAGATGAACTTTTTCCTTAATAAAAAAAGCAGAAAAAAAAAAAAAAACAAAAAACAAAAAAAAAAAACTTGATTGAAACATTAACAAACCCCATTTATGTTTTAGGCTTTCTATCAGAAATAAAAAAGAATTTTAAAAATGATAAACAATCACAGAAAATTTAGTAATGACATGAGGCATTTTTTGATAAAGACTTTAAAACATTTTGGAATGCGCTAATATTATATATATATATATATATATATATATATATATATAAATGAAAAAGCATAATTCTTAAAGTATGATAAAAGTTATTCTGAACATAAAAACTGACATATTTAGAAAATATCTGTAGCAAATTATTCAAGGGAATTCAACAGAAATGTTTAAAGTTGTGCATTTTATAAAAAATTACAGTGAAATTTAACAAATTTCTTTTCGCATGAATACATTGTTTTATTTTTTAACTTTTTTTTTTAATTTCTTTGACAATCTGAACTACTTGTATTCAGAACAAAATATTTAAAGACTGAATAAGTTAAAATATATTTTTCTCCTAAATATTTTAATGGTGTTTTATTATGCTGGGAAGAACTGCAAATGATAAAAAAATTAAAAAGAAAAAACATCCATATTTTGGGACAATTCTAGAATATAGTGAAACAAATTAGTCTAGAAACCTGCAAATACCTTCAGCTGTGGCACAAAAAGAGCCAGATTATCTTATAGACTAGTGTAGGCTGCAAACTGGGGTCCCTCATGCTTTTTCTTTTTTAAGTTCAGAATGTTTAAATCTTATAAATTTTTATAAAGCAGTGATATTAAGTTTTTTTAGATGTTATAACTTCTAAATAGTTTCAGAAACTGAAATGATATCAATATGACAAACTCATATTTATTTTGATTGTTTTATTGTAATAATGCTGGTTATAATAAATCTGTTTTTTTTTTAGTTTTTTTTTTACTAATTATGTTGAAATATTTGCTAATTCAGTTTACAATAGTAAAATAGTGATATTTTTTAAATATTATTTTTATTGACAAACAAAACCTAGATATTCTAGTTTATTTAAAGAATTTTTAATAAGTTTACTTATGTAAATGCCAGTAAAATATATCAAGTAAAAAAATATTCAAGATGGGTGCAGGCGAGTTAGAGGATGGCTCTATCTGAGGGGAGCCCCTAATTTCATTAACCTAGGTTCACCAAAAGGTCATAATCCATCTCTGCATACAAGTGAGCTGAGCTTATATGATCTTTACTTTCTACACAAAAGGATCAGATAGTTTTCGGTTAGTTAGGATTATATGTTCATAGTATGTAGCAAGAAAGAGAACAACTTACCCTTTTGATGGCTGCTTTAGGAAATGCAGCCCGCCTGTACATTTCATAACGATTAAGTTGATCTTCAGAAAAATTTGATACAAGAACTCTACAAAAGAGAATGCAAAATATATTCATTTAATGAGTGAAGAATGAGTTGTACATTTATTGTGCTTCCAAAATCAATTTAGATATTGAGCACAACAAGAGTAGGTGATTAGAATTGGTCTTGCCTTTACATGTGGGTGATAGTGGGTTTAATTTATGAAAGAGAACTCAACAGTTTAACAGAGTTTGACTAAAACTTGGCATGTGGGTTAATTTAACAAATTGATAACAACAGATTTAAGATTATTTACATTATTTGGACTATTGTCTTCATCTTTGTCACCATATTTATTACAACGTTTCAGTTGTTGTATGCTCCAGCCTTCTTCAGGTGGTTGGAATGTCAAACTGAACCCTTTATTTCACTCACTGGGGAACTCAGAGTTCTGCACTGCCTTAACCGGGTATTGAACTCACACTCTTTGGATCCTGTCACTGGATCAAACTAACACCTTTATCCACTGTGCCATGTGTCACAAAGTGGAGAACTTTCAGAGGGAAATTAACAGGAGATAACTGATAACTGACATCCATTAAACATGGCACGTAGAACTAGAACAGTCTACCCCAGTGAGCGAAATAAAGGGTTAATTCAACATTCCAACCACCCGAAGAAGGCTGGAGCATACAATGGCCGAAATGTTCTAATAAATATGGTGACAAAGATGAGGACAATAGTCCGAATAATGTAAATAGTGTACATAATACCTCATCTCAGAAATATAGACAGATACTGAAAGGCCAAAACTTTGTAATAAATATGGTGACAAAGGTGCGGAGAATAGTCTGAATAATGTAAATAATGTACATAATACCTCATCTCAGAAATATAGACAGATACAGATTTAAGACTTGACAGTTTTTTAAAATTTTGATAAGTGTATATGTTAAAGAAATCAGTTCTTATTTCTTCTGTAATTTTGGGGAGCATTAAGGTTATTTCAAGAGTTGTCTGAATTATCAAATTATTGCTCACTCTGTCCTCACTGAGTCCAAGTCCCCCAGCCCAAGGATAGAATTCATAATTTAATTACTATTCATTAACAAATTCATGAAGCAATGTTTTAATCCACTAGGCTACCGAAACGTGCTGAGAACTAATTGTGTAATACTAAAATAAAAACTGGAACAAAAATAATCTACACCTGATTGCTGAAAGCAGAAAGATTTTCTTACAAATAATCATCAAGCAGATGCAGAAGTTCAAATATCTGGGTAAGTGTCTTAACAGAGGATGGAAAATGTGACACTGAGATCCAAACACGCATTGGACTAATGAAAGACGTATTCCAAAAACTAAGCAAAGTGTTGAGAAACGATAAAAATTGGTAAAAAAAAAAAAAAAAAAAAAAAAAAAATCAAAGAGTGTTGGGTTGCTATGTAACATCCATCCTCTTATATGGCAATGAATGATGGACAATTTCCCCATGGATGAGGAGAAAACTAGAAGCAACAGAAATATGGTTTGGCAGAAAGATACTGAAAATCCCATGGATAGACAGATGAAAAAAAAACAAAAAACTCCAAATCAGGAAAATCAACTGAAATTCCTTGGATACATAATGAGTCAATGAGGAAAGATGGCTTGGAAAACATAACACTCAAGAGGGGCATATTGAGGACAAGAAAAATAGAGGAAAGCAGTGAGCCATTTAATGCTTAAATGAATGGTAGAATGGTTTGTAGATGGATGGGTGTAGCAAAGGATGAAAAACTATTAAAAGCCACGAGAGGTAGGAAGTTGTGGAGAGTCATGATCGCATATGACCTGACGGGACGTAGCACACAGAAGAAAAAGAAATAATAATATCATTTTTTTTCTTTTTTTTTTGAAAGATCTAGTTAATTATTTTAAACCTTAAAAATTTACTATTTTCTACAAAACAAATGTCTGGGATAATTATTTTTCGAAATTTTTTAATCCTTTCTAGCACATTCAAAATTTTAGTTAAATTCCACATTAGTCTTTAACTCCCTTCAAAAAAATGTATTCTTCTCTAAAAAGTCTTTAACTAATCATCATCTCATTTTTGCAAATCCGATCTTTTTATTGGATAATAAGCACCAAAGTGTAGTAAATTTCCAAACAAATCCTATTTCCCGCCAAGCTCCTTGGAGCCGATTTTGCTACACAAAAATTTATAAATTTAACCACATGACTCAATTTAGACAATCAACCACATGATTCCAATGAGATTCTACTAAATTCCATGCGTGACAATTCACTGACTCACACACCACATTGAAATCTCAGCAAACTTTCATCAACCATTGTCCGCATTCACAGTTGACTTGGAAAGTGAAACAATTTCATTAAAAAAAGTAATTGTATATTTCACCAACTTAGCTTAACATTCAAAGGCAAGCAACTCTTGATAACATTTCTTACTTGTAAATTACACATGTACACACACTGATAAATGGACAAACACATATGATTTCTTTCCTTGCAGGAACCAAACAATTTTAAATTCATCAACAATCAAAAAGTACCAACATTTCTTAACAACATTCCTGCACAAACATTTCTTATGACATTATCTTAATTGTTATAACAACAAACATTGTAATTATCGTTACATGTATATTTTATTGTTGATATAAAATTTCTTTAATGTTAAATCTGCACCAGCAATATTTAGTATTTTCTTGCCATGCAATTTGTTCTTAAATTGTTTGTATAACCAATATTTTGTGGGATACGGACGCTATAAGCACACAAACTTCACCTTACTTAATTTTGCCTTCTGATATATTTCACTCCGTGTACATCCTGCAACAACGTCAGCAGAATGATAAAGGTAATTTGGTAAATTTCTATTTTAACACCTACACTAAATATCCCTTAAAATTTTCCAAAATTGTCATAATTCCATGCAAATGTACATGCTGAACTTGAATTAACAATTAAATTACGAAGAAACCTACTGTTTTGGAGTTATCGATAAGAAAGAAATTGGACTTCTTGTTGGTCATTCGTCCCCCATTACTGCCATAGTGTTTAGTAATACAGTGCGGGGTACTTACGCTGGCGTAATCAGAAATTGTGGTCTATTTACTTCTTTTACAGCTATATCTCTTTTTGAAATCACTACGCATTATCGTAATATTTTTTTCCTTTTTGATAAGTGTAGTCTTATTTATAACAGGGAACTTTAAACAAAAACAAATTAAATAATACAATAAAACCTTTTTTTCTGTGTAGAATAGCAAGGACAAATTAAAAGAAGAAATTAAATAATGGAAATAAAACATTTTTTTTTATTTTAAAATTGAAAATAAAACAAAAATTAATGCAAAAACTTGGTAAAGTAGAAGGGTTGATTGTATTATTTAATTTTTTTTTTAATTTGTCCCTTTTCTAACCCTAAAGTTAATCTGTGTAGAAAAGGAGACAAATTAAAAAAAAAAAAAAAAAAAATTAAATAATACAATAAACCAGGTTAAGGTGTTAAGGTTAGGGATGGGATTTTCTGTGTAGAAAAGGGGACAAATTAAAAAATAAAAGACATTAAATAATTTACCAAGTTTGTGCATTAAATTTTTTTATTTTCAATTTTAAAATATAAAAAATGCTTTATTTTTATTATTTAATTTGTTCTTTTAATTTGTCATTGCTATTCGAAACGGAAAAAAGGTTCCCTATTGTATTATTTAATTTGTTTTTGTTATAAATAAAACTACACTTCCCAAAACATTACATTCCTTTATGGTAGAGTGTAGTGATTTTCTGCAAGGAAAGTCTGTAAAAGAAGTAAATATGCCAAAGGCAAGCGCAAGTGCACCGTACCGTATTAAATACTATGGCAGTAATAGGGGACGAATGACCAACAAAAAGTCCGATTTTTTTTCTTGTCGTTAACTCCAAAACGGTGGGTTTCTTCATAATTTACTTGTTAATTTGAGTTCAGCATGTACATTTGCACGGAATTATGCCGATTTTGGAAAATTTTAATGGCTATTTAGCTCGGGTGTTAAAATAGAAATTTACCGGTAATTTTTTGCCCTTTTTTTCGGTGAAAAAAACATTGACTTGGAAATTCTTGCGAAAAATCAAATAGTTGTCGGATTTTAATAAAACTTTTAGAACATATTCAGAAATGAATGACATTGTCATTATTTTTTTTAAATTTTGGCGGGTAATTTGCAATTCAAGTTCTAATAAAAATTTCCCGAATATATTAGAAACTGAAAGCGGGGCTCGAGTCTGCAAATTACCCCCCCCCCCACACACACACACCAATTTTTTATTTTTAAGAAAATCTTGGTAAAAAACACATTTTTATTTATTTATTTTTTTATTTTTTTTTTTTTTTTTACATATGTTACCTACCACCCACCCACTTAAATTCGAGAAATTAATTTTTTTTCAAATAAAGCTAAAATTTAACTTTAGAAGATATTTTTATTCAAAATACATTTTTTTTGTTTGTTTAGTTTTTAAAGTCCGTGGAGATAGGTACCTACTTTTTGGCATTGCTTTTGGTCAGGTTTCTTTTAGGATCATACACAAAGCAAAAATGTTATCAAAATAAAGTATTTTCATTCAGACTAGTGAATTTTACTAACCCCAAAAAGTAAGAAAAATAATTCCACCTCTATTCTAAATATAAAAAAAAAATTATTTTTTAAATTTAATTTTTATAAAATTTATTAAAATTAAAAAAAAATGTTGAAAGAATAAAGCAACATACGAACCATAATTTTAATAAAAACTTACTGCATTTTGAGACGTTCTTCGTGTTTTTCACTTTTCTGTTTGGCAGAGGATTGCTCATCACTTCCATCGTCTTCTAGTTTCCGTTTTTCTCCAGAACTGGCTTGATTATTCTTCTCTTTTTCATCTTCTTTTGCTTCAATCTTTTCAACAGCAGCAGAATTATTACCTGTTGAAGTTGGCGGTACAACAGTATCACAACTTACTTCTCCAGTTCCCTTATTACAAGAAGAAGAGGCTGTACCCTCTTCGACCTCGGGGCTTGTCTTATTTTCTGATTTACAATCGGGCAATCGATTGATTTCATTATTCTCTAAACCCGGGAGAACTGCCGCCTTCGAAGATGACGGATGATCATTTGATTGAGTCTGTCCCAGCTGCTGAGTAATTACTGAAGAAGAAGGCCCTTGTGCCAATGCTGGTGTATTTGTCGGTGGTTTCTGAGGTAATATATCTTCTGTGGAGGAACAAGAGCTTGCGGTGTTGGGAAAAAGCGCCACGACAGCCGAATTATTGGGTCCTGTTGATGTTTGGTTGCAACCGACATTACTGCCGGGACCAGGTGTTCCTTTTTCATTTTCTTCGGGCTTTGTATCAACGCGGTTTAAAATATTTGTCATGTCTTCATCGTGCGGATGTAAAGTGGAATTTGCACTAAAACTCAATTCATCTATTATTGATTTTCCTGTTAGATTATGTTTGGGATCCATTTAGTAAAACATAAAATCAATTCTACACGTTGCCGCAACTGTTTATTTTGTTGCTAACGGAAACGCAAAGCATTATGGGTAACATGAAAAAAAGCAGATTATCTCCCTTTAATTTTTGGCTTAAAATTATATATGATTGTTACACACTCACTACATTATATACGACTGAGTTTAATTAATCAGCTCGTAGAAATAGAGAGGTGGGGGTGAATAATTTTTATATATTAGCAATTATTAAACCTGAATCTACATTTATTTGACACAATCGAAAAAGACTTTCTAACTTAATAGACTAATTCACTCAAATACAGGTAAAATTTTGGATGGAAATAATTTTTATTTTAATTTTTTAATAATCATTGTGGGTTAGCATTTTTTTTTCTAGAGTTTTTTAGGCCATGACAATTTTCAGAATCGAAAAATATTGATCTGTTATCGTTTTAGAACGGGATGGGTTCTATTTATCAAGACATACAGGATGGTCCGAAAGTTTTCTCACAACTACATATAATTTTCTATTTCAGATGGCTGACATGGATGTGAGACATGACTTTGTATTTCTTGTTCTTATATTGTTCTTATTACTCTAGTCTTTGGTGGGGGTAGCAAAAAAATCAAAAGATAGATATGTACATTTTTCCTATCTTAAATAAAAGAAAATATCTACAGGGTGGTCCGAAAGTTTTGTTAACCCTACATAAGATAATTTTCGATTTCAGATGGCTGACACAAGCTCCTACAGTTTGGAAGAGAGGTTGCTTGCAAGTTTATAGGCACATGATTGTGTGTATTCTGGCAAGAGCATGGAAGATGTGCAATATGGCTTCACTACAAGATTCAGCAAACCAGCTCCTCCAAAGAGGACGATACTGTGATGGGGACATAAACTGTTTCTCACAAGATCAATTAAGGACAAACTGAGGACAGGACGATCCTCAACATGAAGGGTCACACATGCAGAGGTGGAGGCATCTTTGCTACAATCATCCAAGAAGTCATTATGGAAATGGTCTTCTGAGCTAGAAATTTCCAAAACCCCAATGTTAACACACATGACAAAGGATTTTGATTTGAAATCGTTTAATACATCAGACGTCAATGAAGTAAGTGATAATGACATGGACAAAAGACGTGTGGCATGTGGACGATTACTTAATTTATTTCCGATAATCCCAAAATCTGGAAAGGTGTTTTTCTCGAATGAATGTGCAATTTGAAGTGGAAGGGCTAGGAATATTTATTTCTGGAGCAAAGAAAATCCGCACTTTTATGAAGAAGTGGAGAAAAAGTAAAAAAAAAACCTTCCGCATGTAATGATTTGGGCTGCCATATCGAGTAATCACTTGATAGGATCCTATTTCTTCAAAGATCTCTGTTAACCAGCAGGTTGAATGTTGACCTAAATGATTGTTGATTTCAACAAGATGATGCCTCACTCCTCTATGCTATCAGCGTCAAATCAATCCCTAACTTTTACACTACAGAGTTATTGACCTTTTTAGCTAACTCACTTAACTGTCATTTACAAATGTCCAGTTCAAAAAGTGTTTTAATATCATTGATGTCTGCATGTTTCATTTTTTAATTTTATGATTTTTTTAAGCATTTTTAATGGGACTTCCCCAGAAGCACATACACACTTGAGGTCGATAATTATTTATTTTAAATTAAAAATAAATGAATATATAATCCTTTGATGACACTAATATTCAGAGAACTTAAAACGAATACTCAGTTACTTATTTTAGTGCATCATTTTACTTACAATTATTGCCATGTTATGCAAACAGTCAGTGCATTATCTATATATAAAATTTTGTGACATCCATTAGTTCATTCGTCCAGCACACCCACTAGAATAGATTGAAACCAAATTTTTAGGAGAAATGCAAACAGATAAGGGGGTACAAAGTACAGTTTGTTTTACTAGGGTGCATAACTTAGTAGAATAAATTTTCATTAATTTTTTGAAAAAAATTAAAAGTTTAAATATTTGACATATACTCCCACTATTTTAAAAACAATTTAAGGATTAAAATAAATACTTATTTAATAAAAATGCAATATTGTTTTTTGCATATCAAATTGAACGAAACGTAGAGTTTGTAAATCTTGACAAAAGTTGTTAATGATAACTTCCACAATGCTAAATACTGTGAGGATTTCAATGAAAAAATTCTAGTTTCAACGAAATTGGCTGTAAATAATCAACAGTGTCTTTTTATAGCCATTTGTCACTTAGATTTTGCTAAGACTTTTGACATTTATATAAGTAGCAAAATAATCGTTCTAAGTAACACCATTAATTAAAATAAGTGATGAGTAATTTGTTGCATAATTTTATTAATTTATGTAAATTTTTGTTCTTTACTTAGTTAAAAATGCATCTTTGTAACACTACCTAAAATAAACTCTCTTTTTGTCTACAAAACAGTCAAAATCAATAACTGTAAAAGTTGGGATTGATTTGACACTGTATTGATATTTTAAACAGAATCCTTTTCTAAATTGATAACAAATAAATATTTTTGATTTTGAAAATTATTGCAGTCTAAGGAAAATCTAAAGAATGTTAATCTACAAAAAAAATGATTTCCCTGAAAAAATTTCCCATGTTTTTTATTTTTTATGAATGGACTACTCTCCACCAGACAAATAGGGTTACACAACACTCAACAACCTTGAGGTTTACAACACAAAAACACTTTATTAACAGAACGAACAGTCCGACACAAGGTCTCACACACTGTAATCATAATACAAGAAGGGAAGTAATCCAGGTTGCCTAAAACTCCAAGGGGAGTATTCAAGTCTAGGAATTGACTGGCGTGATGGCTTTTTAAAAAAAATTTTATTGGGTGGGGGAATTAGAAATCCGTGGTATAGTCATTAAGGTAAATTGGGTGTCTTTTTGGGTGGGAGCAATGTACGGGTGCTATTCCTGTTTGCATTCTATCAGGTATTATAAGATCATGTTCATCTGGGCAGATAGGTGTGATAAGCAAGATTGTATCATCATCTTCATCACTGTCACCTAAATAGTCACGAGGAACTTTCAGCTTTTGGCTGTCGTGACTGGAAACTTTGTAACTCTGTTTCTGGCGCACTTTGTGTGTACCTGCCCTTAATTGGGAACCAGCAAACTTCCTCACACTTGCCTAACCATCTTGTATAGCAGACACCAGGTAATGCTCATGACCTCTAGTTTTCATGAGGTCTCCATGGGGATAATGTCAACTACCTGTCAAGTCCATACAGTGTCTCTGAAAGTGGTTAGGGGCCTTGCAGTGTTTGCTATGGTCATGATTGGTGAGGTGCTTGTGATGTAGCTTCATCAGGCCCATATCCTCAAAGGTGATGTGTTCATTTGTGAGCTGGTTACAGTGGTACAGAATCTCCTTAGATGAGAGTCCAGATGAACAAATTCTGGCATTCAATCTGCTTGTGGCTATTGTGAGGGAGGCTGATGAGACCTGTCCTCTGGCTGGATCCATTTTGAGAATCTCCTCAACTTTCTGAACAGCTTTCTCTACCATGGGGTTTCTGTTAGGGTTCTTGCAACTGCCTATTTTATGGTGGTGTAGGAGCTTATTGCTTGTGAGAGCTTTAAACCCAGGAGCAGAGTCTGTTCTGATGACAGTGGGTGAATTGTTGATGGGTCTGATTAGTAGGCACATTCTAAGGATGGCATCTCACAGTGTATCCCTTTGCTTGTCTTGTATAAAGAGTGTGACCGTGCATGAGCTGACACATTCTCAGAGTTAAAATCAATTGGCAGTTCACTTTAATTATGTCAACAGCGAACTTGAGACCTAAGGTGTCCAGGGCTGAACTGAAGAACTGACACTAACAGAGAACTCCTTAAAGATGCAGACCATTTCATTTATGCCCCTCCCTAAAACTAGGGTGTATTTAGTGGCTGGTGGGATGACCTAATTTGATATGCAATGCAGTTAGTAGTGCATGGAGGGCATGTTGCAGGATGATGATAGCGTCTCATTGTGGAAAGAGTGGGTCGTTTTGGTGAACCACAAGTAAACTGTCCTGTGCTATTGTGTTAGTGTGCAAGTATCTTTTTACATCTCTGATGTTCATGAGGCATTTAGAAAGGTGTGTACCCTGGGTAAGGTGTGTGTGTGTTCTTCTGAGATCTGGGCAATCGTTTTATATTTTCTTCTATGCTGGATGACTAATGCATGGCAATCTAGCTGATCCTCTGATGATGTCTTCTAGAGATCTACAAAAGACAGCCACATCCTCCTGGTGATGCATAAAAGAGAAAATATGACATGTAGGGTGAGTGCACTCTGCAGTGTTGTGGCTATCGAAGCCAGCAGGTATATTTGCTTTCCTTGCAAGGTGTTGGATGGAAGCCTGGTAACAATCAATGGTTGACATGAATGATGTTACTCTGGAGCTGGTCAAAAACTAACCACAACAAAGTTTTTTGTAGGCTTGTACACATGGCTTGGTATCTGTGAGTACGGTAAGGTGGTGCTCTGACTGGATAATGTAGGAGCTGAAGTGTCTGTCTGACGATTCCGTAGTAAGCTTATGGAGTTTCTCCTTCTCATTAAGGGACACCATATTGTCAGGGTTGATATTTACATTTATGTATTGGTGCGAGCCTTGTGTGGGTAGATGTGTATCCACTGAGGTAGAAGTAGATGGAGAGAACGTTGACACGGCCTGGCAAAAATGTGACCTCCCTGCCAGTTGGGGTACGTCAGTGGTATTGACTTACCTCCACCACTTCTGGTGAGGGTGTGCTGGGGCCAGGTTTTCTCTGATGTGAGATGGTTTGAATCCCATCAGGGCTCAATGGCAAATTCATTATCCACACCACTGTGTAAAGAGAAATCCAGGTATTCTCCGGGCCAAGTGGTCCATTGGGGTCCATTGGCATAGGCCTCTTAAAATGTGGGCTCATCAGACCTGTACTTTTGGGTGAAGTGCCCTTGATCTATACTTGAATTAGGTGTCCCCAATAACTACCTCATCCTTGGCTTGTCTGATGGAAATATTCTGCTGCATGAAGAGAATTCTGGCGAGGATCTCAGGGTCAAGGTCTTCTATGACAAGGCCCTCAAAGTGACACAATCCACCCTCTCCAAGGTGAACCTGGTTTCACTGACAACACTGAGAGGTGAAGAGTCATATGTCTTGCTGACTGGGTAGAATTTGAAATCCTCACACCTAAGTGTCTAGCTGCAGCATGCTGGATCATATTTCTGGTGGCTTCACTGTCTATGATGATCTTGATTGGTTGGTTGTTTGCAAACGCATCAAGTTAGGGAGACTGTTTAGTCTTCACACATCTCAGGGTGGTTTTAGTTTCTTCAATGATGTGCATTTCCTCCAGAGGTTCAGCACATTCAGTGGATTTGCCATCAAGAATGTCTATGATCTGGTGGACTCTGATAATGTACAATTAATCCACCCCAGGAAAGTAGGTGCATGTGCTCAGGTAGTGGTCAATCCTAGGCCTTTTTGCTTGGCTGCATAAGGTGCATACCTTTCTCTTGTGTGTTTGGGCAGATCTCTGGTGTCTGCATTGTAGCGATGTAAATGTCTGGTTTGTGGACATGTTTTCCAGCTCTTCAAGTAAGGTGCCCAACGCCTGAGAAATCTTAGGTTTAATTAAGGCTAAGGTACATAACTTAAATTTTGTCCCATAGCATTGCTTAACTAGCTTTGGCAGGCCTGGGTGGACTAACCATAACCATGTGAGGACAATGAAATTTTCCAATGTGATGTCATCTCTTCCTCCTCTGTGAGCAAGCCACTATGGTGACTTATTTGAGAACCTGGGTGTAACATGGAGTCCTCAGTGAAAGAAAACAGTCTTTGGAAAAAGTCCTCTGGGCGTTCATTTGGTTCCATTTTAACTAGGTACCTCCAAAACTTCTCCACAGGTACCTCCAAAACTTCTCCTGGAGAAGTTTTGGAGGTACCTAATTTTAACCAAGTCAGAGTCCAGTAAATGGGATCCACTGGTTTGGAAGCTATAGTGCTGTCTTATAACTTGCCACATGCTAGCTAGTGATGTGGAGAATTTAATAATGGTATTGCTGGAGATTATTGGACAGTAATTAGCTAACTGGCCCAGCATCATCTCAACCATGTTAATCTTTCGAATGGTGGAGAGTGGGTCTGTCTTCTCTATGGATCTCTGTACCATCATCTGTAAAGCCCTTGTAAAGATGAGAGTGGGATTTTTTCTCCCATGTGCATTCATGAAAAGGGGAAAAATTGTAGTTTAAAGAAAGGCAATAAGTTAAGATATTCCTCCACGACTCAAAAGAGGAGATGGTTTCATTGCTTCTTAGACACCATTGTTTTAGCACTCAAATTCTGGCCATGATGGGGAAGTACTGTACTATATATATATATATATATAGATATATAATTTATATATATTGAACAGTAAAAAATATTAAAAAATTAAAATCTTCAGACACACTGGGTTGTATATTCCGTCGTTTTTATTATTATTTCATTTAGATTACTCAACTAGTTTTGGCCAACATGGCCATCATCAGGAGAAAAATAATTTTCTGCTTGCTGGTAGCAGTGAACTACAGAAATGAATGTCTTGATAGAGAAAATGAACTTTTGTCTGCGGTTTTCATTTGTTTTGATTTTTAATTTTTATTTTTTTTAACATGAATTTTGGTTAGTCCTTGTGTTGGTCAAACAGCCTCTTTTTAAGTTGTTATTTAAGATAAGAGCTGGATGGATCCATGTTGCACTGAATTCTCTTGGTCAGTTTTATAGTTTTATTGGTTCCTGGAAAGGGGATGTGTCTCTGTTAAGTGTGTGTATTATTTAATTCTTGGGGAGTGAGTGAGTATGATGTGTGTAAGCGTGTATATTACTATGAGTGTGTGTTATCATTTGGTTCATTAAGGAGGGAGTGAGTATGATGTGTGTAAGTGTGTATATTCATGTAGGTGTGTGTATAAGTGTGAGGCCTCAACACCTCTGTAAGCATGTCTGTCTTGTGTGGGTGAGAAATGTGGATAGTTGCCGTTGTCTGTCTAAAACATTGAAATGGATAAATTCTGTATTAGTTTTTCGACTGTTTTTTTTGTTTTTGTTTTAGCTTTCACAGTTAAATTTCTATTTCTGACACAAACTTAGTCCACACTCAGGTGTTGAAAAGGCAGACGGCTGATATCTTCGTCTGCCAAAATAGGCTATTCTCTATATGAGGTTGTAGCGATCAAAATCGCCATCACACACACACATACATACAGATCATACGACAAGCATTCATTGGCTAATCTCCTCAAAACTAGCTCGCTGATTGGTCAATTCCAACCAATCAAATCGCCTGCACGTGAGGAATAATATTTTCCCACGCACAAGGCTGGGAGCCTGTCACGTGAGACACAACCTTATATAAACAAAGCACGAATATGTCTCTCTCGTTCTCTTCGTTCATCTTTTTCCTTGCTGCCAAGATGTAGTCTTCAAGAGCTCCCGTCTTAACCGTGCATTCAGATGTTAAAGAACATTGCCAACAACTCTTACAGAATTTTTCGCAAGTCGCCAGTAGAGTCCAGCAAATTTTGCCTGTCAACACAAATAAAACCTATGACTTTACTCACAACATTTCAAACGCACACACAGAATTTTGTAATACAAATATACATATCTCTCTGTGACTTAGCCAAGTTCAATCAACCAGGACTCTGTTAATTTCTCTAACGCAACACACTTTCTGATCAATTGTATCCTTGTGTTATCTATTCTAACAAACAGTCCTTTGTTCTAATATTGATTCCTGAACATTTTTCTCTCATGAGAACTTTCTTTCGAACAATCAAATACAAATCAAAATATGGTAAAAGGGAAGCAACTTCTTTTCCCTTAATCTATACATTGAATACAAATTAGAATGTATATTTCATTAATGTGTTATTTCAATATATACTTGTTGATTCACATTTGGAGTTTTGTTGTTGTCTTGAATCATTTATAACACAAAACATATATGTGCTCAAAGAACACGCAGCCCCATAACAAGGTGATTTGGGATGTTATTGTTTATTCATTATTATTTTTATTTTTGCGAGTGTTGGTATTACCAGTAGCAGTGTCTAAAAAACCATGTGACCTTCTTTGTTGTGGAAAAAGTTTACGCCTATATCGTGTTTTTATACACGACATGGAGTGGGGCGAGCGACGTTAGTGTGTGTGTGTGTGTACTCAACTGTGTCATTAAGTAAGTTGTTATCCAAATTCGGTGGGTTATCCTCCTGTCTGTTTTTATAAGCGTGGAGTATGTGCGTATGTGAGAAGCTGCTACTACGCCAGACAAATAAGATCATACAACATTCAACAACCTTGAGGTTTTTAGAACACAAAGCTGCTTTATTAAAAGCGAGGTGTCACACACTGTAATCATAATACAAAAAGGGAAGTAATCCAGGTTACCTAAGACTCCAAGGGGAGTAATCCAGTCTAGCAATTGTCTGGTGCTATTTAAGTAGTGGTTATTGATTTTTATCATTTCAGAAGGTTGAGGGTTCCATTCATGAATAAGTCAAACTGACTTATTAATTAAAGAGTTTTCTATATCAGGAATGATAAAATGAAGAACAAAAAAGTTTTATGTATTCTTCAGTCTAACGCTTTCATCAAAAGAATCTTATATATGGAGAGAGTGGAGTCAAAATACAATAAATTAAATTATTTTACCTTTTGTTACTCAATTATCCAATTAAATACATTTAAATGATGTTCATTTCTTTTTTTGTTTTGTAAAATGTTATTTAGAGAACAGATTTGTTGGAAAATAATCAAGCAAATCTGATAAACTCTAAACAAAGGAGTCCTTTGATCTTTTAAATTGAATAAGGAAATAAATTGGCCTCTTTAAGAATTTTTTTAAAGATTGAGTAACAGTTAAAATTAGAATATAATAAAAAAAAAAAACATGGCACATGAAACTAGAATAGTCTACCCTAGTGAGCGAAATAAAGGGTTCAGTTCGACATTCCAACCATCTGAAGAAGGCCGGAGCGTACAACAGCCAAAATGTTGTAATAAATATGGTGTGAAAGATAAGGACAATAGTCTGAATAGTGTAAATAGTGTACATAATACCTCATCTCAGAAATATAAACAGATACGAAAAAAAGATTCTCTCAAAAGTCTATCCGATTCCAAGATCCATTTATTTTTAAATATGTCTTGTGAAACTTTTCCTAAGAAAATGCCATTTTTGGTTAAACTTATCATGAGTTAGTTTGAATGCCAGATATAAATAATTTTTGGTTACATAATCCCAAATTTACCAACAATTAAAATAAATTTAATTCTCATGTATGATATACACTCATTTTCATTTTAAAAATCTGAGAAAAAAACGTGTGTACACTGAGCCAATGTTTATGGTAATCAAGAATTTATTTCAAATTCAGGAAATTAAGACATCTATATTTACAGAAAATTGGTTAAAATATTCACAGAGATTTCTCGATATTTTCCAACCATTTCTTCTTGTAAGCATGAATATCATTCATATCTCTCACTGCCATCATCAAAAGTTCTTGGAATAACTGAGGCCAAATCTTGTAAACTTCTGTTCGCTTTTTGTCAGCATAAAGAATGCTCTTGGAGATTTCAGTCACATAATTCTTTGCCAATCGCTGTTTGTAAAGTAGCTTCTACAAATAGAAAAAAGAAAAAGTCATTTCAAGATGGCTGAAATTAACAGTTTAAATTTTTGTGAACGAAGTGCTCAAAAGATAGAGTGATAATAGTCAACAAATGAATAAAAGTTCAATCAACTTCTCTTTTAATCAACTTCAAAGTTTTACAAAATTATTGGCTAAAGTATATTAAAAAAAAATTGAACCATTTAACATCAATACAGTCATAACAATTCTGAATATTTAAATATTACATTTTTAACAGACTTGAAAGGTGATGATTGTTATTTTCACCTCTTGCTTTGAGATATTGTCATAGACTGGTGCTGTTTTTCTTATTTTCCATGTTATTTGTGGCATGTTTTATTTTTTATTTTATTTTTGAGTTTTCTTATATGTTTTGAGAGTGTTGTACCATTGGCATATTTTTGCTGTTAAATTTTAACAAAATATACACAAATAGTACAAACCTTATACATAGAGCGTACAAAAGATGTAACACATTTTGTTAATTATCTGGTATATCTGTACATGTGAATATTTTAAGCAGAAGAGAAAAAAATGAAGAGATAAATATGAGACTTGATAAAATAATAATTCCTGTGCATTACCTGTCGTTTTCCTGTGTTACATTCAGAAACTGAGTAAGTCAGAGTTGATCGTGCCAGTAGATCTTCCTGAGTTTTTGCGTAAAGTTTCAAGTCAGAGGATTTTTTACTTTTGTCTTCCAATGCAGATAAAATTTGCTTCTTTCTAAAATAAGCAAACACAGTACAAGAAAAAAAATGCCATCTATAGAGGGAATAATGTCATAGTGTGATGATTAATAAGTTCATTTTATCATAGTGCAAGGATTAATAAGCTCATCTTATCATAGTGCAAGGATTAATAAGCTCATCTTATCATAGTGCAATGATTAATAAGCTCATCTTATCATAGTGCAATGATTAATAAGCTCATCTTATCATAGTGCAAGGATTAATAAGCTCATCTTATCATAGTGCAATGATTAATAAGCTCATCTTATCATAGTGCAATGATTAATAAGCTCATCTTATCATAGTGCAATGATTAATAAGCTCATCTTATCATAGTGCAATGATTAATAAGCTCATCTTATCATAGTGCAATGATTAATAATCTCATTTTATCATAGTGCAATGATTAATAATCTCATCTTATCATAGTGCAATGATTAATAATCTCATCTTATCATAGTGCAATGATTAATAAGCTCATTTTATCATAGTGCAATGATTAATAAGCTCATCATAGTGCAATGATTACTAAGCTCATCATAGTGCAATGATTACTAAGCTCATCTTATCATAGTGTGGTGATTTATAAGCTCATCTTATCATAGTGTGACGATTAATAAGCTCATATTACAAACTAATACTTTAGTAGAGTATACTCAATTTTCAATTCTTGCTAATTGCCCCACAGCTGAACCCTAATGATAAATTTGTATGAAAAGTCTCCATAATGTAAAGTTGCGATGAATAAACTAAAAAGTGTTTTTCAAGATCAGCAAAAACTATAGATGATTCACAAGAATGGTTGAAAGTAGTAAATCCTAAATGTGAAGAAAGGTAGCTTTAAAACCATCAACATGTTTCATTAAAGGCAGAAATATCAACAGAATCAATGAAAAAAAGATAGATGCAAACCAATATAATTGCAAAATTTATGTTTACAATAATTTTAGGTTAGAACTTGTCAAAATACAAGTTGCATGATGCAAAAAATATAGAACTATACATCACAATTTATATACAAGTGTAAGATGTGATATACAACTTTATATATCAGACTTACAGTGTAATTAAATGACAAAATTGAAAAAATATCCTATGATACACATTTTGTCTCTTGAAAGAAAATCAATATCTGTAAATAAATCAATGAGATTTGTACATATGAAAATGTTAAAATAAATGTAAAATATTTTCAGAGTTATGAAATTTTATTAGTGCAAAAGTGGCAGGGATATTAAAAGGATATTAATAATAATAAAGAAATAATTTATAATAATAAGAGATAGATAACAAAAATGTAAAATAACATTTTCCTGTATTTACAAATATTTATTAAAAATTTTCAAATTAATCCCAATGTTTCTAATTAGTAGGGTTGCCATAGTTTCAATTTTTCTTAAATTTTTTTTCCAGTTGTTCTGATGACATTCTTATAGAACAAAATGTTGGTAACAAAATGAAAAAAAAAAATCCAACTCTCATATTTGTCCAGATATTTCACATCAGTTTATAATATATCACAGTTTTCAATTTGTGCCTGATGATTGTCACATGCATGAGACTCATAGTTGTACCAAATGATGAGGAAAAAATTTATATATATATATATATATATATATATATATATATATATATAAGTGAACATTTTGCCAACACTTATCTCGACAGGCTGTTTCATGCTAAATACAATCGTCCGGCCTGACGATTGTGTCTAGCATGAAACAGACTGTCGCCTCTAAGTGTTGACTTCAATGTTCACTTTTATATTTACACACGCTCTATCTCTGATATTGAGCACTTTATCCCATAAATATAGCATACCTTAAGAATATATTTATATATATATATATATATATATATATTTATTAAAGACATTTTTATGTTTAACGTTGTTTTTATAGATACAAGTATTTAAAATGTAAATTATGCTCTGTTTATGATAAACAGTATTAAATAACATTTACGCCTGAATGTCCGAACCGAAATTTTCATAGAAAATATTCGTCCTTTTGACAGGATTCGAACCTGCATCCTATAAATATTTGAACCGTCATTTATGCTGACGTGCCTTATCCGATCGGCCACAAAGGAGCATTTGGTAGGCAAGGTCGAATTTACTGCTTATAAACTTCAAATTCGTATATATACACACACACACACACACCGTGTGTAACAACAAGATTGTCCATTTGTTAGATTAAGCTTTGAAATGTATCTTAGAAATGATTCTAACCTTTTAACTTTCTGTCATGGAGTAACAAGGTGCATCACTGGTTTCAGGTATGGTTTCATTTTCAAAGTCTTTTTTCACAGCTTTCCAGAATGGCATAGATGAGACGGATCTCAGTTGGATCTTTTCTAACTGATCCTCTTTAGCTCTAAGTTGAAATTATGATCCTTCTTCCTGTTGTGACCTCCTGATACAGTTTTCCTTTCTGCTGTTTTCTTTTGTTTAAACTTATTCACCATTTTCTTGATGGTCTTTGAATGGAGATTGAAGATGGAAGCCAGAGCATGAATATTGGTACCATACTGAAGGCCTGAATGATCTTTTACTTCTCACCATTGCTCAGTTGAGAAGATAGTAAGGCTGACACAAAACGATCTTAACCTATTCTCTTTACAGCTGAATAAGTAACAGGGTTTTTCAGTAATTCTTATGACAAATGGTGTCAAGATGGCTAAATGTTTTATCTGAAAACCTGGAAAAAGAAATTTAGTGGGTTTTTAGATATTAAACATTTTTTGTGATGAAAAATTATGCTCTAACACAATTTGGACAATTTTGCTGTTACACCTCAGTTTGTGTATGTGTGTGAGTATATATATATATATATATATATATATATATATATATATATAAAAAATGTACACCATTTCAATAGTCCTGGAACTCACAGCCTGATAAGATGAAAGTGAACTCGCCAATAAGTTGTTATAATTCATTTTAGCTCAGTTCTACATGCGATATAAACACCCCTTGTCTGGTTGAATTGGATTTCTCTGTATCCTTGGAAATGTGAATTATGATTTTTGCTGTGTCTTTAAAACCCAGTAATTTTAAAAGTTACTCCAAAATTCGCTTGAGGATGAAATGGAACTAATGTCTTTAATTTAATTACAAAATTAAATTTGGAGCTTTCAGCTTCCATTTTTGAAACATGGTTAAAACTGTGTAGTGGAAAAAAAAACACATTTTAAATCAATTAATTTATAATATATATATCTCAGTTCTACATGTGCTATATATATATATATATATATATATATATATATATATATAATGAAAGCAATATCTGTTTAATACTTACTTTGACTCACCCAACAAAAATAGAAGATGCGATAGGGTTAATTCTGATGTTATACTGGAAAGCGGGGAAAAAAGGTTTTCTGCCTCAACAATATCTGATGCATTTACCTGGATAAAAATAAAGATAATTATTATGATTAACTCTTGTCAAGGTTGGAAATAAAGGTAGCAGCTTTTTTCTACTACTTAGGTAGATATGGTAATTCGGGGAAAATGGTTTATCTCTAAGTACTCACTTACCCACTATCAAATGTCATTTTTATCAAGATATATTGTATGAGCATTTGGGCATCTCTCCTCTAAATTTGTTACTGAGTGCCCTTATCATAGACATTCCTGATGACATCAGTTCTTGATTCTCTATGCCAATGAAAAAACTATTTACTTCTTAATGGTAAGCCTGATCGGTTCAATAAAGTTATACTGGAAGTTGATCTCAAAAATTACATACAATCTGTTGTTAACTGGGGCAAGAAATAGCTTGTTAATTTTAATACATCCAAAACTAAACTACTCTCTACTAATCATCTTAGAGAACCTTTTTTTGCCATCAGTCAGCATGGTTGATGCTAACCCCTAAAAGAGAGTAACTTCTTGGGCAAATGTTTTCCAATATGAGTAAGAATTATTATACTGCACCAATTGCTAAGTCTGCTGCTAGGAAAGTTGTTTCATTGCATTTCTCACCTGAATCTGTTTTTCAATTTTATAATTCTACCATTTGAGAGTGCATTGAATATTGTTGCCATATCTGGTTTGATGCTTCTGGCATGTGTCTAGAGATTCTTGACAAAATCCAAAAAAGAATCTGCAGTGTTATTGGTCCTGACATGGCATCTTGATTTCAATCACTTTTCCACTGTTGTAATGTAGCTTCTCTCTACCAACCTCCCCACAAGGCAAGATGTGGCACAAGGCAAGATGTGGCACAAGGCTAGTTTTTAACATGGGGTATTCCAAGCCTGTAGGCTTGGACAAAAATTGCCCATAGGTCCCATATACATGGGGTTGCATTTGTCTACGTCCCCAAATGAGACTCTACCCTTCGGTAAAGCCTCATCAGGGTTCTTCTCTGACTTTAGGCAGAGAGTTCGACAAGAAAGGAAGAGGAAGTCTGATCCAATGTTCTTTAGACCATGTATTCCTTAAAAAGGTAAATGAACATTGCTGGGTTGTGAAGCTCACTGTAGCTGAGTGGGCCAAAGCAGGCTGGGTGGTGGTTTTTACCTAATCAGAGAGATGCAGGTTTGAATCCTGCCAGTGAGCACATTTTCTTTTATACATTCTTGAATACATATTCTAGTAGATATAATTCATAATAAAAAAAAAAAAAATAGTATGTTTACTTAATGATTAAAAAGTTAACAAAAAATGCAATCAAATAGCTGCAAATAACCATATTCATATCCGCTATTATTCCTACTCACAAGCCTCTAAAATAATTTGAAGCATAACCATGACGACCTACCCCAAAATGTTAGGATAATATAACAGACCTTTCTACCTTTAATACACCATTGATCAACATATAGAAATAATCAAGTTCAAACACAACATACAAAGGCTGAAAATTACAGCCAAGCTTGAAGCAGACTGTCACTACATAGTGTTGACTTTTATATTCACATATGCTCTATCCCTGATATTGAGCACTTTCACCCCAAAATATAAAATACCTTAAAACCAGCATTTTTCAAACTTTTTTTACTACAATGCACAGCAAGAACCACATTTTGCATTGCAAACCATGATGTTTAATAAATCAAAGACAAACTCTCTTCACTAGGTTCACTTATTTAGCATCGAAAATTTAAAATTTGTATATTTCTTATGATCTGCACATATTGGAATTATATTACCTACTTGTATGAAGATAAAATTACTTTAAAAAAAATTTGGCCTGTTCTTAAATTTTGCCAAAACGACAGCCAAATCACCGAAAAATTCCGAGACTTCAAATGAACACAACACATCATCTTACTACCAGAGGGAGAATTTACTGGTACTCAACTTTAACATTAAGTCAGGAAATTCACTTTTAGCCCTGACTTCAGATACATTCTGAATTATTCAACAATCTTTACAGCTTTCACTGGCCACAAAGACAAATGCATTGCACACTTTCATAGCTAAGTTTTGGCATGAGGTCTCTTTGTGAGAGAGAACTAATGTCACTCAGTTTGCAATGAGTTTGACAAACAAGATATATATATATATATATATATAAAAAATTATATTTAAAAAAAATAAAATAAAACGCTTACCTCAGGGAAAAGCTAGTGATGATTTATGTGTGCCATGCAACATTTAGAGTTGCTTATATTCTGCACGTTGCACTCACTTGTGTATTTTTTTTCTTTCTTTTTTGTTGTGACCCATTTTATTTATCTCACAACCAACTGAAGGGTCAGGACCCACAGTTTGAAAAACTCAGCCTTAAAAGCTATATATATATATATATATATATATATATATATAATATATATATATATATATGTATATATGAAAATTTCTCCAATTTAACCAGTAGAGAAGACAATATTTATGAATAAATATGACAATAGAAAACTAGTAATTGCTGAAGCGTTTCGTTCAGTGTGGAATTTATCAAAGCAAAATACGAAATGAATATAATTTAACAAGGTAACTAATAAAAACAAAAACAGAATGTTACTAGCAACTGGAATGTAGAGAAACGCTATTTTCATATTGTTAAGTGAAAATAATGTCAGTATATGTCACATGTCTGTCGGAAGTAACACAACAACTAAACTGATAATAGTAGGTTGGAACAAAGAACTGTGAGGAGGGTAACCAAAAAAAAAAAAAACCCGGTGTCGCACGTCCAACCTTCTCACGAGCCAAAAGCCTGCTGATCCGAAACAGCAAAACACGCCTGCTTTATACAGCCGAGGACAGACCACGATTTGCATGCGAATGACAAGACAACGAGATTTCGCGTTAACTGACCGAGACCGCCCGGCATAAAATATGGGCGCCGCCATTTTGGTTCCTTTTACTGTTGGAGAACTGGAGTTTTGCACACCGTACAGATTCGCAGGCATTTCCGAGGTAGGCCATTTTCACAATTTTCCCCACATAATGTCAGTATATGTCACGTGTCATATATATATATATATATATATATAATGTGTCACACACACACACATTATATATATATATATATATATATATATATATATAGTTATTGGTCAGAGTTGAATTAGATCATGAAACAGTTTTATTAAAAAGTGCTCAATACAAAAAGAAAATAAAAATTTAACGTTCAGAGTGTTTAAATTTTTTAAATTAGGAGATCAGCTAATCACGCTACCTTGGTTTTGATGATACTGAAAGGTTGAAACCAAGTTAGCATGATTGGCTGTTACCCTAATTTTTTAAATATATATATATATATATATATATATATATATAGTTAGCCACTCATATTCGAGGATACCTGTCTATTAGGGCAGCTAGCCAATCTCTATTGTAGATGCTCGCTCAGGCATATTTGTGTTTGTTTAACACCCACAGAGCCAACCAGTGGTTTATACTGCAACTATGCTGAGCAGACCTTAGTTAAAGTTTCTGGGAGAGAGCGTGTTATCTAGCATGATCAACAATCTGAACAAGTCCAGCACACTCAAACCCTCAGTCATGATGACTTGTGACTTTGTGCTAGGACAGCTATCAACAGCACCCCGCCCCAAGGATTCTGTCTACCCAATTTCACTCAAAAAAGCTTGAGTTTTCAGGCACTTTCCAAAGGTGCAGCATGCTGAGATCCCCTCCTCCAGGCTGATAACATCAGGAAGTCTCCTTCTTGACAAATCGACCATGGTGAGATTTGAACGTGGGTCTCATGGTCAGAAAGTGAATGTTCTAACTACTCTGCCACATGCCCATATATATAGTAAAGGTAATAAATCCATAGGTATATAATCCAAGTGGATGCTAGTAAAATATTAAAACTGATCCACAAAAGAGCTCAATGTATTTATTATTACAGATCCAATAAATAGTATTACACAACAAAATCCAAAATTGCCGCATATGGGGTGGGTGGATAGATCTATTTCAACCAATGAAAACTTTGTCAGTCTTATTCAACCAAGGTACATATATACTTTTAATGACATTTACCAGCCTGAATGTCCAAGAAATTTTCATAGAAAATATGCATTAATACTGTTTAATATAAACAGAGCATTTACTTAAATATTTGTATCTATAAAAAGAACATATAAACATTAAAAAAAAAATATGTCTTAAAATAATTGTTGAACTTTGTCCATTTCATGTGTGATGTCATTTGTTTACATTTGGATACACATTGAGCAGATATGAATGTACGAGAGAAAATCATGGAGAATTGTAGTTTAAAAACAGTAAAATTGACCTTGCTAACTGAAACACTCCACTGTGGCTAAATCGGTAATAGCACGTCAGGCTATATGATATATGATGGTTTTATATAGGATACAGATTCGATTCCTGTCGGAGGATGCATATTTTCTATGAAAATTTCTCGGACATTCAGGTTGGTAAATGTTGTTAATACTGTTTATTATAAACAGAGCATTTACTTAAATATTTATATCTATAAGAAAAAAAACATCTTAAAATAATTGTCAGACTTTGTCCATTTCATAATATATATATATATATATATATATATATTTATATTTGCACTATTATTTTTAAAGAGTTATTGAGCAGTAAATATTTCTGTAAAAAGTTCAAGTTTAAAAAAGGGAAAAGAAAAAGGTACATACATCTTCATTGTTGATGTTCTTTGGAGACAGGTGGGCCAAACGAAACAAAAGATATGGTTTCCAAAGAGTGAATTTGGTCACTGGGTTTGTGGAATCTATTGTCAGAGAATCCAACCTTCGCAGATTAGCAAGCCCATTAAGTTGTGAAAATGAATGGATGTTGCAGGAGTTAAAAATTAAATTCTGAAAAACAAAAAAAAAAAAAAAAAAGGAATGGTTTGGTTTGTTTTATGGCATATCAACCTCAATGGGTCATTTAATGCTGACAACTTTTTTTCCTGGTAATATTTTTGCTTTGTCAAAAATCTATTTCTGGTAATATTTTTTCCTCAAAAATGTATAGCTGGTAATATAATTTTAAAAAATGTATTGCTGGTAATATAATTTTAAAAAATGTATAGCTGGTAATATAATTTTAAAAAATGTATAGCTGGTAATATTTTTTTTTTTGAAAACGTATTGCTGGTAATAGTTATTCTTCTCCAAAAATTTATTTCTGGTAATAATTTTTTACAAAGTATTTCTGGTATTAAAATCTATTTTTACAATTTCATAATGCTTTTTACCTCAGTTTCAGGGTTTAAATATTTGCCCATAGCTGGGACCCTAACAGATGCTACCACCCCGTGTCAGGGTGGACCTGGGAACACCAGCAATTAAGAGGTGGTTCAACGCTCCTCAAAACCTAACCTGATCAGAGGCCTTGCTGCTGGACATAGTTTATTGTCTTACCCTGGATGTGGATGTAGTTTATTGTTATGCCCAGGACGGGCTTTTTAGGCAATGCTATAAAAATACATCTGCTTCGGTCTTCTGATATATCATTACTTTCATACATTTCATTTGTTACGTCTGCAATTTTCTCAGTGCTGAAATCATCCAAACCTGTTAGGAGCTAAACTACAATTCCATCTAAATCTGCTGCTTTGTTTTTGATCAATTTGGCTAGTGTTGATTTCACTTTAATTAATATTTCTAATCCTTCCATATTTTTGTGTAGTGTTGGGTTAAAATGTGGATTATCTCCCTTTTATTGAGATTGTCACAAGGCTCACGTGGTGGCTGGTGAATGACATCAAGAGAGATTGACGAGAGCATTTATCATGTAGAGCTCAGAGACAAAGGACATCCTTAGGCCACAGCGATATGTTTTACTGGGAAAAGCACATAGCCTAACCCAGTTCATGGAGAAACTACCATAACTCCATTTAGAAATATAACAGGTAAGGTTGCCCTTTCTTACACACTTTTGTTGAAGTGTATGTTATAATTTCTTTGCATGGGACACATGTATATACGAATACATCTAATTGTGTACAAACCTCTCTGTGAATTAAGCATGTGTGTTATTCTTATTTCGTTCTGTCAGTGAAATATTGGTGTTGTTATATCAGGGATATAACAGTGCCCATAACAAGAGAAATGTATTAGGGAAAATAAATATTTATTTCGCATGCTCTTGTTACAGAAGGTTTTCCTCTTTCTTTGTGAAAGAGTTCTCCAATGTATTTGTTCCGTCTTTCAAGTATGAAGGCAATCATGACTGACAGAAGAAGTGTATTATATATATATAATGTAATAATGTTCATAATTTTATTACAGAAAAGCAAATGAATTTAATTAGAAATGTATTGAAGAAAGGTATTCTATCGCCTGGAATTAAGGCGAGTAAAATTGGCAGCATAATAAAATTGGCAGTATAATAGCTATCATAAACAAGACTTACTGCAAGGCTTGGAAAGCGGGATCTTAATTTGTGCACATGTTTCACAATCTCATCAAAATCAATGAAGTTGAACACCACAGTGTTAACCATTCCTGCTGATTGTACACCCCAGTTACGATCAAGAGCCTCTAATGAAGCTGATCCATACAAGGAAAGACAATTACAATCCAATTCAGCCAGGTTGTTAATATCACCCATTCCTGAGCCAACCTTACCTGTTGATCTATAATTGGGAAGAAAACAAAAACAGTTTTATGAAAATCACTTAAGAAATTATATACATTTATTATTTTGAAATACATTGTATTTAGTGGATGTATATTTTTGACTAGACATTTGTTTCTTAAACAGGATATTTTCATCTAGCAGCATGAGATTTTTGAGTTTTTAATGACAAATAATAAAAATAAAGATTCTTGAAAGACACAAGCCAGTAGACAAAAATATACCATTTGAAAAATGGAGACATTTACTCGGACATGTGCAGACATGAAATATAATGTACATAACAATAAGAAATAATGTTGGATTATAAATAAAATCCATTAATTCCATAAAATTACTAATATATATATATATATATATATATATATATATATATATATATACATACAGTGTCCAAAAAAATTTGACATCATTTTGCAGGCCAATAATTTTGGCAATTCTTGTTGAAATAACCTCAAATTTTCACAAAATGTATAGAAACAAATCAAGATTTTATATTTAATGTTTTATTTTTGTTATCTCAATGAGAATCTGCCAGAGAAATGGATCGGGTGTCATGGAGATGAAGACAGTTTTCTGATGAAATGGCTGCCATGGTCACCATGTGATTTCTTTTTATGGAGATATGTGAAGAGACTGGTCTACGTCACCTACCCCTTCTAGCTAGCACTGATGAACTCAGAGAATCACTTCTGAACTGGATAATGTTACTGGAGACATACTACAGCGTGTCTGGCAAGAGCTTAACAACTGACTTGATGTGTGCTGTGTCAGAAGCGGTGCACATATTGAAAACTTATGAAGTCGGTCCCATAATAAACCTATGATGTTCAACACTTAAACTTTTTTCAATTTTATTGAACTAGACTTAGTAGTTTTCAAGATAATTGCTTTTAAAATGATGTCAAATTTTTTTGGGACCCCTTATGTGCATGTGTATGTATATATATATATATATATATATATATATATTTTGTGTATTTAGGCAACTTATTTTCATTCAAACAGGTTTGGTTAAATAATATAGACATATAATGTCTGTTTATTTTTGTCTTATTCCTTTCAAGTCTGTGGATCAATTTCATTGCAGCTGTAAAAAATTGTATTAAGAAAAATACCAAAATTTTCTTTAAAAAATTATTTGCAAGAAAATGTTGATATTTTTCTTAATACAATTTTAAAGTAGATTTTCAAACCATCAGTCAAGTATTTTTCACTGGCTCTATCGCTAATAAATTTCTGTTAAAAAATGTTAAGTAGAATCTATTCACATGTTCATACAACAATCTGTATTGTCATGTATATTTTTTTTTTTTTTAGGTTTAATCAGAAATAATTTATTCTTCAAATGTTACAATTGCTTCCCAAAAACAGAAATTGTTTATAATTCCACCTAATAGTTATGGAATATATTTACTACTAGCTTAAAAACTGCCCTGTCACGTGACAATTAAGCTAGCTCCTGCAGAGGGGCTCTTGATTGGGGCTTTATCACAATAGGTAAGGAGGAGAATTTGCAGTAATCAACAATAAACTACAGAAGAACTCAAAATTGATCACTGCATTTAAGTATTGCATTAATATTTAAGCTTATTTTTTAAGAGTTCAAGGATAATTCTTCTGCTGCCACTTAATTTAAAGACAATTTGATGTACATAGGTCCTTACTTTTAGTATGAACAATTATTTTTATTTCATGGGTGACTTTCTTTGGATTTCGCAATTAATTTTGATTATTCCCAAATTTATTTCCAAGTTATAAAAATTGTTATCATAGAAAAAAACTTGTTGCAAAAAGATCATGCAAAAAAAAAAAAAAAAAAAATCATGAAACAATCGTAGTAAGGAAAACTTAGAAATCAAAAATTTCAGGATTGTCGTCCGGATCTGGCCCCAAAAATTTTTTAATTTGCTCAGAGTTCACCTGATTCCAAAATACTATATATTGAGCTACAGCCTCTAGGAGTAAAGTTGAAAAAGTGTGACACACTGACATTCACATTTATTATATAGATGTTTTTCCTTAAATTTGCTATAATTTCATTGATGTTGCATTGTTTGTTTTTTATGCTTAATGCTTCTGGGATTTGTAATCATTTTTTACAGTTTATTTATGATATTGTATTTTTCTGTTATTGGTGATGATTGATTAGTCATATTTCTTATTTAGTTTGTGTCTGATGTTGGTTGGTATATTCATATAGCTTAGTGTGAAACAAGGCTAATATCAAAACTGGAGTAGATCACAGAAAACAATGGAAAATTTTATGTTTTAAAAACAAAAATATTAAAATGAAAAATTAATCATTGGCAAGAGAAAGGAAACACAGAATTAACATATTCTAAAACAAAAACCTGTTACTTTACTATATAGTGATTTTCCAAGCATAGCTTAGATGTGGTACAAGGCCGAATGTATAGGGCACCCAGTGAGGATAGAAATCACTACTCAGTTGTAATTGTTCTAGCGTGAAAAGCTTGCTAACCATTACACTGCCTCGAGGGGCCTGTTACTTTGCTATATATAATGGATATGAAATTACCCAAAATTTGTACTTTACATTTAATTTGAAAAAATTTATAAATAGTAATTGCAGTTCTCACCTAAAAATCATAGTTTCTTTGGTATTTTTATTTTGTTCGTTGCGAGTCTTTGCACTGGAACTTTTTGAAATGTCCATCTTTTGAGTCTGAGGATCTGAATTGCTTGCTGAAGTCAGAGCAGACATATCAGTATGCACACTATGAGCACTCTCTGGTCTTTGGGGCTGTTTTTCCATCCTAGTAAAAGCAAAAATCTGAAAAGTCATCTCAGAGTATGAAGTTTTAGAACTTAAGAAAAACAAGGACAAAAATGCATAAAATAGGAGCAGTTATTCATTTGGCTTAGGGTGACATGAGGTTAATTTCTGAATTAGAGAAAGCATTCAATTAGCTTAGAGTGATATGAGATTGAATTCTGAATTTGAGCAGGCATTCAATTAGCTTAGAGTGATATGAGATTGAATTCTTTGAGCAGGCATTCATTTAGTTTAGTGTGGCTTAAGGCCAATATCAGTATTGGAGTAGATTGGTTTGTTTTATGGCATATCAACCACAACGGGTTATTTAATGCCAACAAGATTTTTATTGCTGGTAATATTTTTGTTCAAAAATGTATTGCTGGTAATATTTTTTTTTTTTAAATTTATTGCTAGTAATATTTTTTTTCCTCAAAAATTCATTGCTGGTAATAATTTTTTACAAAAATGTATTGATGGTATTAAAACCTATTTTTATACTTTCATAGTATTTTCATCCCAGTTTGAGGTTAACTATTTGCCCATAGCTGTGACCCTAACAGGTGCTATCACCTCTGTCCAGAGTGGACCTGGGAACACCAGAAATTAAGAGTTGGTTTCATACTCCTCAAAAACTTCTTATCAGACGCCTTGTTGCCAGGCGTAGTTTATTATTTTACCCAGGATGTGGATGTAGTTTATTGTCTTACCCAGGACGTGTCATTTGGTAGGAGGTCTTATCCCACTGCAGAGGTGCTGTCAGTGTATTCTGAAGTCCCAGCTGACAGGGCAGGTATTGGAGTAGACTATAGAGAGAATGGAAAATAATTTAGACACAAATATCAAATGAAAAGGATTTTGCTTCTATGAAAAGCTGTTATGTTGTTTGGTCAAATTTGTTTTGACAGCTTTAAAGCAAAATGTAAAATTAGAAAGGATACTGTTGTGAAGTTGAAGTTAGCACTAATCAGCCACTAAGCTCGAACTTCTACCTCGTTATTCCCAGTGACCACTTATATGAGTGTTCACTTATGCTTATGCAAATTATGCATACTAATTTGCTAGTATCACTACAGATACAAAATGTAACTTTTTATAACTCAGAAAACTCTGTACCTTAACCCTGCATTAGTCACATGTAGTATTTTGTTACCCCCACCAACTCTTTAAACTACTAGCCTGACTAAATGAGGTCATGTAACATGCAGTGTAATGCAGTTGTAGCTCAGTTGTTGTGGGAGGCAGATGCTACTTTGTCGTCTTCTTCGGGGTGTCCTATCATCCCACCTGACTAATGAAGATAAGTTTCCATGATTTATATTTTTTGTATATCTGTATTATATATTTTATTACTTTTCAGTTCTGTAATTATGAGTTTAGCTAATGTAATGTTATATCTTTCTATTCATGGAAATATATTGTAGCGGTTCTTGATGAATGAAACTTGAAATGCTGACACAGTTTATCTTTTACCTTAAAATATAGTTAAAAATTTTTTTTAGAAAAAACAATTATGTATTACAATTTTATAGCCATTATTTATGATGCTATAAAATATATAATAATGGACTCTCCCATCGGTTTCGACGTATGAGGATCTGCCAGCTTATTGATTCAGTTATGAAATTTTGTGCGATAATATTAAGTGGCACATAAGACTCGCTAGTGATTTACAAAGGAGGCTACATATGGAGCAGGTGTGAATTGAGATGAGATCACTGTTAGATTGGCTAACCTTTTAGATCTTGCTCTCGCTTCTTGAAGATGATTCAGACAAAAACTGAAAATTGCTGAGTCCACTAAAAAACACGTTGATCTCCATTCTACCCACTCCAAAGCTAGCGCTCAAGGGTGTTATGTGGTATATTAACTGCTGACAAGTTGCTTTTCAGTTTATAAAATATATAATGTATATATAAAGTATATAATGGTTCACCCTCTACAGGCAATTACTTAGTTTATTCAACTTCAATATTGCTATGTTTTGCTGTCTATTCAATATTATTAGCATCATATATAGATGCTCCACATTTTTAATTTTATCTATAGGCCCCTTTAAGAAGCTTCCTGAATATAAAAAAAATTCTTTCTGATAACTATGTCTGGTTAACCACCTCCTTCAACAGATAGAACATCATATTTGGCTACATCCATGATACATTTGTTGCTGTCATATTCTCCACAATGATGTCAAGTCTAAGTGCTGGTTTATGGTGACATGAAAAAAATAACTCACCCACCTCCGGCCTATGACCTTATTTTTTCTATTCAGCATTGATGTGACTTTCAATTGGTTAATCAAGACATACCTACAAGCATATTTTTAATTCTAACCTTATGCAAAACCCCACCCACCCCTTAACTTTCAGAAAAGAGGTAATGATTTGTTTTTAAATTTCCCTAAAAAATAATTTTTATTACCACTTATCAACCACCACCTGAGAAAGTACAATCATAGTACTGAAACATGAAAGCTTTTGTGTAGTGATTTAAAATGTTTATATTATAATTTCTTATAATAAAAACATTATAATAATAAGAATAAAACTTTTCTCTATTATTGCATTGGTGTGTTTTATCTACATATGTTTGTGTTTTCATTTCAATAAATAATTATATCTTCAGTTCAAATTTTGATTTAATGTAAATTGTAATGGAGATTGCCTGTTATTGTATGGCAATCATCATCACACACACACATACACACTTACAAATTCAAATCTTCAACAGCATTCATTCATTGGGCAGGAAGCAACACTGCTATCTGAAGCAACAATTTTAAAATCACTATATTTTCATATAGTAGATTTTGTGCATTTTTGTGAGAATTGTCTCCCAGAAGTCTCCCCAAAACTCATGCACTGATTGGTCAGTATCGACCAATCAGATTCTCTGCATGTGGAGAATGATCCTTCCCAGGCAGCACTCCTGATTCATTGACCACCTATATAAGCAGAAGAAAAGAGGAGCCAAACCAGTAAGACTTCGGCTGCCACAGAAATCCATGTCAGTTGAAGCTATGCGCCCATCTTCTCACTCAACTCTCAAACTGCATATTCTATCACACTTACATAAATTTTCCTCTTGCATGGCAGAACTGTTTAAAAAACATTTATAACAGACTAATAACTCTTTCATTTCCTTTTCAAAGAACTTTGATAGACTTTGATAGTCAAAGAGAGACAACTCTCATATTACTCATTGCATGCTTTTTCGCATACATTCTTCATTGTATGCTTTGTTGAATACAATTTTTATATATATATATATATTTTGATACCTTTGCCTTGTCCCTTATTTTACATCAGTTTGGGTTCCTAAACAACATTAAATAGATGTGGTAAAAGGCCGCCACAATTGTACTGTTTCAGCAGTATGACACTATTTTACATAATTGTAACACTATAAGCATTTTTGTATTCTGTAAACACCCCAGTGGACTATCCATTTTTGGAAATCTGAAGTGACTAATGCAGAGTTAATCTAAGGCTTTCATAAAATATTGAAACAAATGTTGATCAACTTTTTAGTTCTTACTAATGACTGGAATTGATATTGTCTCATGAAAAAGAAGTCAATGAGAAAATAATGTTTGAATTCAGTCAGTTATGTGCCATGCATGGGCGATCATGTATATTTCAATACATGACTGACAAGGCAGATTTTTTCCCCACAGTAGTTTGCCATTTCTTTCTGTGGTAGACCAGTTGCCATCTAAGGCTATAGAACCCGGTCTGTCCTGCTATTTACCCAGAGCTGGGAGGAGAAGAAGAGGATTCATACCTTTCCCAAGAGTAATAGCATGTAAGTAAATGCAATGGATTCGACTGGTATTCAAACTCGGTTCTCTGATTCCTCAATCCGAGCTGCTATCCATTACTCCACCATGTCTTCTTGTTTGAATTACAGACACTAAGTCCAAAGCCAAATTATGATTTATGTTGCAGGTGAAAAGAATTGATTGATAAAAATCCAAGAATGAATGGATATAAAGCCTATGAATTGAAAGAAAAATGATAAAATAACTGTGTCTTTTGTTTTTACTAAGTGTCTCCAGATTATACTTACTTTCCATGCAAAACAAAACTTTCTTCTACAGTGGCCTCTTCCCTGTTACCAGAACCAAGATGGCTGGCATTGGTAGCCAGAGACTCACAGTGCAAAATGTCTTGTGTATTCGATGAAGGATAAGTGGCTACATGTTGTGCATATAGATCTGGTATTTTGGACAGCTTACCAGAACGGGACATCATACTGCCCTGGATGGCTTCCCACTGACACTTTGCATTTGTGATGGCTGCTCGGCGCTTCTCCTAAATCAAAAGAATTATAACTTGGGATTTTAGATGTCATTTATTTTTATAAAGATTGACATACAAAATATGAAGAATAACTTCTTGTCTGACATTTTGTTATTAGTTGTTTAATAAATTTTTGCGCTTTCTTGATTTTTATTTTGTCCGAGTTTCAAATAAGACATTGGAATAACAGATTCTTCTCTCACTCAGTTTGGACAACCCCTACTCTGAGCTGAGCAATTAAATCAAGGTTGATGACAAGACAAAAAAAAATCAAGTAAATAGAAAATGTTATTGAATTTTTCAGAAATCATTTGGTAAAAAAATTATTTAATTTTTTTTTTAAATTTTGTATAAATATTTTTAGGTCTGTTATTGAATTAAAATATACATGTTCATGCACAAAAGTAGATACATACACAATTTGAATGAAATTGAAATAGATATCTGTGTTACAAGAAATAATTTCCCTTTCTTCCTGGCAACAACCCATGGGTAATAGGAAAATGCATAAGCCAAAAGAAGCAGCTGTTTGAAGTCATGAAGTTATGATTCCTTTTGTATTTAAACTCAATATATTTTTTTTATAAATGTATGATTTAAAATAGACAAACAATTTAGATTTGAAATTTGATCATTTTGCTGTCAGTGATGTGATGGGTTCCTTGAACTAATTAATATTCAATAAATGTTTTGAATTATTTTACCCTGTGTTCTTTTTGCTTCAAGACTTTGAGATCATGTGACGGTTACACACCTGGCCCAGGGTTTGGTTTGTTCCTCCTGGCTTCCTGGTTCCAGCGTGCCCTCCAACCCCTTGGTTGGATGATCACCAACCTCGCCTTTCCCAACTCACTTCCAATACCTGGTTACTGGAAGCAACTGTACTGATCTCCCGGTCTGTCTACCCACGTTGTGTTTAGATCTTAACAGACAGGGACCAGCAGGATTGGGGCCATTACAAGTTGAGTCCGACGGGGTGGCAAAACACAAGAAAAAAGAAAAAAAAAACTCACGAGACAAAAAATTACTGATAAAAAGGGTGACAACCTTTTTATATCTAATGTCCGTTACATAAAGAAAAATTGTTCTCAATTCCCGATTCACTCTGTGGACTATAAAAGCTTCTATCACACAACCTAAAGATTTCGAATTGCCTACTTTTTTGTGTATGTCGGATAATGGTTTAGTTCGACACTGGGGCTAATTTCTATCGATCATTACATTCTTCTCTTTGACTTGAGTTGTATTTCTTCTTTCGACTAAGATAGAATTCTCTTGTCTTCGACTTGGCTGCAACTTCTCTTGTCTTCGACTTGGCTGCAACTTCTCTTGTTTCGACAAATCTTCTTCTTCGTCTGCTTGGGCTGGAGTTCTCTTGTCTTCGAATAAGGATTTCTTGCCGCAACTCAGCTGCGAACTCTCTGTCGTCCGAAGGGCTGAACTCTGCCGTAAATCTGCCACAACTCTTGGCATCCTTCGAAAGCAATCTCCTTCTTCGTCTGCTTGAAATTTTTCTTGTCTGAGGATTCTCTTGCCCAAAGGGGCGGTGTGATCAGGCTCTTTCCCTGCCAGGTCCAGCTGCAAAATTTCTGTCGACTGGGGTCCTGCTTTTATTTAAACTGGGGTCTGTCTGTCGAAAGGTTTTCTCGAACAAAAGTCGTCATTATTTCTGTCTTCTCATTATCACTATTAAATTTTAGGTCATAGTGCCTTTTTTAAATATAATATGTCAGGTGACCGATTGATCGAGCATTTCTTTCTTTTCTTTTCAACGCAAATTGCCACGTGAAATTAAAAAACCATTTTTCTGTAATGAGACTCTGGTTGGGCGTTTTCCTGCAATCAATCTGGGCGGCTTATATCGTTTTGTTCTAAAATCAATTTTGCCTTTTTTTTCTTGGAAAAAACAATCTTGGCTTTTTCTCTCACCTGGGCTCTTTATACAAAAAAAAAATTTTGATGTGATTTCAAAATATTGTTATCTGTGAACTGAGACAATCGTCCCCTTTAAAAGTGATGAACCCGACATCAGAAAATTTAATTATCTACATTGAAAATGTTCCACTTTATTATCGTAGGTTTCAATTCTTAATAGGTCAGGATCTGTATATATTCCACCGTCACTCCCTCAAAAAAAAACACTTTTTTATCTGATTAAGATTTCATTCTCATTGTTCTTAAAATTTCCCCTTACTCCAAATTGATAAATGAGTTGTTCTTTATTATTCAAGTAGGTCAGATGTTTTTGACAGTGATCTGGTTTTCATCAAGCTTTGGACTGATATCATGTCTTTTCCCAATTCTTTTCTTATTATTTCTAATTCTATTCTTCCAATTGTCTTTAAAAAATTCGGCCACACGCAGGCCAAGATATCTTTCTGACTTTGTTTTTTTAGTTAATGACCGAACTTTTGTTATTTTTCGACCTCTCTCTTTTGCTTTTCTCTTTTTTTCCTCTTCTTCCCTTATGATCGTCTAAAAGTACAATCTTAGTGAATTATTTTCAACTCAATTATTTTCCGTTTTTAAAAAAATTATCAACAACCTGTTTAGTAAACCGAAAAAAAAAAAATTAAATCATATTTCTATGAATATTTCTAATAATGCAAGGTGCACAATCAGTTACTGATATTTAATGACTATTTTTGACTCTTCCTGTCTGAGATTTTGAAATGAATTGTGAATGTCTTGAGTACAAACATATTTGCAGTTACTTACATCCTTTATTAAAATTGTATCTTTGAATAATATCATCTTCAATAGGTTTTTTTCTTTTAAATTTTACCAAAATCTCTGAGACATATAATGAGGAAAGATAGCTTGGAGAATCACAGGAAATATTATGAGACAGAGCAACATCCTTGTGCAAATTAATTGAAACAAAATGAATAATTACATTATTTACATTTTTTTTTTGTATTTTTCCAATGAAACATGACCCAGTGCATATGTTAGTATTTCATATGTCCATTCCACAAAGACGTTCCTTGCAGATTGACCACAGATTTTCGATTGGATTTAAATCAGGAGAGTTTCCGTGCCAGTCCATGGTAATTTAATTTGCTCACTGGTAAGGCTTGTCAGTGTGTTCATTACAATTTTTGTATGCTTCCTTGGAGTAACGTCCATCACAGACAAGGGCCATAGGGCAACTAATCGATAGTCAAGACAATAGTGTCTGGGCATGATGAAAATCTGATGCAATCATGGATGACGCAATATTTTTCAAGGCCAAACAAATTTCATCATACACCCCAAAAATAGATTCATATTACTGCAAACCACAGCAAATGACCTAATCAGAGGTAAAAATAGAAATTGGTTATACCCTGTCACTCTAGCTGGGTGTAAAACTGACCATATGGTGAAAGAAAGAAAACTAAAGCGGTTGTTTCAATTAATTTGCACAAGGGTATAAACAGCAAATAACATACCTATGACCTTGTGTAAATGGATGGCAGAATATAAAAGTGAGGGATAGTAAAGGGTTAAATATTGCTTTGTGCAACATAAGATGGGAAGTTGTGGAGAACTATGATCACCCATGTCATGAGGGGACACAGTACTTAAAAGAAGACCTAAGTATGGAAAATGTAAATCAACCTTTATTTTTGTGTGCACATGATCTCTTGGATATAAAAGTTTGAACAATAGGTGATTTTTTTTTTTAAAAAAAAACGATTTATCTAGATTTCAGTCTACTTACTTTCATTATGGCTATTTTTCTTTGTTCTCTCTTCTTTTCTTCTTCTTTACGAGCAATAACTAAGGCGACCCTTCGTTCATCTTCCTGTAAGATATTTAAAAGAAAGGGTGAATGAGATTTCTTCATTAAAATGTAAAGGGAAGGATATATAAAAACATTTTCACAATAAACCAAGGTGCTACAAAAATGTTTGGGGTGGGGAGAGATTGTTCTTAAAAAAGATATTGCATGTTCGGTTTGCAAAAATCTTGTTAATACTTGTTAAACCTGTAAGAAGATTAGTTTTTGAGTAAAAAAAGGCAAAATTAATTGGCAAAACAATAAATGCAATTTTCTTTTTGTCTTTTTACCTTTTCTGGAAAAATGAACAAAGTGCAGTATTGTGTGTTTAAGGGATTGGAGACAATGATAGTTAGCTAATAGTTGTTGTAAATTGGTAGAAATTGTAAATTGGTAGAAATGATTAGTAACAGTGGTGGGAGAATAATAAAACCATGAATGTAGTTATAGTGGTGGTAGCTTGAACTAAAAAGTGGTTGTTGGTGATTTATTTTATTTTTGTTTTATTTTGTTATATGTATTAATTTATTTTTGTATAAATCCTGATAATAGGTATTCTGTGTAAAATTATGGTAGTTGGAGATTGCTATAATATTTAATATTTTAATTACAAAATTATTATTGTTATTATATTAAAGCTGCCTGGTAATAGGTGTTTATTCTCATGGTTACATATGGAAATTATATCTGATCATATTGTTTTAAGGTATTAAATATGCTGGGGGAGTAATAAAGATTGTAGTGGATTTATATGTTAATAGTGGGTGTGATGTGTAAGTGATGGTGCTGTGCGTTGGTGGTAATGATAATATTGTTAGTTAAAAGGTATTGTAGTAAAAGTGATTACTAATGGTGGTGCAATTATAATAATGATAGATGCAATTATTTTGATGGTATCTTGAAATTAAATTGTGATTGTTGGTGGTTTGTCTGTTTTATCCGTTTGGTATGAATTCGGATAATAGGTACTTGTTCTCATGCCTACATTTGGAGATTATCTCTGATTTTTTGTTTAGTAAGTTCTTTTTATGGTTTGTGTGATATTATTGCTACTTTTTCGTGTAGGCAAAGTAGGCATTTTTTTAATAATGTTGTTGTAGGCAGGGGCTTTTTCAATATTTCCCAACTTATTGTTGGTGTGATGTTTTTGTCTTTTTTGCTGCCATATGTATGTAGAAAGTGTTGTGCTGTTCAAATATTTCCTGTTGTTGAATGAAAGGTTGTGATTGTTATTCCTCATTTTGAATGGACCTTCGGTGGCACCGATGTAGTGCATAGTGTTGTTGTTTGTACTTACCTTGGCCTTGTATATTGTGTTACGTAATTTGGCAATTTTCCTGGAGTGGACGTGTTGTTCTGTTTCTGCAGTTGCATATTGGATCCTTGGTTGCATTTTTGTAGGTTGTAATTTTTTTGTTGTGGCTTTTGATTATTTCTGTTATGTTTTTTGTACAGCTGTAACTGATCTTTACGTTATTTTTGTTGAATATTTTTGATAATTTGTTTTCTTCAGTGAAGTGTTTTTCTATTAAGTTTAGGAATATTTTGCCTATGTTCATTTTAACAGTTTTGTTATATGGTGGATTAAACCAGATAATGTTTCTCTTTCTGGTTCTACGTTTTGGCTGTGGAGGTATATATTGTAGTTGTGTGTAACCACTTGCTTTTAGTGCTTCGTTGTATGGTGTTTTTTTGCTATTGAAAATGTGTATGTTAGATGAGTTCTCAGATAGTCTGCGGCTGATTGATTTTGGTATTTGTTTGATGAAGAAGGTGGATGGTTGGAGGATGTGTGTACGTAAGTTGGGGTGTCATTTTCTTTTTTGTATGGTTCATATGTGTTGTTGATCAGGTTAAGAGTGATGTCAAGGAAGTTTACTATTGTTGTGCCTGTATTTATCTCTATTTTGAATCCAATGTTTTTAGGGCGTTCACTATTTTCTTCCTGAATTTGTTTACTTTGGGGCCATTGATTCCCTTATTAAGATAAGACCGTTATCTCTGTATAATCCTGTGTCCTTTCTCTCCAGGATTCTGGCCAGGTATGATAGGGATGAGTATGCCTACTAATTCGCATATTTCTGCTCCATCGTAGCTACCCATTGTTATGTCAAACAGGTTGTGGTTTTGTTTTTTTGCCCATGGTTCATTGTTGTGAACAGCAGGGATTTGCGGCAATGCTTGATTAATTTTATATCACCGTCCGTGAGTTTTACATTTAGCTGTGCCAGTTGTATGGCTTCATTTAATATGCTTTCTGTAATGGAAGGATAAAAATCCACAATGTCAAATTGGATGAAAGTGGATTTATTCTTGTTGTCTATTGTTTTGAACCAATCTATGACGGCTTTGGTGTTCTTCCACTGGTTGAGACCTAATTTTTCTCTTAGGCTGGTGTTGATATCTAGTATCTTCTTACTAATTTTCCTATCTCACTCTTCGCCGGGTTAATTAGTCTGAATGTGGTTTTTCTATGAAGCTGGCTTTGTGGTCCTTTACCCGTGATGAAAGCATGTTGTTCAGCTAGTTTGTTTACTCTTTCATCTATATTCAATTTGGTGGCTATATTTTTGGCTTCTTGGTTTATAATGTTTATTGTGTTCGTGTTTGTCTTTTTTGTATAGTTGTGTAATTTTGTTGGTTAAGAGTTGATTGTAGGCTGTAGGTTCTATAGTATATATGTTTTGTGGTTTTGTCAGCCAAAATGAATACCTTTTGTTGGAGTTGATTATTTTTTCCTGTCGTCTATGATTTTTTTCTGAAATTGTCCAAGTGTCTTTTGAATTTCAAGGTTCTAACTATATTTATCATGTCCTCTTCGAATTTTTAACATTTTCTTGCACATTGGTGGACACTTTTTGTATTAAAGTTGAATGTCTCAGGTTTTTCAGTTGTTTGGTTTTTGGGTCGTTGAGGGAGAAATATGCCTTCCATCTCATTCGTCTTATTAGACTTTCGATTTTCTCTGTTATTTGGAGTTTGTATGAAGCTTGAGTAGGTATAGGGATGTTTTTTCAGTGAGTATCGTAGGTCAAATTTATTTTTTATATATAAAACATATAAAATATATATATATATATATATATATATATATATATATATTATATATATATATATATATATATATATATATATATCTTTTTTAGAGCTCTCATGAAATAAAAATTATTACCTATGGGATTTTAAGTGTTTGATATTCTTTAATTAATAATATATAGATATATAGAAAAAAGTGTCAGTTTTAAGTCGAAAAGGATGTTTAACTCTTAATTTCTTGTAAAGAATCTCAAACACCACTGACCAAAGATTTCGACAAAAGAAGGCAAAAAAGTGGTTGGTCAATTAAAATACTAACTCATTAATTTTTCTTAAGTTATGTACATTTTACTAAAACAGAAGGTAATTAGAAAAAAAGAGAATAGCTTTATTTGACTTTAGTATAAATGCCCAAATAAGGGCATTTATACTAAAGTCAAATATTCATAAAGAATTGCTTACATCCAAATATTTTGGTCACTTAGAAACATTTTTATGGAATGCTACAAATTCTCAGGAATAAGAAATTGCTTTACTATTTACATTATTCAGACTGTTGTCTCATCTTTGTTGCCATGTTTATCACAACGTTTCGGTCGTTGTACACTCTGGCTTTCTTCAGATGGTTGGAATGTCGAAATGAACCTTTTCTTTCGCTTACTGGGATTCTCAAACTAGTTCCATGTGCCATGTTTAATGGATGTCAGTTATCTCCTGTTAATTCCCCTCACCAAGTTGAAACAAAATGAATAAAAAATTATTACTAGCAATACTTTTTTGAAGAAAAAAAAGATATTACCAGCAATAAAAATCTTGTTGGCATTAAATAACCCACTGAGGTTGGTATGCAGTAAAACAAATACCAAAACCTAAATTTTCATATATACACTTCTGTTAATGGTGGTTCTCATAGAAAATTCAGCTTATAGCCATAACACATGGTGAAACACTGGTTCTTGTATAATCACTGAAGTTTCCTGGACAGTACCAAGATGAGCGACTGCTTTGGAATACCAAGTGCTTTTAAGCTTGGATGTGTGAGTGGTGTAATGGATAACTGCTAAGTTCACACTCTTCCCTGGTCTTTTGAACAGGAGTAGAGGCTTATCCCTTGTTTCCTGTTTCCTTCTAAAGTCTTGTCATTCATTTTCACACCCAGTCACTTCTTGTGTTTTAGTGGGTTGATTAAAAAAAAAAATGAAATTGGCAAAGAGCCAAGTTCACTATGTGTAAATACTCTTGAGAAAGGTATGAATCCACCTCCACTCCCTTCATCTATGGGTTAATTAGTAATAATTGTACCAAATTTATCTCCAAAACATTTGTACAATCTAAAAATATTTTCTGGATTTAAATAACCTGCAAAAGGTTGATAAGCCATAAAAAACAAAATCAATCAATCACAGGAAAAAATAATTGAGTATATTCAATTCAATTTTCTGAGTGATGGTAATTTCAGTTTGCAATAATCTTACAATATTGATTCATTTTCTACAGTTTATCAACCCATCGCATGATATTTAAAGCCAGAAAATATTTTTAAATTGTAAGAATTATTTTTTGAGGGGAGAAGGAGACAATAATAGTTTATTAATACAAGTTTTACTAATTAACCCATAGCTGGGGAGAGAAGAGTTTCCCAAGAGTATTTATGTGTTAGTGAATATAATGAACCTAAATGGAATTGGAACTCAGCTCCCCAATTAACAATTCTGAGCCATTACCCCCACCACATCCAACATTACAGCACCTGGTACTCCCAAGTGGTCACCTGTCTAGGTAGGTGATTGTACAGTAACCAGTGTTTCAACATGAGGTGGCTGTTAGCCAACCTTACAAGAGGAAACAAGAGTTTACTCACTGATACTCAATGCATATCTAGGAGTTTGAGTTGCTGCATGTGATGTAAAAGCGTCTGCCTGTAATTTTGTTCAATTGCAACAGGATTGCCATCCAAAAATACTTCTGACAAAGATGTTGAATCTGAGAGACTGGAGATGAGTCGAAACTAGAAGGTTAGAATAATAAAAAAGAATGTTGTTGATCAGGTTAAGAGTGATGTCAAAGAAGTTTACTATTGTTGTGCCTGTATTTATCTCTATTTTGAATCCAATGTTTTTTAGGGCGTTCACTATTTTCTTCCTGAATTTGTTTACTTTGGGGCCATTGGATTCCCTTATTAAGATAAGACCGTTATCTTTGTATAATCCTGTGTCCTTTCTCTCCAGGATTCTGGCCAGGTATGATAGGATGAGTATGCCTACTAATTCGCATATATCTGCTCCATCGTAGCTACCCATTGTTACGTCAAACAGGTTGTGGTTTTGTTTTTTTGCCCATGGTTCATTGTTGTGGAACAGCAGGGATTTGCGGCAATGCTTGATTAATTTTATATCACCGTCCGTGAGTTTTACATTTAGCTGTGCCAGTTGTATGGCTTCATTTAATATGCTTTCTCTAATGGAAGGATAAAAATCCACAATGTCAAATTGGATGAAAGTGGATTTATTCTTGTTGTCTATTGTTTTGAACCAATCTATGACGGCTTTGGTGTTCTTCCACTGGTTGAGACCTAATTTTTCTCTTAGGCTGGTGTTGATATTATCTAGTATCTTCTTACCAATTTTTCCTATCTCACTCTTCGCCGGGTTAATTAGTCTGAATGTGGGTTTTCTATGAAGCTGGCTTTGTGGTCCTTGCCGTGATGAAAGCATGTTGTTCAGCTAGTTTGTTTACTCTTTCATCTATATTCAATTTGGTGGCTATATTTTTGGCTTCTTGGTTTATAATGTTTATTGTGTTCGTGTTTGTCTTTTGTATAGTTGTGTAATTTTGTTGGTTAAGAGTTGATTGTAGGTTGTAGGTTCTATAGTATATATGTTTGTGGTTTTGTCAGCCAAAATGAATACCTTGTTGGAGTTGATTATTTTTTCCTGTCGTCTATGATTTTTTTTCTGAAATTGTCCAAGTGTCTTTTGAATTTCAAGGTTCTAACTATATTTATCATGTCCTCTTCGATTTTAACATTTTTCTTGCACATTGGTGGACACTTTTTGTATTAAAGTTGAATGTCTCGGTTTTTCAGTTGTTTGGTTTTTTGGGTCGTTGAGGGAGAAATATGCCTTCCATCTCATTCGTCTTATTAGACTTTCGATTTTCTCTGTTAGTTGGAGTTTGTATGAAGCTTGAGTAGGTATGGGGTTTTTCAGTGAGTATCGTAGGTCAAATTTATTTTTTATATATAAAATATATATATAATATATATATATATATATATATATATATATATATATATATATATATATATATATATATATATATATATATATATATAATATATATATATATATATATATATATATATATATATCTTTTTAGAGCTCTCATGAAATAAAAAATTATTACCTATGGGATTTTAAGTGTTTGATATTCTTTAATTAATAATATATAGATATATAAAAAAGTGTCAGTTTTAAGTCAAAAGGATGTTTAACTCTTAATTTCTTGTAAAGAATCTCAAACACCACTGACCAAAGATTTCGACAAAAGAAGGCAAAAAAGTGGTTGGTCAATTAAAAATACTAACTCATTAATTTTTTCTTAAGTTATGTACATTTTACTAAAACAGAAGGTAATTAGAAAAAAAGAGAATAGCTTTATTTGACTTTAGTATAAATGCCCTTATTTGGGCATTTATACTAAAGTCAAATATTCATAAAGAATTGCTTACATCCAAATATTTTGGTCACTTAGAAACATTTTTATGGAATGCTACAAATTCTCAGGAATAAGAAATTGCTTTACTATTTACATTATTCAGACTGTTGTCTCATCTTTGTTGCCATGTTTATCACAACGTTTCGGTCGTTGTACACTCTGGCTTTCTTCAGAGATGGTTGGAATGTCAAATGAACCTTTTTCTTTTCGCTTACTGGGATTCTCAAACTAGTTCCATGTGCCATGTTTAATGGATGTCAGTTATCTCCTGTTAATTCCCTCACCAAGTTGAAACAAAATGAATAAAAAATTATTACTAGCAATACTTTTTGAAGAAAAAAAAAGATATTACCAGCAATAAAAATCTTGTTGGCATTAAATAACCCACTGAGGTTGGTATGCAGTAAAACAAATACCAAAACCTAAATTTTCATATATACACTTCTGTTAATGGTGGTTCTCATAGGAAAATTCAGCTTATGGCCATAACATGGTGAAACACTGGTTCTTGTATAATCACTGAAGTGCCTGGACAGTACCAAGATGAGCGACTGCTTTGGAATACCAAGTGCTTTAAGCTTGGATGTGTGAGTGGTGTAATGGATAACTGCTAAGTTCACACTCTTCCCTGGTCTTTTGAACAGGAGTAGAGGCTTATCCCTTGTTCCTGTTTCCTTCTAAAGTCTTGTCATTCATTTTCACACCCAGTCACTTCTTGTGTTTTAGTGGGTTGATTAAAAAAAAAATGAAATTGGCAAAGAGCCAAGTTCACTATGTGTAAATACTCTTGAGAAAGGTATGAATCCACCTCCACTCCTTTCATCTATGGGTTAATTAGTAATAATTGTACCAAATTTATCTCAAAACATTTGTACAATCTAAAATATTTTCTGGATTTAAATAACCTGCAAAAGGTTGATAAGCCATAAAAACAAATCAATCAATCACAGGAAAAATAATTGAGTATATTCAATTCAATTTTCTGAGTGATGGTAATTTCAGTTGCAATAATCTTACAATATTGATTCATTTTCTACAGTTTATCAACCCATCGCATGATATTTAAAGCCAGAAAATATTTTTAAATTGTAAGAATTATTTTTGAGGGAGAAGGAGACAATAATAGTTTATTAATACAAGTTTTACTAATTAACCCATAGCTGGGGAGAGAAGAGTTTCCCAAGAGTATTTATGTGTTAGTGAATATAATGAACCTAAATGGAATTGGAACTCAGCTCCCCAATTAACAATTCTGAGCCATTACCCCACCCCCACATCCAACATTACAGCACCTGGTACTCCCAAGTGGTCACCTGTCTAGGTAGGTGATTGTACAGTAACCAGTGTTTCAACATGAGGTGGCTGTTAGCCAACCTTACAAGAGGAAACAAGAGTTTACTCACTGATACTCGGTGCATATCTAGGAGTTTGAGTTGCTGCATGTGATGTAAAAGCGTCTGCCTGTAATTTTGTTCAATTGCAATAGGATTGCCATCCAAAGATACTTCTGACAAAGATGTTGAATCTGAGAGACTGGAGATGGAGTCGAAACTAGAAGGTTAGAGATAATAAAAAAAGAATCATGTTTAGGTTTAACTCTTTAGCATTCCACAGGCTCAAAACTTCCTCGTAAATATCAGTTCTGAAAGCCTCACTGTTTACATCACTTCCAGGGTATACATGGGGCATGTTATGGCAGGTGGAAGATTAAGAGCTGATATTTACAGAGCTGGTTGGATGTTAAAGGGAATTCACAGATCCTCCTAAAACACAGTGCTAGGACAATTTGTCATGATATCAGTTTGTTGAAGGGACAACTTTTATTTGTTATACAGTTTGAGAATGCATTATCCAAAATTCTGTGAAAGTGCATTGGTTTTCAGATTTTCCGAATTTTGGAATACAGGCTATTTAATTTGTATATAGCACCTATAAAATGGGGTAACTTGGGAATGGAACCCAAGCATAAACACAATATTCCTTTATATTTCATAACACAGCTTATACATATACCCTGAAGACAGTTTTATACAAATAACATATACCCTGAAAGTAGTTTCATATAAAATTTAATAAATTTTGTGTACATACAGATAATGACACTAGTCATATAATGCCCACATGGATTTTTAAGTGGTGAAATTAAGATTTCATGTAAAAATAATGTCTTGTATTTTCTGTATGTGTACACTAAAACATAATCACTACTTACAAAAAATATATAAATACAACACCAAACACTACTTCTATATCAGGTGTGAGAAACTGAGGATAGAAGGTACATCATCAATGACATCACTGTGAGCGTGAGAAGGAAAATTCGGTAAGATATTCATCTCTACCAACGTAATGTTATAATACATACAAGTAGAGTATTTGTATAAAAAGAAAACATGGATTCTATTTACAGTTAAATGTAATGAAAACTGAAAAAAAGTCAGCATTTTATTTGTAACACTGCAATGCAATAACCGTGTTATGGGCAGCCATGTTGCTTTGTGAAATTTTCCATTTGTGGCAAGTCATGTCAGCACCTAAAAAACTTTCTAATTTTTAGAGCTATTTTTAGATTTTGGAAATTTCAGATAAAAGGATATTCAACATGTAATTGGTTTCCATCTGTTGGGTTGAACAATACTTTTTCGAATTATTTCTTTTTCATCAAATGATCATGTTCCACTTTAATATATTTGAATTCAATCCGCAAATATTTATTCAAGAATCCCACCTGTTAATCTGGCCGCCTGCAAGCTCATTATTTCAGAGAAAAGAAACACAGTTATAGATAAAGAAAACTGATATCCAGATCATTGTCGACTTAGTACCATGATTGGTTACATCCAACAGGTTGTAAATTGATCTGGTCATAAGTTGGCCTGTAATTAATTTTGCAATCTTTTTATCTTTTAGTTACTTTATGCTTCATACCATTTGTATAATCTCTCTACACATTGTTTGGTTTCTTAGTTTTACGTTTATCAGGTTAAAGTCAAAAACTGCATACTATAGTACAGTTGCTTTAATATTTGCTGAACATACAAAAAACAAAATACAGGTACAAAAACAGAAAAAATAATGACGTCAACAGTAATGCTGTTGATAATGAAATTCTCCAATATTACCAAAATCTCAAAGAGGCTAAGCATCTCATCTTACCTACTGATTTCATTGAAGCTGAGAAACAAACGTTGTAGTGAAGGCAAATTGTCAATATCACACTGAAAATAAAAAAAAGAGTTTATTGAAATAAATTTAAAATTATTACTAAACAAGAAACATATCTTGTTAATAATAATGTGCTTCACATTGTCTCCAGACTACAGCTCAATAGTTATCGAGTTGGATCTGGTCAAGATTTAAAATAAACAAATTTAATTAAAACAATCTTACTTCCAATATGAAACATGTTTACCTTCCATTACACGTCATTGATAATGGTCACTACGAGCGTGTTGTCATGAGGTATTATGTACACTATTTACATTATTCGGATTATTGTCCTCATCTTTGTCACCATATTTATTACAACGTTTCGGTCGTTCAGTATCTGTCTATATTTCTGAGATGAGGTATTATGTACAGTATTTACATTATTTGGACTATTGTCCTCATCTTTGTCGCCATATATATCACAACATTTCAGACATTGTACACTCTGGCCTTCTTTAGGTGGTTGGAATGTCGAACTGAACCCTTTATTTCACTCACTGGGGTAGACTGTTCTAGTTCCACGTGCCATGTCTAATGGATGTCAGTTTATCTCCTGTTAATTCCCCTCTCAAAGTTCTCCACTACCTTAACCAGGTATTGAACTCACTCACCTTGGGTCCTGTCACTGGATCTAACTAACGCCTTTATCCACAGTGAGTGAAATAAAAGGTTCAGTTTGACATTCCAACCACCTGAAGAAGGCTGGAACATACAATGACTGAAACGTTGTGATAAACATGGCAACAAAGATGAGGACAATAGTCCAAATAATGTAAATTGTGTGTGTGTTGTTTTGTTTAACAATAAAAAGCAAATGCTTTCATTGAACACAATGTTGAAAAATCTGACTTGCAGTTGCATAAAAATCACAGAGACTGTCATGTCTACACTGAAAAACAATACCCTGTGAAATGGCAAAAGCTGCTGCCAGAGGTGGCAGTACTGCCTTAGCCACCAAGACTGTATTACCTCCCTTGGTTGGTAGCTGATGAAGGCAGGGTATTGCACATGCTGTCACATGCTGTATATAGAAAATTGAATATCTTATATTTACATAATAAATAAAAAGTTATTACTAAAATGATCTCATGGTATGTGTCATGAATAGCCCCTGTCAAGTCCAGTTCTGACCAAAAGAAGGGTCAAAAAATGAATGGAGGTAGATGGAGCTCAATAACCCTGGAAAGTAGTCCAACTAGGCAAAGAAAAACCTTGATTTTAAACCTCCACTGTCTTGTGATCATATTCAAATACAGAAAAAGCTATGGAAGTAAATCCAGACAGAAAACGAAGAACAGAGCTCAAAGGAATTTGCCTGTCAACACCGACATCTTTCCAGCCACTTCTGCAGCCAAGCCGTCCCCAAATGTAATGCCCCATATTTTTTTGGATCTTGTTGGTATGACCAAGAGGCAGGCCATGTGGTATGGACAACTGACAGCCTCTATACACCATCACCTAGGCCTGTGCCCTGAAGAGATCACCCCAGTCTCAACACCAAAAGACTGAATTTAAACCAAACAGGGTGCTACCATTACCTTGCAAGATAAACAAATGCCTATTATTATGAAAGAGGAAAACTTTGTTTGTTTTGTTTTACAGTATATTAACCTCAACTATCCTACTTTTTAACCCATAATTGGGATCAAGTAGAAGAAGAAATGAATTCATGTTTTCCCCAAGGAATTAGTGTGAAAATGAATGCAACAAACCAGCATAGAATTTGAACTAGGTGTGCCAATTCAATTTTCTGCACTAATATTTGGGGCAACACCTGCACATCCTGTCCCTGTACAAATAATTTAAATCAGTGGCAAATGTCAATGGACATGCCACAATAATGACGAATTGACAAAATAGGTCTTAGAACTTTGGGCTCAAACATTTTTGAATGCTCAGGCCATTTAGATCTGTAGGTGACCTTTACAGATTTTTCTTTATTAAAACCCTTTTTGCATTCATTCTTAGGAAAAATAGTGGAGTAGTTCCCCAGAGTTTTCTCTACAGTTTGAAATTTAGAATTTTCTATTTAGACTGGTTGACAACCAAGGCTGCTATTTAACTCATGGCTGGGAGAAGAAAACACAGATTCAAGTCATTCAAACCTGCATCACCCTTAAAGCTTCAAACCATAACAGAAAGTATGTTTTCTTTATTAAGTCTCTCACATCTGAAGGCTGTGAGATGTAACTCATACTGTTTAAAAAAAAAAAAAAAAGCTAAAAAAAAAATAATGCATCTACTTTATGGTATCCAAAAAATTATGGTTTGATTATCATTATAGCTTTTTCGAAACTCAAACATTTTAAATTAGTCAGATTCCATTTTTCAGATTGATGCTCGTTTCCTCAGGACCAACTGTTTTTCTTTATTAGTGCCAACCTTTTTATAGCATTCATTCTTATGGCCCATATGGACCACTGTTGGTTCCCAGGAAATTCTCTACAGTTTGACAAAAAAAATCTAAATTATTCATATTTAAGAATTAAAAACATAATATTTTGTTTAATTACAAGGCTGTCCATTATTTAAAAATTGGCTGGGAGGATTAGAAAACACATATTTAATTTTTCATCATTATAAACCTATATATATATATATATATATATATAAACCATAAAAATGTTATATATACTATAATTTTTTATTCATATAAAAAATTAATCCTCTAAAGGCTGTTCGATAGTAAATTTGATATTTCTAATTTATAAAAAAAAAAATTTTTAATTTTTAAAATCAAAACTTGATTATCTATCTTGTGTGAAAACACCAAGATCAAGGTAGCAAATGGACTAAGACTGAATGACATCAAAATTGATTATACCGTGTTTATCCTTTTTTACTAAAATAAATTTTAAAAATAGACTCCTTTGTTTTTCATTTATTTTAGTGTTAAAATTGAACAGACTAAAAAAGTCCTCAGGACCATTTAATTTTTTGAAGAAAAAATGGTCCATGGCCCACAGAAAAAGGTTGAACCTGTGATTTATACTGCAACTTCTCTGAACAGACCTGAGTTATAGTTCACTGTTCCACCAGGTTCACATTAGGCAATTCTTCTCCCATACCATTTGCTAAAAAAAAGAGTCTCTGGTTCACAAAAAAATCTAAATTATTCATACTTTGAAAGGTATTATTAAAAACATAATATTTTGTTTTGATTTCTCATTCTGAACATCTCCATTATGATTTAAAAATGAAGAGATACATTTTTTTTGCTATTAATGAAGTTGCTAATATTTATTCCATCTTTCATCAAATATAATTTCAGCAGGTATATATATATTCTAAATTTTTATTACATATGTCTAAAAAAATACCATATATGTATCCGATTTCTTCTGAGATTGAGTTCTGCTATAAAAAATTATGCCTTCATTGTCCATTGACGAGATGGTTTCCTGCCATATTGTTCAATAGCTCAAAATGTGTCAGATTTTTTTGTATTTCATTAATTTGATCAAGAAAAAAAATAAAATTTACATTTTGGAAGCATTATTTATTTTTAAAAAATCTGCAAAATTTAAATATCATATATTAATGTGTGTGTGTGTGTGTGTGTGTGATCAAATGGTATTTTTAGCCATACCCAAGTTTGAAATGGACTAAGACATTTTAATTTAAACATTGTCAAAAAGGATTCTTTCAAACATGTTTATCCCATTTAAAATAAAATAAAGTTTTAAAAAGCCTGATTAAAAATAATCCTTTTGATTTTTTTATTGATATATTTATATATATATATATATATTGAACATCTGACTAAAATTGAAATGAAATATGGTTCCATTTGAATTTTTGAAGATTAAAATTTCCATAGGTCCTGAAAAAATAAAAAAAAGACAAAAATGATTTAAAAACTTGTCAATAAGATTGATGATATTTATTATCCATTGTTCACTTTTGACTAAAATCAAACACAAAGATCAAGGGACTTACTCTTCTGGGGATTTTTTTTTTTAGCCATGTGTTTGTATTAGTGTAAGAAATTTGATAATGTCGTAGTATTTGCCATAATTAGTGTTGTGAAGGGTTTTGTAGAAGACTCTCTGAGTTCCTAATCCCTTTTAATTGTTTAATATGTAATTCTGTTCTGACAATGTGTTTTGACTTGATTATATATATATATATATATATATATATATATATATATATATATATATATATATATATATATATATATATATATATATATGCATGTTTCATTAAAAACGACAGACAAGGTACTACGGTTGAATTTTTATTTAATTTTTTCTTGTGTTCCATCTTTTTCTTTTCTGGACAAAAGTAAGAACTTCTGAATGTTCTGTATTTGATTCTTTCGGCTTTATCTTTGCAGCCATATCAAGGATGAATAAATCACCTTAGTAGAGTATCCGTTTTCTTATGTTCAGTGTGTGTTCTGATAAAGAGTTTCCAATATGCCTTCACATTGTGGTTTTGTTCATAGTTAATATTGTTAAGAGTTGGTTTTTTTCTTTTTTATTATTAGAGCTTCCATCATTTTTAGTCTTTTTTTGCAAGTGGATGCAGTTAATATATTTGTGTTTTCTACTAGTATTTTAGTGTCGGTATTTCATTATAATATGTCTCAAGGACAATTAAAAAAATATCAAAAAAAAAAATCAAACTTATTATCTATTTAAAAAATTCAAGACAGCCAACCTTATCCTCAAAAATAACAACACACCAACTAAGTCAAAATTAAAAAGAACAAACATTATCTATGAGTTCAATGCCCTTTTAGGGAACTATCATCATTAATAATTACATCGGCTACACAACCACATGTTTATCCAGACGTCTTACATTACACCTATCTGATCAAATGTTCCATCAGAACACATTTAAACACACACCAGTTTGAAATAGATACCCCATTTTTAATTTAAACATTGTCAAAATGGAGCATCTATTTCAAACATGTATATCCACTGAAAATAAAATGCAGAGTAATAAAAATGCCTGATTAAAAATAATCCATTGATTCTTTAGCAATATATATATA